TGCAGCTCTTTGAAGCCTCTTTAATTCCGGCGTGCAGGATTAAGCCCATGGAAAAAGGATGAAAAGTGATAGAGCAACAGAAGGAGACATCCTAGGAGAGAACAGGCTCCTTTTGAAATATGTTACGAATTTGGTTCGCACTGACCCACAATGCAGCATCTGAGGGAATTTCTCTCTCCTCCTGATCGGGTCTTGCTATAGGATTTTCTTGGGCGAGAAAAGGACTCTTTGAAGCCACGGGTGTAAGTGGAACTGGAGTTTTCTGAAACCTAAATGAGCGCCCCGAGACATTGTCCTTGCATTGTACTTTCCAGACTTAGAAAGTTGCTTTGTCACAGTGTGTTTGATTGGAAGTCGGGGGGGAATCAAGTCATTTTCTGTCACTGAATCATTCACATAATCCACCCATTGTGGAGGCTTTCTGTGCAGTCTGCATCATGGCCCAGTGAACTGATAGAAATATGGACGCTACTGTTTTTCCAGGAGGGTACATTTGGAGAAGCAGTCATGCTTGAAATACAGTCCATATTTACAATCACAGCCAATATTTGCACAGTATGGCCTTCAATGTTGTGTACAAAAACAGAACAAAGCAGCATCAAGCAAACAGCTGTTGTTTCATTTTGGGGCATTTTGTAGAAGCACAGATCTGCTGTAGGTTTAATTTGTGTGTACAAAAGCTTACTGATGAAGTTACAAACAACTTTTTTTTTGACAGAAGGTTTTCAAATAGAGAGGAGGCACATTTAATGTTTTTTTGTTGTATGAGAAATAGGGCTGGACGATAAACCGAAAATTTATCGATACTGAAATTTACAACAATATCTGACATCATTTTAGCCATGTTAATATATTTGGTGTCAAAAATATAAATAAATTAAAGTTGGTTTTGGATGTGTGTTGGTAGGCTATGGTCTCATGTCCCATTAAGACGTAACAACGAGGGAAAGACAGTGAAGTCAGTAGTCAGTGTTAGCAGAGCTAGCACCAACAGCCTCTTAGGTTGAACATTTGCCTGCTTTTGCTGTTAATGTGCTGCTCTGGTCCAGATACTATATGCTAGTTTAAATAGACAAAGCGTTCATGCAACCAAATATCCCTTCTGATTGTGCTTGTTTATATCCAGGTGGTAGAGCAATGCAACGATATGGTAGTATGGAGTAGCTATTATTTGATGCTACGGCTTTTGCTACAGTTTGGACACAACACATGTCCAACATTTTTGGTGTTGACTAGTAAGGGTGACAAAGTTGAACCATTTAGTCACCTAAAGACACTCATCTTTTTACTGGAGCTTGTTGTGGGCTAAAAAAAAAAACTACACAGCCGTCAGTGTAAAGTAAGATTAAGTGACTTAAAAATTAAGAGTTAATGAGAACAGAGGATGTATTAATACACTGGGTAGCTTTCAAAATCTGAAGATATAGAAAAGGGTAGAAAATATAATAGAGTTCTATAATCAAAAGTTTGTAAGAAGTGCCAAACAAGGTGCAGCTTACTACCAGAAATGTGTCAAATATAATTTATAATATCTAAGTGCATTAAAGTGTTCACTTTATTTTGTTGTATTCCCCATTTTTGGAGTTCCTGCTGTTTGTGTCATCAGTATCAATCAATTGAGGTCTCCCTGTGAGCTGTGGTCAAAGGTAACCTTAACCTGTAAACGCCCTAAGTGAGACTTAAAAAAGCTGACTTCCTCAGAGCAAACTTTTTGAGATCAACACAGCCTCTCACAAGAGCTGGTTCAATCCTGTTAACTTTTTCGAAGGCCTCCTCTTTGAGTCTCAATGAATATTTTTGCAACTTGTCACCGCTCTTTGTCACCGCGGCTTGACTTGTGTTTTTGTTTATGCTGTCAACATCTTGAGGCTGCAAGTACATTTTTGCAGTTCGAGCAGTTTTTGTGATGCGTCTTTGAAAAGTCGAACATAAAAGTGAGTTATTGTGGCGCCTCTAAACGCTGACACATGCATGTGAACATCATTCAACTCTGCCAGTCAATTTGTCTTTCTAATTGAAGTTTCGTTACTTTCGCGCTGAAACAGTATTTATCCAGGTGATAACATTTCTATTTTTCAACCTCTGTGTCTGTTTTTCCTTCTTTGTTCGAGCTTGACAAAATGCTGACTTTCCTTCTCTCTTAATTAAAGCTGTAAAAACCAACTGCACGCATTTCTGTCCAGAATAAGCACACAGAGAGATTTTATTGCAGCATTTCAAATTTAATTGAAATATTTAAGGCTATGAATTGAAAAGAGCATGATTAGTTTACGCAGCGCAATTGGTCGTTGGGGGAGATTGGAGGGACTGAGACGATGAAGAAAAAATAAAATCATCAAATGGAGTAGTGGGCACTTAACCGCAAATGGGAGTTGCCAGAGAAATTAACAGAATCCCCCCTGGGCTAATGTCTAATCAGTGGTCTCCCCACTTAGTCCAATGAGGGAAGGCGGGTTAACATAATAAAACACAGCTTTGGCAAGCAACTTCCAGGAAGTTTCATCAGGGGTTTTCAATTTGACAAATGTGCCTTTGGACTTGCCTGCTGAGGTGGAACGAGAAATGGAGGCTGCTACTGAATGTGAGCGTGACCTCAAAATAACATGCAAACACACACTCACACGGCACGTTTGCTGTGTGGGCAATAGCTGCTTGAAAGCCACCTGCAGCTCCATATTTACCACAGCCTGGGCAAACAGCAGCCAGAGTGCTCTCCACCGGTACCTGCTGTTAGCTGTGCACAGTGCTGGATGTATTTTACAGGAACACTGTTTGATCGTGCTTCCTGAGACTTAACTGTGAACTTCCTTCAAGTAATGTGTTTGGAGGCGTTGTAGAAGAGGACTACGGTGAGAAAAAAATAGAGCATAAGTGCAAATTAGGCTGGAACAGTTCCAAGCTTTTAAAATAGGATTTTATTGTGCTTTGAGATGTAGCTCTATGCATTAATCGTTTCCCCACTCAGAGCAGAGTAATTTTTTTCAACAGCGATCATTTCTGATGTTTAGTCAATTAGATGCAAAACAACACGGCCTTCAAAAAATGGAACAGGAAGTTGAGTCATACAAAATTATAGTAGATTCGTCCTAACAGTTCTGTTATAGTTCTCATGGAGTTTTCTCAAAGGTCAGTAGTACCACCAAATAACGTCAGAAAGATGAAAATTCACTTACTAAAAGGTGGAGTAAACAGGATATGAGGAAGTGCCAGTTTTTGGGGAGAAATCTTGAATGTAAACACTGCCCCTCCCAACCAGTCTTCCCCTCAGCTCCTCCTCTCTTCTCCCTCTCTTCTCCAGCAAGCCCCGCCCACAAACAGACGCTCCTGCTCGCTCGTATTGCTCCGATTAAATTCAGATATAATGCAGATAAATACTTCAGATGATTACAAATGGAGCCCAGTCAACATGAAAGTAAAAAGCATTGGTGCTACTGTAGATGCCAACAGACTACCAGCAAACTCAATGTTTGCAGGACTTCTAAAACTAGGATAAAGTGACATACTCCAGGACCCGAGGTCAACAGTTTAGCGGCGCTACAACACGCAGCAGGTCCCGTTTGACAGGAAACACTTCTGTTACAGACACTTAGCTTACTTTCTTATAGCGGTTTACCTGTCCAGCAGAAAGGTTACAGGGTCCGTAAGATCCCGAAGCGCCCCCATCATTTTTGCTGATGTTGACCTGACTTCTTAGCTCTTGTCCAGTCTACCTCCATTTTAAGCACCTGTTATTCCGCCAGAGTCTCCGGTATTTACTTCATTTTATTGCTTGTGTTTTCCACACTTTCTGGTTGATTTCTACTGTTCGATGTTGTAGCACACTAACTTTGTTTGGGCTCGGCATGTCATTGTTGCCTCACAACCAATCAGGTTGGGGGAGGCGTAGAATGGCTCAGAACACAGCGATATCCTGATATTCCTAAATGCCATCAATAACTAATAGCTATTGACTGATATTAAAAGCTCTTTTGTGTACATCACATAAAAAGATGCTTCTTTAACGGAATCCTGCCTACCCCACCTTTAAGCTTGGTGTTCAGCAGCGGTGTAGGTACTTCATGGATATTTTGGTAACAGAGGGCACTTTGATTTTTTATGGTTTAGGAATTCAGCATGTATCTTTCATGAATACCATCAAATTCAGCATATATGAAAAGTACACGAGCACAGCAAACCAGCCCTCCAACAAGAATAGTATGAGTTTTTGAGATTGAGTGACAATCTTCCTGAGAGTTTAACATTTCTCTGATATCATTAAAAAAAGGAATCTAGGTGGAGGAGATTGTTAGCATAGCTTTAAGAGAGGCTGTGGGAAACAGAGAGTCTGTATCTGCTCAAAGGTAAAAATAACCACCACTTAATCCCACTCATTAGTTTGTAATATCTCGCTGTGTAATTGGTATAAAAGCATTGTGAAAGTAACCAGCTCCTGATTCCAGCTTTAATAAGACTACTGTGAAACTGATTAAGCTGCTCTCAGACAGAGGGATGGAAAAGTGTTTTCAACTTAAAAAGGATACACATAAAAATACTTAGTTATGTACATCTTTAAACCATTAAGTGTGGGGCTTTATAACTTTGTTTCTACATGTAAAAATGGTAGAGACCTATTTGACACTCAACACTGTTAATGCCACCGCTCCGAGCTCACCTTTTTCCTCTGCTTCACTAACACACACTCCTGATCCCCTTCCTCTCTCAGATGCTTTTCTACATGTAAGTCTGTTATTGATGTCGGTCACATTTCTTTGATTGTGGAAAGGTCAAAATTATGATTATGATTAAAATTGCATCGGCTGTGAAGTCCTGGTCGAAACCCACCTGATTGGGTCTCTTATCCTCAGCCCACGGGATTGCATGTTAAGTGTGTGTTTACAGACGCATGTTAACCACTTCACTGCACTCCAGCTTTGTGTTACTGAGGGTTAATCTACATAATTCTTGTGCATTTGCCAGCATTAATAATGAAACACCTCTCTCTCTTCCTCTTCCCTCCAGAGATGGCGAGCTGGGTCTCTCTCCTCCTCCTCCTCTTCTGCAAGTCACTCTCACGAGCCCAGGAGGACAGCATCAACATTCCCATCCAGGAGTTCACTTCAGAGACCCCCATCAACAATGTGGTCCAAGACCCCCAGACTGGCCGCATCTACCTTGGGGCGGTCAACACCATCTACCAGCTGGGGCCGACACTCCACCTACAGGCTCGTGCCGAAACAGGCCCCAAAGAGGACGCTCGGACCTGCACGCCTCCTGCCTCTGCGTGCCAGGACACAAAGCTTTTGCCAAACCTCAACAAGCTCCTGCTGGTCCATCCATCCAACGGCTCCCTCATCGTGTGTGGGAGTCGCTATAGAGGGATCTGCTCCCTCCTGAACCTGACCAACGTAGAACAGCAGCTGTACTACAGCGACGGCAAAGGAGAGAGGACTTACGTTGCTAGCATAGAGGATTATGTGAACGTGGTGGGCGTCATGTCTACTTACACAAAAGATGACCACACCTTCAGTGTGTTTTTGGTTGGGAAGGGCTATGGAAGCCTAGACAGTACAAAACTCATTAGCACAAGAATCCTTCAGGACTACCGTGACTATGATCGGGACTGGGTCGTTTTCGAGAGCATCATCGAGGCATCTACGGTACAGACAACCCCGTTTGTCCCAAAGTACCTGCACGACTTCCGCCTTGCCTTCAAAGAGGACGGTTTTGTTTATTTCCTCTTTTCACGGACACTTGACGGTTCAGATACCAAAAACCTGACCTTTATTTCTCGTCTTTGTGAAGACGACTACCATTACTACTCCCACACAGAGCTTCAGTTGAACTGTGGGAAAGACAACAGATACAACAAAGTCCAAGCTGCGTACGTGGCTTCACCGGGGAAAGAGCTAGCACGGATCATGACTGAAGCAGGAATCTACGGTAAGGTCGTGTCCTGGAGTAAGGTTCTGTTCATGGTGGCCAGTCCGGATGACGACGAGAACAACTCTGCCCTCTGCATGTACCCGCTCAACTACATCAACGAGCGGCTGTCAGATATCATCAGCGCCTGCTACAGCGACTCAGGGAAAATCTCTGGGTTTCCCGCTGTGGACATCCCCTACTCATCAAAAAACGAAGAATTCTGCACATCAAAAATAGCGGCAAGTGCCTCTTTTGTGTCAGCTGGTTGAAGTTTTAAAAAGTCTGTTTGAAATGATAGATGTTAGCTGGATATCATTCGAAGAACTCCCTTTGCTGTCATCAATAATGCAGGGATGTGCCACTGTTGGCTTTGATGTCTCAGTGTTTGCTTTGTTCCGCTCATCCTTCAGCATCGTTCCATCTGAAGCTCTCGTTCGTTCTCGCACAATTTCCCTCCTTCGGTGTCTCCTTTCACTATTCCCCCAGCTCATCCAGAATGATGTCGTAGAAGGCAGGAAGGTAAATAGCAGTTCAACAGACAAATTAGGCCAACTAAGAAATATGTTGACCTGCTTTCAAAGCCAAAGTTTCACTTCATTTGTGGGCACTAAAAATATGGAACCATCATTTGGCACAGTTTTTTGGTGACAATACAAATTCAGAGCTCACGTTTATTAAATCAGTTTTCCTACAACATCAAAGAGGTTGAGAACAGCGATTGGTTAGTGGCCTTAAAAATCACCCTGTACCCACCAAGATTTTGTCCTCTTTGGTAGCCTTTGCCAACATCAGTGTACAGTTTCGTTAACACGTTTACTCCTCAGGCTTTGCCTCTCATTCATGCACAAATTGGACACTGCCTCCTCTTCTCCATTTGAACAAAATTTTCTCTTTTTTTTGGCTTAAGAAAGAAAAAAAATAACCTGCAGTAGGTTTCTCTTTGCCATTGATTATCGACCACCACTGTTTCAGGTACAGCTGGCCTCAACCTGACCCGCTTTGACCTGAGGTCATGAAGGTGCGAAGTCGAAACCCCCCGTAAATTAATTAAATTCAGTTCTTCCAAACAACTTTTTTTTTACTACACACTTTCTTACAGGCACCCAATCAAAAACAAATGTAAGGTGCTGATTGTAGCTGTGGCTGACTCAGGGAAAATGTTAGGAGACAGGTTGTGAGTCAGAGAGTGAGTGCAAGCAGAATGCATTTGAAAGATGGACCGAACTAAAATACTGTGACACAATATGAAGCGTTTATCTGATATGAACACAAGATACAACTCTGCTACTCAGATTCCACAGAATTTGGGGTGCTGTCATTTAAAGTCCATTTTAACTGAAAAAAGCGCAAGGACAAAGTATCAAATGTTGAAATATAAAATGTTATTTCATGAAAAAATAAATATCAGTGAATGTTTGGGAACTGAAGAGACCAGTTTCAAGAGTTTAGGAAGTCAAGTCTTGTCTCATACTTGCCTGATGCTGATTTTCAGCTGCTCGACAGTTCAGGGTCTCTGTTGTTCGATTTTTCAGAAAGATGGATGGAACGTTTGCAATAGGTGACCAGTTAGGAGTGTGAGTTGGCCAGTTTAGCACCCCAGACTTTTTTACCATGAGCTGTGCTATTGTAATACATGCAAAATACAATTTGGCATGTTCTTGATGTATTATGTAAGGTCTTGTCTAAAACAGGTATTGTCTGTATGGCAGCTTGTCATGGGCGTCTACATACCGTCATACCATCATGGATGCTGGCTGATAACAAGCCGAGAATGCAACAGTCATAATTTCCAAAAAGAATATAAAACTATGATTTGTCAGACCACAGGAAGGTTTTCCACTTCAGTTTAGTTCATCTCATTGAATGTGGTTGGACCCAGAGAAGTTTGCAGTGACAAACTATGTTCACAGAGAACAGATGTATAATGCAGTGATTTGCACTGCAGAGTCATGTCTGTTTCCGACACAGAGCCACTGAGAGCCAGAAGATGACGGCCTTAAATTCCAGTCCAGAGATTTCTGCATACTATCTGAATCTTTTAATGGGAATTTGAACTGTAGCTGATAAGATCTGTTTAGTCGTAGTTGAATTTATGCTCAGTAATGTTAGTTTGAATTGGTGAAAAATTTGCTTAAACGGCCTCTTACAAGAGAGTGAACTTCTTCCCATCTTTTGCAAATTAACCTGAGAAAAGTTTCTCCAGGTGTATTTTTTTTTAGCATTACAAAACTTTTCCATTGTTTTCTTGTCACTGTGTCTGAACTGTTTTGAAACTTGTTGCTGGCGTCAAATTTAATGTGAGCTTATAACTTTAATGAAACAATATCTCCTTGTCAAAAATTTTAGCATTTTATTTGTTTCCCTTTGCACTATTTTCATTTAAGTGTAAGCTTTAAAGGATGTAGTTTTTATCAACATTTGACACACAGCCTCCTGACTTTAGATTTGGATTTTATTTTTCATTCTTTCAACTTTTTTTGCATTTATTGTTAAGGAAAGCTGTATCCCATTATCCTCAACTACTCTTTTGTATTGTTGGTATTTAAGCCTAAATTTGGACCACCAAAAAAGTGCTTTGGCTGCCAAATGAAGGGTTTTCATTACCCCTCAGGCTAAAGCTTTAAACATATTAGTTTTTTATCACCGCATCTAATAATGTCTCCACATGAAGTCAGGCATGCTTCTGGGGCTTCTTTGCCAGTCTACTTGAGCATCACAGGAAATAAATGAACTTAATGAGATGAATACTCTAATAATAGTAATTTAACATGCATCATTTGAATAAAGCTAGTAGCCCTTGAATTACAACATGGCTTTAATTTCACGGCTGTATTCTGTTTGACCAGAACAGACTCATGTTCAAAAACTCTAATAGGCTCCTTCATGAAACAGAAATGACAACAGTGGATATGGTCAGCTGTTAGAAGAGCAGCTCTCTGTAAGCACGTTTGTTATGATTGGTTTTGGACTAATTTGCTTAGTTGATCTAAATGTGACAAATTTCTGTTTGTGTTCTTGTTTGACTGTTTTTTGATTGTTGTGCTCGGGTTTTATGGAAAGATTCGTCTGAACTGTTTTCATACATATATTCCAAAGTTAAGTTTGAAGAAATTATCAAACATAACAAATTCAGATTATTAAAACAACAGTCCCATGGTGGCGCCTTGATGGCGTGTACTCGCTCATTAAGTAGGGCACCTACAGTATAACATTGTGTCAGGCATTAATTCCTAAAATAATTTTGCATGTCATTACGCCTTTTATTCTTTGTTTCCCCTCAACAGAAGGACACATTGGAGAATTTTAAGTGTGGTGCAGACTTCCTGCCTTCCCCTCTGGCTAGCAAGCCCAGATTTGCCTTAAAGGTAGATGAAGTGTGGACCACGCGGGGCCTTCTGACCGCTGTGGCTGTCGCTGTGGAGAACGATCACACCATCGCCTTCTTAGGAAATAACCAGGGGGAAGTCCTCAAGGTGGAGTTGTCATCTGTTCTGTTGTTTTTCTCTGTTCAGCTTTTACCTGAGGGAGGCAGAATGCCAGGATGTAACACCTCGTGTCTGACAGAGTTACCTTTTGTTTTTTCGTGCAGGTACACCTGGCAGATGAGCCGTATGAGTACAGCAAGGCTCCTGGTGACACCATGGGAGAGAAGGTCAACAAGAACCTTTTCTTTGACCTCAGCCACAGCCACCTCTACATCACCACAGAGAGAAAGGTGGGTGTGTTTTGATACACTTAAGGCCAGGTGTTGAGGCGCAGTGCTGCATGTGGATCGCTTTTTATCGCTGTAGGGCCTAAAACAGAAGACAGCAGCGAGAGCAGGGCTTTTGTGGACAGCTGCACTGACTGAAATAGAAGTTGATCTTTCCTGAAAATGAAACAGAGTTATAATACATCAAAGTTTAAATTACTTTCCCTGCAATTCAAAAAATACTAAAGGTCAACTGTCACTGACTGCTGCAGAGTCATTATTTGGGGGGAAAAAAAGTGGTATCTCTAGTACAGGGTACAAAAAGTTCATTTTAAAAAGGACATGGGTATTGTCAGCAGGTTTACCTGTGTACCAAAGCTAAAAGTGCTCAGTCAGAAGTCTTCTTTTAGGAATATTGTATCATCTCTTTTTAAGGCAATTCAAAACTGGTTGTTTACAAGAGTCTGTCATCCCTCATTTCTGATTTGTGCACTGCTGACATGAATAACAGTCTTTTGAGTAGTTTCAGTAGCAGATCATTTTTGTAGTGAAATATTTAGTCAGTGATTTTCAACAAATTGTAGGTTGCTTAAGTAACACACTGAGAAAAGACATGTGAGAAAGATGTGGTCGAAACCTGCTCATTTCTTTGAATGTATTATTTATAAATAAGCACCATAGAAATAGCAACTGATTGATGATAAACCCTACAATGTACTGTATAGAGTCACTATTACAAAAGAACTCCCTTCAAGGTACAGCGAGACCGCCAGCCTGTCGAGGTTTATGTGCAGACTAATGACCCGTCTGCGGTACATTATCCCTAAGATATTTCTTTCATGTTATGGCCGACAAAGACCACTGATATGCTCAGGTTATTGGCAGCATAATAAATGGACATCAAGCCGCTATCTCCTCCCATTTTGAGATGTGAAGACCTAACAATGCCCCAGTGGGTGCTGACTGATTGCACTGGTGGTGGTGGTGATGCCGAATCATCGCAAAAGCAATCTGACTGTTGGAGCTGCAGAACTGCAATACACCTTCTTTTGCCAACTAAAACACTCATTAAACTTCTCAGATAAATCACACAAGTTGGAGTGAATGCTCCTGATTATGGGAAGCTCAATTACTCTTGAGTTGGTGTCTGTCCCTCCTTCACCCATTAGGAAAAAAGACAGCGGCAAGAACCTAATTTAACAACATAGCTGTCAATAAGTCATCTATTAAACATCAAATTACCAATACAAAATGCAATTCTTTGAAAAATAAGTACTTCAGCATGAATCTGCATGAATCAACAAGATGAGAACAATGTGTTTTGAAAGAAAAAATATTTGAGGAAAAGTTATTTCACATATATTTTTATTTTTATAGTTAATCTGTTATTCAGGAGTGCGTGCGTGCTACATGCTCACTCATGCTTCCTACCTGCTCAGCTACTGTAATGACCACTGTTCAAGTCTACACACAACATTTTTGTTTTCACATTCATGAAACGCTAAAATCAGGGACATTTCCTGTAGGGGTGGGAGAAAAAAATCGATACAGCATAGTGTCACAATATTTTGTCTGGTGATTCATCGTCTCATTTACCAAGTATTGATTTTTCACATTAATTGCTAACAGAAGTCAAATCTATCATAATGGAAAAATAAAACCAAATGTTTGACAAGTGAGGTTGGCAGAGGTGATATCATAGAGCAGGAGACAGTTGGTACGACAAATATATATGTAAGATTTGCGAGATGTGCTGCATGAAAATAAAATACAGCATAAATAAGACAAACATAAAGGAAAGACAAATGCTAAACTAGCTAAACAGTTTAAAATTTTTTATAAATTGCAATATATTGTATCGAATACTCACTGTATTGCAAAATGTTTAAAATCGCAATAATATCATATCGTGACCCAAGTATCATGATAATATCGTATCCTGGGGCCACAAGTGATTCCCACCCCTAATTTCCGGGGACAGCTTTAGCCGGGGAAAAGTCATCCTAAACAGGGACTGTCCCCGCAAATCTTGGACTAATCCACCCTACATAAGAGGAACTCTAAAAAGTTCCGGCTGCACTTGAAACAATGGTTTATGTTTTTAGCCTTTTTACATAATTGAAAATCAACATAAAGCGCAGTTAACACTGTAGACAGAGGAAACTGTTCCAGTCATTCACATGGGTAGCAGTTATAGGAGACCAGGTACTGTGACAGAACCTGTTTTACTCCTGCTCTGCGCACCTGCTGCAAACCTGGGAGCATTTGTTGGGATACATTAAATGCTCAGTATTTTGTGCAGTGTCTCCCCTCAGGTGCCCTGTTTGATCATACTTCATGTTTTAATGCTCCAGATCACCAAGGTGCCGGTGCAGACGTGCCTCCAAAAGAAGGACTGCCAATCATGTGTGGAACTAAGGGACCCTTACTGTGGCTGGTGTGTCCTGGAGGGCAGGTAAAGATCACACTCAGACAAACACACTCATGTGCGCACTTACAAAATGCATGCACACAACACCAGACCAACACAAACACCCACACATGCAATTCCATCTGTAAACCACAGCGGGGTATTTGTTCAGTGTTTTATTGCAGACACTTTTAGTACCCCCCTGTGTTTATATTCCATCTCCTGTTGTCCGAGCAGCCGTAAGGAATTAAAGCTGTTTGTCAGCCTCATGCGGCGAAGGCAGTCTGTGCAATTTACTCTCATCAGCCTATTTATCAGGGTTTGGAGGGTTTAAGGGGCAGTTTGTATCATGTATTTTACAGCAGAGTGATAAAGAACAAGAAAAAAGAAAGAAAAACAGTTTCTCCCCTCTGGAAGTTTTCATTCATCATATTTTGAAACACTGCTCTCGTTTTATTTTGATTCCAAATTTTGATGATTTCACACGACATCAATCAAAAAAAACCCCACACTGATCATAAATTATTTTCTTGGACATGAACAAATAAACATTTTATGGAAGCAGTTTTCAAGATGTGATATTTTTGTTTTTCATTTCCCAGATCTACAGTAACATGAATCTCTGAGCTGGTTTCGACCCGCCCAGGAAATAGATATGAAACTTTGCCTTAAGCTCACAGGAATAGCAACATTTATGTTTAATATTGTGCATGATCCCCTTACAAATTAAACAAATGAATAAAATGGAGCAGCCGTTATAGCAGTGGTGTCTGAGAGCTAAGCAGTTCCTTGTTTAGATCTCTGGATAGGGTGAGCAGTAAAGATCACAGGAGGATCGAATTAGTTTCAGCCTGTTTGTGTAGACCTACTGATATGTGTCCAAATCACCTACAGATGTACCGTCCTCTTTTACTGCTTCACTTGCTGTCTTGGATTAAGAAGTCTTTGCAATAAAGCAGACGGCCCTCAATTTTTTTATTAAATTAATGGTATAACAATGATTTAAATTGGAGCTGTCACAATATCAGATTATTATCTTGTGACCATTAAATATCACCGTAATGATATTATCCTGAGACTTATGGAAAACTTTAAATCTAAAACCACACAGTAAGTAAGAAAAGACAAGAAAAGGCTAAAGCAACAGAATATATGTACAGTACATGTTCATAATATTATTTTCATTAATAGACATAATTAACTTACATATCATCATTTAATTCTGACTATGTTCAGATTTATGATACTTCCACATGACTGGCAGTGTAACAAACTTTTGTCAAAGATGACATTGCCTTTTAAAATGATCTTTTTACATGCTTTTATTTTGAAATTTTTTCCTTAATTTTAAAGTTTTGCTGTTATTTTAAAGTGTAAGCCATTTCCAATAGATCCCAATGTAAGGAACTGAATCAAAACAAGTATAAAAATAGTCAGAAAGTATAAACATTCAATTAATCAATCACTCCAAGAAACACAAGCTCTCAACTTTGCATTGAGGTTTACGAAAAGATTTCAAGACTTTTGTTTTTGAATGGATCTTTAAGTGTTAGTGATGTGTAATTAGCACTGTTGCCTCTTAACAAGAAAGTTCCTAGTTCAATCCCCAGCCAGACAGAAGTCTTTCTGTGTCTCCTGTGGGTTCTTTTCACCTTTAGTCCAAAGACGAGCTCATTTGCATTCGGCTAATTGGCGACACCAGTTTGCCCGTCGGTGTGTGAGTTCTTGTTTTCTCTATATGTGATTGACAGTCGGCCTGTCTTGGGTGTACTCTGACTCTCACCTAGTGAAATCTGGGATGTGCTTAAGCCCCCACAACCCCTAGACAGTATAAGTAGTACAGATAATGGATGGATGGAAGGCAAATTTACCATACTTTGTATTTCATAGTTTTAGCATTGATTTTTACTATTTAAGGGTGTTGAAAAAAAGTTCAAAATCTGAATTAGGGCATCACTATCCTTAACAGTCCAAATGACAAACACAGAGTATATTAAGCTTGTATCTCACTCATATGTCATGTAACCCTTGAAATGTCACAAGATAATGAAAAATGTCATATTTCCTAAAGCCTTGGACTCCTTTTCAAATGTCCTGATTCCCCCTGACTAACTATCCACAGAAGAAGAAAAAGAAACCGTTTTTAAAGAAAGCAATATTACATTTTTACTTGCTGCTTTAGATATTGCATTTTAGGTGTAAATATTGTCGCTCTAATGCTGCAAAGAATGATAAGAATGAGGGTTTTTCATGGTTTTCGTATCTATTTAAAGCCTAATCTTGAAAATCTGCACAGACGCTGCTGAAGTCACTTGGGTGTGGAGTTGTTTTGAGCACAAGCTGTTAAATATATGTTATAGTCCACAGATGTTGTTTATTTGCGGCATTGTGAAAACGTTTAGGGTCTGTGGAGCAGGGGCTGATGGGAGTTGTTCATCCCTCTTCTATAGGTGTACCAGGAGGTCTGAGTGCCGGAGGGCAGAGGAGAAGAATGGCTGGCTGTGGAGCCCGAAGCAGCAGTGTGTCAAGATCGTCTCCTTCTACCCTCCAAACCTTTCCTGTAGAAAGACTCAGAAGGTACAGCTCTTCTCATTCTTTTCTGTGTCACTTTTGTTCTCTGCTCCTCTTTCCTTCACCGCAGAATGCACACAAACATACAGAGCCTGAGTAATAAACTGTTTCCATTGTGAATCAAAGACCCTGGGCTCTAGGTCTTCCTGCTTTGTATCGATCCATCGAGAAAACTCCAAGCTTGCTTATTATAACCGACCTGGTTGATTGTGCTCAAAGCTTGAAGATGGAGAGCCTCTCTTATTCGCTCTCTCTATCAAGTCGTTTTTTTTTTATTCCTCTGCTCCCTGACTGTTTCTCTTTCCTGTCCTCTCTGACTCACTCTTGTATTTCCATCAACAACACCTGTCCTTCTTTCTCATCCGCAATCAGCGCTCAGCCTCTTAATAGAAACTGTCTCTGTATTTCAGCTATTCAGTTACACAACTTGCTTGCTTCTCATTGTATTCGCTTCAGTGTAAACTGTTATCACACAGTCCAACGGGTCATGGTCAATAACCTTTCCAATAGCAAAACTCATCTCCAGCTGCATCCAATTCTGTAACATATGTGTTTCAGGTTAAGATCAACATCCCGTCCCTTCCTGCCATCGGGTTGTCTGACCATCTGCACTGCACCATCGAGAAATTTAGGAGTGAGGGCATGATGTCTGATTCTGGCCAGGTCTCCTGTGAGCTGCCCAGCCCTTCGCTTATACCTCAAACACCTGAGGGCCAAGGTACAGCCTTCATACTTAACCTCCTCTCTTTTTTTAGCGCCCTCCCTCAAGGCAGGTGTCTTTTGTTCCCGTTTAAACCGAGGCTGTCTGACCTGTTGTCAAAACAGGCACACACGAGCACTTCATGATTGATCGAAGTTTGTTCATTGATATTTTATAAGAGAGATGAGCCATCTCGCCTGAAAGAAACAAAGACCCCTTCCTTTAATATCATAAATAATTTAATTGATCAAATCTAGTTAACCTTGCCAGAGTAAAGCTATTATTTTTTGGGGTAACCAGGTAATTACCAGATTGATCACTGAAAAAAGGTGTAGCAGCATTAATGCTCTCAGCCTGTGGTGAAACAATCTCCTGTGAGAAAGAGAATTGGTTGCTCAGGACTTAATGGGAACTTGGAACCACTGGAGTACACACAGAGGGCAGTGATTTGGAGGGGAGAGTAGTGTCTGAACAACGATAACAACAACAACGACAACAACAATATTCAGCCCCTGGGCTCTCAACAGGTTTATCTCAATCTTTTAGTGGGTCTGTCTTGGGTCTTTACTAAAATATCTCAGGAAGTGCTGGAGAGACTGCATTTGTATTTCATAATACAATGTTCCCTTCAGGATACGAAGTAATAGCTCTCTCCTATTTGAGGTGTTTTTCCACCAAGTGCACCCGGTACATTTAGTTTCAGGGACTTCTCTTTCAGGAACTAAATAGTTCCTGTGACCTGCTGTTGTCTGCGTTTCCAACAGGGCCTGAAATCCAGGGTAAATAACGTAAATCAGCTCTATGACATCCAGGGAGGGCAATTTTAAATAAAGTTTCTCACATAGGTCTTTATTTAAGTATCTACCGATTTTTTTAATCCCCCAAAAAGTCACATGAAATCACATGAAATAGTGTCTCTTGCACGATTGCCCTTTGATGCCTCTACCTGTTTATCCTCCTCCCTGCTCAGCTGGTGTGTAAAACTGTTATGCTTGAAGTCCCTCTCCAATATTTCTTTAATACCTAAAGTGTTCTCAGTGGTCTTTAAATTGTGATTATGAAGTTTTTAGCCAACGTCCCGTTACCTCTGTCATTTTCAAGGGCTTTTCTTCTGCAGAGCTCCAGTAGATCATTAGCAATTTGCCTCTGAGTCGTGGGCAGAGACAGCGCTGCTCTGCACACTCCTCTTCATGCTAGCTTGTAGCCTTGTGCAGCAGAAGTAGCAGGTAACATAGGAGGTATTCAGCTCTCAGACACTAATGTCTTTGGGGACATGATAAAAGCTAATATCATAATTAGCTTTTTTACGTGCATTTCAATCCGCTAACGCACACGCTTTTTCCAAGATCGTCCTCTCTACTTCTCTGAGTCTGGCTTGCAGAGCAGGGTTCCAGAGGCGGAGCTTGCAGTTGTGACATAGGAAATCCCACTGAATCTGAACCTGCCGTTTGGGTCTGCCAGAGGTTCACGCAGATTTGAATGCAGAAATACTCAGAAATGCAATTTTGCACTTGGTTTTCTCATGTCCTCCAGCATCAGAAAAATGTGAACATGTAGACAACAAGATAAACATGATTTTCATCAGAGTGGGTCTTTACAGCTTAAAAACAAGCACCTTAATGACATTTTGATTGATGTTCTTTCAGAAAATATTAGCATGCTATCATGCTAAACATAGATCCCAAATGTAGCATAGGTTAAGTCTCTCACATAAGTTTGTAGCTGGTTATGAAATAGACTGAAATTAATACAGATTGTGTAGACTAGACCACCAGATAGAATCAGTTATTTCTATAATGTTGTTTTGAGTCTCTGTCACCCCTGCTGTGGGGACGGTAAATGACTGACAGCATGCTGCCAGAAACAGCCTCTGATATAATTTGCTCACTCCAGAGAGTCATTATGAGTTGCAAGTATGGTATTTAAAATGAATAGGGAAAGAGAGGAAAGACGTCCCACTGTGTCCACAGAGGTTGGAAAAATCAACACAGTCCTTATAGTACCTCAGTAGGGCCTGAAGTTTTACATGTTATTATTGTTAGTTTGACAATGGGAATACTGTTTGCATTCATTTCTTAAAGAGCAATTACATGGGTGCTGTCTAAAATTATTTTTATTAAAGAAACATAATCAGAAGTGAAGTTTAGGGCTTTGTCACAGTTTTTTTAAGAGATCATCTTTCTTTCCTTCAGAAGGAGGTGCAGCAGCCCTCTTTAACCCTTGTTTCTCTGTGTCCTCAGACTTTGTGGCCGTGGCGGTCAGGATTTACGTCAACGAAACGGTGGAGCTGGCAACGCGGGAGTTCAAGTTCTATAACTGCGCCGCCACAGTGAGGAAATCTGAAAACACACCGTGAGTCAGACTCTTAATCTATCAGTTCTGCTCTGTCACTCACCGAAAATACACAGTGACACTGAACACAGCATCAGCTGACAACCTTGATGTAAATGTATCACCCTGCATGAACAGATGAGAGATCAAGGCTGTGTTTGTAAATTGTGATGCATGGTGGTTTTGAATGCACCTCTTGCATTTTCTCGCCCCCCGTTTATTACCGAGCCGAGGAAATTGCCTCAGTTTCCTATTCATTAATCAAAAAATGAAAGTCAATCTCGCCATTTTTTTCCTCTCCTTATTTTTTCCTTCATTTCTTTTCATGCCGAGGAGTGTATGATGAACGAGCTTTGCTTATGTGAAGTTGCAGAGATCCATTTCGCTGTCAACGGCATGGATTTTGGCGCTGGACGCTCTTTGATGAGTTTGCACGTTTTAAGATTTTGTTTGTGTCGCGTGTGAGTGTGTGTCGCCACCTAATTATGTGTGTTAAAGCGTTACTCTCATCTTTGGTGTTTACGTGTCTGCGTTTCCGTTACGTTTCTCCAGGTGCATGTCATGTGTAGCCAGCTCGTGGGGCTGCCAGTGGAATACGCTGGACCACACCTGCAGCGACATGGATGAGAGTGTGCTCGGCCCCAACATCATCAATCACCGCCAGGTCAGCACCCTCAAGGGTTTTAACATATCAGAAACATGTCAGGGTGTTTATTTGTTGCACTATGTGCATGATAGATACCCAGAGAAGTAAAGCTGAAGTTTCAAAGGACACATTTAATTACCAGATGAGATAAAGCGCCCTGAAGACACAAATTTCTCCTGAAAATTAATAAAGAATTTAAATCCGGATATCAGCTGGCACCATCTTGCGTGACAAATATTGCAGGATTGAGGATATCAATTTACAAGTCAGCAGATGTTTCAGAGATACACTTATCTGTCTCTGCAGATCAGGGTGTCCGTTAAGTGGTTGGCGTAGTATTTAAAATGTAAATGATTGGAAGTTGGTGTATCTGATTTGTTTTGATTGCCTTCACAGGGAGCGAAGTGTCCCCAGTTTGAGAATCCAGATCCTGTGCTGATCCCCGTGGGCTACAAGACTCATATCAGCTTCGAGGGGATCAATTTGGACCTCTACCAGGTAAGAGTGGTACACACACAGAATTTAAAGCATCGCCGGAAAAGTAGCCTGCTTCTTAAAAAATCTCATGGGTGAGTATTAGGACCCAGAGTTTTTTAACAAGAGCATAAATTAGTGTGCCCGCATGAAAAACTCACTCTCTTACAAAACGTACTGGTGCAGAAATGATCTTTTACATGTGCAAGATGTGACAAAAAGGTCTCCAGATCATCATTAGCGCAAATTAGAGACTATATTATTAAAGATACGTGAGTGTACAGTTTAAAGACGTATGCTAGGAAGCACAAGTAACTGTGTGTGAGAGGAAAACCTCTGGTGCAAATAGTGACAGTTTGAGAAAAGGTTAAAATAGCTCTTGTGACATGCACGAGACCATTAAGCAGAAGAAGTTCACACCACTTTGAGTGCCATCGCAGAGTCCCCACCTCTTTCACGAGCCATTTGATCGCACTGAATAAACGTGTTTGAACTATAAGAAATCCAAGAGATAATCTCACACCCCCTCTTTTGTGTTTTATAACATGTTTTTGCAGGTTCACTTGTTTTCCTGGTATATTGAAGCCCTTATGGGCAACAGAGGAGGTAAATTATGCCAGCAGATGTGCAGCTGAGCCTCCGCCTGTGTGTTGTTGGAGGACTTATGAATGCACTTGTTGTCTGCTTACATGCCACACAGTTACAACAAACAAGTAAAAAAGAAACCAGTCATCCGGTCCAAACTTCTCTGGTTGAGAACAGAGGGGCTGAAAGAGTCTGCTGAACAAGATAGTCTTTTACATTTCTTGCTCTGTGGAGAAGGGAAAAAAGGGGGGGATCAGAGGAAAGCAGTTTGCAAACAGGATCTACATAAATTAACACACAATGTTTCTTGTTTTTATTCGTCCCATTCTTCAGGGTCGTCTTTTCACCATCGGCACCGAGCTAATGAAAAATGTAGAAGAGGAGGTTATATTTGAAGACGGGCCGTTCTACACCTTCAGAGGCTTCAACGTGAGTTCAGCAGCTCTCGAGTTGCTCTCCGCTCGTCTTGACTTGTTTTTTTTGTTTGTATGTCGGTTAGCCCCTGATTGTCCCTTTCGCACAGCATGTGGCCAATTTTCTCTCCACTCAACTGGGATGCTTGAACTATGGATGATTTGTGGATTAGGGGGGAGAAAAAAAAACTGTTACAGAATGAAAAATATTGAGTGCTACTTGATGGCAGATTCTTCAGCCCTGGGAGAGAAAAAAAAACTAAATGCAAACTTGTCATCTACTCTCAGCTGATTTCATCTTAAACTCACCCTTTAGCTGCTTCCTACAGCCCCTTTGATATTCTCTAGCTCCCTCTAATGGACAGACTCCCATCACTTATTTCAGCTGATCCCCACATTGTGGATTCTGTGATTGGGAAAGCTCAAGCAGTGCATAGCCTCCAGCTATGTTCTTTTCCATTGCTGATTTCTTCAGCTGAAAATCTGCTTGGCTGGATATGTTTTTTTTCCCTCGCTTTTTTTTTTCTCCCTTGGCATCGGGGAGCAGCAGCCCACACTGCTCGCAGAGAATAGCTTAACTGTCATTAATCACCGGGCTCTGAATTAATAATTCATTCTCTCTTATTTCCTTAGTTTTCCTTCGATAAGTCACCAGAGACCAATGTCCTTTTCTACGTGAAGGACAAGGAGTCAGGCAAGAAGATGGACAGCACACTGAATGGTACGCTCCCTTACATTTTAATGTGGAGTTCTTATTTATAATGCCCAGTGTGTACACCTCCTGTCCCAGTGTGGGGCCTTCAGTAGACACGAGGAGGCTGCATTTTTTTATTATCTTCAATAGAAAATTAATCAGAAAATTAACTGGAAATGACTGCATAATCATACATATTTTGACAGTAACTGTAAGATTCAGGGTCATTCATTACAGGTGGTGGTGAATCCTGTTTTGCATTTGTGTTGTCATGCAAATTAGAACAGCTTTATCAAATACAAACAAAGACATCTCCAAGTTGAGTCAGAATATGATTTTACGTCCAGTGTATGATCGACAGACCACACCGAGTATGCATACAGATTTTCCCAACAATCAACTCATTATGTAAACATTTATTTCATGTTTCAGGAGTGAAGCTGCACCTCAAAGCGCAGCAGAAAACATATTTTATGACTAATCATACTTTTCATTTAAAAAAGAGCCGTTTTCACCCCTGGGCAGTCAGAATTTTGAACAGTAATTAATTTTCAGTGATTTATTTTTTGTTGTTTATGAGCTGTTAATATTGCTTTCTGTTGCTGTTTAGGTTGATATATCATTATACATTCATTGATTGTTTTAATATTGAGGTATATGCACTTTGTTGCATCTAGAGTACTTAACGTTTGTATGATGATAAACCTTAAACTTTCTAGATGGCATTGTAAAATCTGTTTTAGATTCAGAGAGAATCAATATGATTAAAAAAAGCTCCAGAAAACGGACTTTAACGAAGCAGAAAAAGACAGTAGCACAACCGTTAAATCATCAAACACATGAGTTTAAACTAGTGTTGTGTAATAATTGAAATCCCTGCTGCACTCACCAAGAAGAGTTCACAATAAGTTTCCAAGACCTGATGCTCTACAGATAAAAAATGGATAAAGTTATATTTGTATTGTTTCGGACAGAGAGCACTGTGCCTCATGGCCATGTTTTTATTGATTCCAGTCTGTTCTTGGTACACAAAAAAATCACCCCAGATACATAGGGGCGCACAGATTGAATCATAACATGCAGAGAAAATGAAGGGTTTCTTTCTCAGCCCTGAGGGTAGGCTGTATGTTGCCCGTAAGGCGATCCCAGGGCAAAGAGGTCCACACATCACTTGCAGCTGCCCATTATAAGACAGCTCTAGCAATTTAGCATTCACTTCCATGACATTTTGGTACTCACAATGGAAAATAAGAAATACGAATCAATACAGCAGAGCCAGAGATATCATCTTTTTTTTTGACTCTACATTTTTCCCTCTTGTCAAAACCTGTCTTCTTCATAACCCACAGCACCTGCTTGAAAACTGACAGAGAAAAAGGTACTAGCAGCTACTATTTCCTGAAAATACTAGCCTTAAAACGGTTTACAGAACAACTCTTTTTGCTCTAATCTCTTACTAGCAGGGATTCAAGAGATATTTTTCATTTTGAGTTTTCATTTTTAAACTTGAAGTGGTGTAAACAGCTAGCCTTAAAATAAGTCTGAAAGATGGTCAACACGTGCCATGGTATCCTGCGTGTTTCTTACTTTGCATCCCAAGATTTTTCCCAAGATGTATAGACTCGTCGTCTTCTGCCCAAACCAACATTGAGTCAAATTTGGGACATCACTTTAAAGCAGAGCTAGTTTAGTCTGAACCAGCTAACTCTACACAGGGAGTGGACCGCACATTTCTAGTTTTCTCATTGGTTTCTTACTTCACACCCTCTTACGTTTTTGATGCTGGGATGAAAATCCAGCCACTTGCTTCTTAAAGACCTTAAGATGTGTAGTTTCAGGTTCATAATGTGTCCTCTTAAAGGGATATTCCGACGTAAAATTACTTTAGGGTCAAACACACCATAACACCGAGTTGGACATCCCCTAGAGAGATGAATGTTGCCGACCGCTTGCTTCTCTAGTTATACCAACTTTAGTAATGACCACATGATAGCGATAAACAGAGGTCTGAGGAGCCATACGCAAACCTCAACCAAAAAGCCACTCTAGAGTCACAAATTATGCTCAGAGCAGCACCTGAGTGGGTGAGTTGTGTTTAGTCTCTTTGCTAAAAAAATTAGGCAAAGTTTAAAAGATGTTTGATACTGGTACTATGGCTGTGACCCTTTATGTACTGTTGATGAAGTTAGGTGCTGTTCTGAGCATTATTTGTGGCTATAGAGTGGCGTTTTGGCTGAGGTTTGTTTATGGCTCCTCAGACCGCTGTGTATTGCTATCCTGCGGTCGTTACTAAAGTTGGTATAACTAGAAAAGCAAGCGGTCGGCAACATTCATCTCTTGAGGGGGCGCCCAACTTGGTGTTACGGTGGGTTTGACCCTAAAGTAATTTTACGCCAGAATATCCCTTTAAGTCATAATTCAGCTTATGATGCCGATCCATAGAGACCCACAAACAGACTTGGATTTCTACAGTTCCTCTTTAAGTGTACTGCAGTAAGTGCAAGGCAAACAGATACATTAATGATAATTGAGGTTTTTTCCAACTTGTGCCCCTATAGTTACCCTGTACAACTGCTCTGTGGGGAGGGAAGACTGCAGTCTCTGCAAGAACGCCGACCCAAAGTACCGATGTGTGTGGTGTGCAAAGCAGAAGGCGTGCGTGTACGAGAAATTGTGCCAGCAGGCGTCCGAAGACCCTTACAACGTCGAGTGTCCTGACCCCCAAATCACTGATGTGAGTAATGTCATCATTTCTTTACACTGACCTCTGAGCTTAAAACATGCAGTCAATGCTTTTGATCAGCAGCAGTAGAGTATTGACTTCTCTGATTGGATTATTGATTAAAAGCGAGTTACTGCTTGTGTATATGAAGTTGAAAGTGTGCCTCTCCTTGAGGGTGTATTGAGGTGATCTGCAGCGCATTTAGTTTGGATCAATTCCTTCATTGCTCACTTAATTGTTGGTGACTCATTGTCATTGACAGAAATCAATCAGTAATTGTGATTGAGGTTATGACTACACAAACTACAGCCAGGCTGATACAATAGCTGACAGAGATCTCACTGAAGAATGACTATTTGTGTGCTTTTTCAGCAGGGACATGGTTTCCGAGCATATTCTTTGTATTATCTGTTATATTAGCCGGTCATTTTCTGAACAGCTGACCAATGGTTTCCTTTTTTTTCTTTGCACCGGCTTATAAGGTTTAATTTAATAAGAAGACTTAATAGAATAAACTCATTTATCCTCTGACTTTTTCTCTTCATGCACTTTGTGGTTGACATTTCCACACAACTACTTAATGTCCCTGTACAACATTTTCATCAACTTCCATTTCCTTTATATAATGAATTGTATTATCTTCAACCTTTCCCCTGATCTTCTAATCTAATCATGTTCAATATTTTGGTTTGTGGCTCAGTAGTTGGAAAAATTAGCCATGCACCACCGTGGCGAACATCTAAACATAAAGTGCTCAGCATTAATGAGTACACCCCTTCAGAGTTGTCAGAAAACCTTTAGTTTCCTTTCAAAATCAACATTTTCTATGTCAGACTATACAACAAAATAAACCCCAAATGTAGGCCATTGTTTGCAAACAAGATTATTTTAAGTTGCTTACAAAAAAGTATTTTTTTCTATTTAAAATCAGGAAGCAAAAATGAGTACACCCCAATCAAAGTTCTGGGAGCAAAGCTACATTTTAGTGACCATATCACCCTTATTTTCATCTTACGGTAAATAAAATGTTGTGTTAAACTCAGCTTTGTCAAAACTTTGGAAATATTGAGTAATACATTACTTCTAATGGGGGGTATATGAGCTTATGCTGGGCACCGTAGGTATAGGAATGTCTGCTCAATCTCTTCAATCATACCATTACTCTCAGTCGCATCTTTGATAAGAGAATAATGTTGGGCTGTGGTGTATATTCTCACGCAAACGTTACTTTATTTCATCAGCCCTGAATTATTTTATTATCCTCAAGTATCTGTACCATGAATATAAATAATCCAGAGTTGGTCTGGCTCTAATACACTCACACACATTCATGCAAACATGACTCATACAGTACCAGGGCTTTGAATATTAAACACTTAAACTCCCAACTATTCAGCCGACTTAAACAGACTGTGTAAATCTTTTGTATGTTCGTATTGCACAACTAATCTGTCCAAATCCATTTCAAATCCTTTCTTCCTATAAACACCCATCCCATCCCCCCTCCACTCCACTGTATTCCCCACTATCCAGATCATCCCTCGTTACGGCCCCCTGAGGGGAGGAATCTCGATCACCATCCGGGGCTCCAACCTTGGCATCCACAAATCAGACATTAAAAGCATCACTGTGGTTGGGGAGCCTTGCATCCATCAGGAGGAGAAGTACTCCGTTTCCACGAGGTAGTACTTACACACATTGATTTATTTTATAATGCAACTTTATGAGAAGCAGCTGCTACACACACACACACACACACACACACACACACACACACAGACACAGACACAGACACGCACACTCTCGTTCTGTTATTTACTGTCACTTGAACTGTGTTTTAGCAAAAAAAAAAAGGCTTCTCTTATAAACTTTCGGGTACCTTATCAGCGTTGTAGAGCTTTGCCTTTCCTCGGGGTGACCTGGGTGTATATTTTAATTAGCTCATTATGCCAGCGTATCGATCTGAGAGTCTCCAGACACAAAACAAAAATCACTCTTTTAAAAGGCAAATGCCAAGGGTGGAAGAAGTATTCAGATTCTTTTTTTGAGTCGTAGCACCATAAAATAATCAATTATGAATAACCATGCTGCATTCAAATCCTACTTAAGTCACCGTACTGATGTACTGTCAGCATATATACTCCGAAAAGATGCCTGCGGAAAACATGCAGGATCTGTATTGAGTGCGTTCCGTATTTGCTCCATAGAGCAGCGTTGGGTATCGCGTACAGGATGCGTATTTAGAGCGTAAGAGCAGCGTAGTGCAACCCTGGTCAGCTGGGCTCAGTATAGAGGAAACAACATGCTCACAACAGGTTGTTTTGCCTTTCTGTGGTCTATTTCCTGCTACTTTGGATATAATTCACTGACCGTTGAGTCTACTTTATGTGAAAAAGCAATGTGGTTTTACAGTTTCGATTTTTGCAAGTTTACTCATGTTTAATTAGTTAAGTAAGTAAGTAAATTATATTTAAGTAAATTATTATTCCCTTATGCTGTGTTTTTACCTTCAGACAGAGTTAGCAGTTTTAAGTTCTGTTGGGGTCCACATGGATCAGGGATTGACCATCAGATTGTTCTGTGTTACTGATAAATCCCCAACCAGGAAGTATTTCTCATTTACACAAACTGATACACAGTCTGGAATTCGCATATGGTGTTTTATTTTGAAATACCGGATGACATGCACGGTTTTCGAGCTTGACTTCCTGTCTGGAATGACCTTCTCTGTGTGGCTTGACCATAGACTGTATATACTATAGACAACTTGGTTCCACCTTCCGCTAGTATATGGATTTGAAGCCAAAAAGCTCTTGGTAATTCTGCGTTTTCTCTCCATTTCCTGAAACCAACATTTCGCAGTAGCGTTGTACGCACTCCACCACTTGCACAGTAGCATTGTATGCATTTGGCGGGAGAGTCGCCGAGAGTCGCTGCGATGACGCTCCGCTCAAACAGCGTAACCCCACGGGTGAGCTACGCAATCCCTGAACGCCCATAGGCTGTATCAGGTGTCAATCATAAAAAACATGAACCCCCTAATAACTTAGAAAAAATAACTTCAACATCGCAAGCAGGGGTGAAAAAAATGTATGTTCTGTGTAATAAATTTCTAAAGTTTGTCCACAGCTCCATAAGCTTTGCTATCGAGGCGGGATTTATGACCTATACTGCAGCCCGTCACCAGAGGGTGCTGTTCTCGGAGTGGCTTCACCTAGCGAGGAGGCAGACAGTGTCCATTCCATATACAGTCTATGGGCTGGACGGGCATTGGAAACGCAGAGCAGCAAAAATAGACTCGCTGCGTATCTTTAGCAGTGCTGCTCTCGTTACGATGCTGCGACAGAGCTAATACCCGTCCTGTACGCTTTGCTGCATTGATTAGAATGGCAACCTATTTGCTGCATCAAATACAGATACTGTATGTTTTATAAGCTCGGCGAGGTCGAGCTTCTCAACTACTTTACTTCGGATGATAAATGGAGTTCAGCTGCTCACATTTCTCTTCATAAGTTTGCTCTTCTCTAACTTTTACTCCATGATAATTTAGATGAAATTATTTAAAAGTTTTACAGGGAAAATGCCATTCTAGTAATACTCCTAATAACTCATAAACACCTGATTCATGAAAGAAGGCCCCAAATGCCTTTGTAATGAGACACTCTCTAAAAGACTTGGGAATATGCTGATGCACCAAAGCACTATAAATACACCACTCCAGTTTATTGGCATCCAGCATTCGCCACAGATTTTTGGTGATGACTCCATGCTGCAGACTCTCTGTTCCTCCTCATCCCAGAGGTGATTTAATGAGCTTTTCCGGAATAAAAACTTACGCCTCACAAATCCACTCCAATCACAGCTGTGTTTAAAAAGTGTTTGCGTCATACAAATGGTCCTTAAAAGAGAGACTTCCACACTGATGCCTCACAGCTACTATAGCCAGAACTGTTGACACCTGGCAGGATTGATCAACGTTTATGACAAATTTTTTGCCCCGCCATCTGCAGGATGAGGCATAAAACAGGATTTATGAGACCAGATGGAGCGTTTTCCACCCTTAAATCATCTACTTTTGCTGCTAACGTGCCTGCTGCGGTCTTCATCTCGTTGTTAGCTGTCCTGCATGGCCGACTGCATGCTTTAGCTCATTTGCTTTAAATTGTCGGCTTTTCCGGTGTGATATTTAATTCCTTCACACGCTGTGGCTGTTAATTGTCTACTTGAAGCCCACCTGTTAGACAGAATGGGACTTGCCATTTTATGCTGACCTCTTCGATTAGTAACACACACTCTCAGAGGACCGTGGCAGACTGAGACGTGTTTGGTTAGTCACACATTTCCAAGTTTAATGTGGGAAATTCCCAGAGGGTCCAATTTCTAAGATGCTAGACACAAACAATCTGGCATAGGAAATCATACTATGTTTATAGCTGCTTACTCAACAACAGGATCTTGTTTAGCATGTGTTCCTACTCCAAAAGGTTGAATAAAGACATCTGATTTAGTCATTTTCACATCTTTATATTCAAGTTTTTTTTCCTGCTTCTCCAAATAACTGAAGCGAAGCTCACTATACTTTTGTCAGCCCATGTTAATGGTGTGATATTCATAAAAAATGTGTTATAACTGGATCAATGTAGCGATAGGTTGCATGAAATTGCTTCAGAGTGTAAGTTAAAGTAACACGGACAAAAAGGTTTGACTTGTAGCTCAAAAATATTGATCCATTTTGCAAACCTGCTAAGGTACCTAAGTTTAAGTTCATTAAGTACGGGTCCTGATGCATCTTTCTACATGATTACACCTGAGCACTTCATTAAAGTATTGTGTAGAATAATTAGCACACTAATAAACGAAGTGCAGAGTTGTTTTGCAGCCCTAGTCTTAATATATACTTATCTGTTTCCTTTTTTTCTTGTCCAGCGTGGTGTGCGAGATCAGCCCTGTTCGTGATTTGAGAAATAATGAGGGCCAAGTGCAGGTGGAGGTGAAGGGAGGGAAGACTGGAACCTCCTCCATTCACTTCACCTACAGGGTAAAAACTCTCCACACACACACACATACTCTCTCTCTTTCTCTCTCTTTCTAGCTCTCCACATTTTTCTTTTTTTAATTGTCTTTAGTGCAACCAGAATGAAGAAGTGATACTTTAACCCCCCAAAGACAAATCCGTATCACTTTACTTGACGCCTATCTCTATAATGCATTATAAATACATGTATAATGCATTATAATCCTGTTATAGCACTGTATTACTATAGTTATAAACACTCATAAATGATCAAAATGCTTTATAGCAATAATCAAAACAAATTATAAAGCATTTTGTCATGACTTACAACGTCAGGTATTATAATGTGTTATGCTTTTTGTTATAAATCCTTATGATAAATAACAAGTGTTAATAATGATAGTAATACAAGCTTATAAGCAAATTATAACACATCATAAATATATGTATAATGCTATATCTATGTGGGCATTGTCAGTGAGTTGTTAACAGTTATAACACATTATAATACCTGACCTTGTAAGTCATGATAAAATACTTTATAATGTTTATAACTATAATTATACAGTGCTATAACGTGATTATAACACATTATACATATATTTATAATGCGTTATAGAGATAGGCGTCAAGTAAAGTGTTACCGACAAAACATTCAGATGCCTTCAGCTGGTTTTGTTATTGTAAAGGTCATTGTTATATCCCGTTTCATTACTGCAGAGAGCCTCTTATCAGAACATACCAAGTCCATGTCTTTGACATGTAACGCACAAATAGAGCAATCCTCATTTGATAGTAGATGAAGCGCCTACATGCTGTCACATTACAATGGCAATGCTCCGTACAGTATAAAAAAACTAGAATTTGTATGCATTCACTCTAACCAGATGCAGTGCAGGAGGCCCCCTTTTCTCTCTAATGCTTTAACAGGCTCCAGCGTAGCTATTTAACCGGCTTTTCATATCTGTGGCTCCGCTAAAGCTCCCCCACAGGGGAGTGCTCCGCCTAACTGTTTGCTCAGCAAATTGAGGCAGATGTGGTGCTTGTATGGGTGTGTGTGTGTATGTGTGAATGTGTCTAATATAGCGGGGGAGATCAAGGAGGGTGCGGAGAAATGTGTGTGTGTGTGTGAGTGTGTGCATATGACTTGCACTGTGTGTGTGTGTGTGTGTGTGTGTGTGTGTGTGTGTGTGTGTGTGTGTGTGTGTGTGTGTGTGTGTGTTGTTCTTTTATGTGTGAGTGTGTAGGCTGCAGCTTGTGTGTGTGTGTGTGTGCATGTAAATGCTTGCAGAGGAAAGATGAGTGTATATTCATGCTGTGTCTTGCCAATCCCTGCACCTCCTCCATCCTCTCACTAGGACCCTATTCCTGAAGGAGTGAATCCCTCCAGGGGTCCCAAAGCTGGGGGCACCCTTATTACAATTACGGGGCGTTTTCTGGACACTGGCAGTAAAGAAGACGTCCGGGTCAATGTGGGGTCTGTGGACTGCAAAGTGTAAGGATTTCTTTTCTCAATAATTGTCATTCAAGCCAAACCCCATTTCTTTTCAATCCAGTCTCTTCAGCTGATAAGTGCTACTTGTTATTCAGACATTGTATTCCATGCAAATTCTACAGTATGCACACTTTGAAGCCCATAAATTGATTTCTTTTTTACATTCCTGCGGCGAAAAATGGAATTGACCTTAACTTAGGTGTCATGTGCATGATTTTTTTCCCCCTCCTGTTGCTGTTGTGATCACGGGTGTTCTGCCAAAACCAGCCCATGGTGACATTTTCAGCAGCAGTAACAAAAAACTAACGAGCTATAGAAGCAGCAAAGCCCGGATTTAACAAGCTGTCAGGCTGCTGCCATGTTGGCTTCCTCTGCACAGTGACCCTGTGTGACCCCGACTCTTTTAGCCACCCAGTGTTGAGATGTGTTCTTGTCTTGACAGGGAGAGCTTCGGGGAGAAGATCACCTGCAGGACAGGAGAATACCTGGAGAAGGTGCCTTCTGACCGCCTTGCTGTTTATGTAAGGTATGGAAAGAGCACCACAAAAACCATCAAAGGCGCCTTCAAATTCTCGGACAATCCTACAGTGCTGGACCACCGACCCCAAGGGAGCTTCATCTGGTCAGTATAAAATCACAGCATGAGTTCCTTTCACCTGGAATCAAAGTGTTTGTAATTCTGAGTTAATTTGATTAAGATTAAGAAATCAGCATTTCAGTAAAAAGTAAAGATGTTACTCTCCTTGTGTCCAGTCTGACTATTAGATTTCATATCTCTTTAAACTGGACCCACCAAACATCAGATGTCGAAGAGACGTGCAGATCAAGTCAGTATTGGGTCGGTCTGTCAAAGACCACATCTAGACGTCAGTGTGACGTGCAAAATAGGTTAGAAATTTCAACATCCAAATTGGACTTTTTTTAGACGTCGTTCTGGCTCAGAATTTGGCTGTCATTTGAAGACCAAATCTAGACGTCGGCATAGTGTGCAAAATGGATCCAAGATATAGACGTCATTATTGGACCTCTTTTAGACGTTGAAATGACGTCCACATTTGTACCTCATCGTCGAAAAAGTGCGTTAAATAGATGTCATTTCAACGTCGCATTGCGCAGTGGGGAGCTGCTTTTATTCTAAAGAGACCTTATTTCTTCTTGTGATTTTAGATAGAGTCAAAGTTAAATTCAAAACCAATAAACTATGTTTGTAGGCCCACCAATTCAATCCCGACTAAAATACCTCAAGTGTGGGATAGATTGCCATGAAATTTGCTTCAAATATTCAAGGTGCTAATGGAATAGACCGTGGTAATCATGGTGTTGCCTTGGCTGTTCCTCTCTCCCCCACAAGACGGTTATTATTTGTGGTTTTGAGTTAGATGTCCAAATAACTTCTCAGTGGATAGTGGTTAAAATTGGTATACAATATCATGTTCCCTTAGGATGTTGTGAAATAACTTTTCTATTTCCTGACTTTTTTATTCAGGGCGGCTATCAGGTCAAAATTTGACTTGGCCCAAAACTTAACTTTATAACAAAACGCCTGCAGACTTAATGACTTTTAATATTGCTGTGGGCTTTATTTACAGAAATCTCTCCCATGGAAATCGTGAATTTTTTTTCATCATGACTAGCTGATATGGTTACTTAAAAACTGGTTTATAGCAGCTTGAAACTACCCTCAGAAACCTCAAACTTTTCCTTATTTTTGAAGCGAAGAAGTGAAGAAGGAACAGCAACAAATTGACATTGTTGACAAAGTCAAACCGAACAATACTGCTGTGGAAAATCGACCACTAAGAAAGACACCTGCCCCCTTCTTGCCCTGCAAACCTCTATCTGTCTTACACCTTGGTAGAGATTACAAATACTAAGAAGCATTTTGTTTTGAAACACAGGATTTGTCCTTTCCTGAGTTGCCCAGTATGCCTGTGTTTTGTGTGTTTGCCTGCAGGACATTTTCCACTCTTACTTTTGATCATCTGAAGGAGTTACAAATGATAGCCTTTGATGCTGCACCAAACTGCTTGATGATCACTGAAAATGGATGCATTAGACAGTTATCTTGCTTTTCTGTGCGATTGAAAGCACCAGGGTGTGTGTGTGTGATGAGGAACACAGACTGAGACAACAGACAGGCTAAACTAATTTGTTTTCATCTTTGCTGAAAATTACCCGAGGTGCAATTTAAGAAGCGCGTATGTCTTCCCGTAACTCTCCCTGGGGGCTTATCTTTGTTTGGCTGTTGATATACACACCCATATATGTGTTTAACTCTGTTGTCTGTTCTACTCTTATGCTTCTGTGTTTTTCAGTGGAGGGAGGACCATCGTGGTGACTGGCTTCGACTTTGACCTGATCCAGACTGCTGTCATGAAAGTTGAAAAAGACAACTCGATATCTGTGGAGGTGTGTCTTCAATTGTCTCTTCTTTTCCTTCCATTTATCATCATCTTCCCTTCTTTACCTCAATCAGCCTGCTGATTATCCAGCTCTAAAAGTCATCATTTCCGCGCTCATATTACTCTCTCTTGGATTTCTATTTTCAACAAGTCTTTGCTTCAGAGAATTTCTACCTTTCAATCTGTTTTTCCCCTCACAGTAGCAGCACAGTCCATCGATCTCCCCACATCTCATGAGCCCACGACTGCTGTGGTGATTCACTCAAACTCTGGAACATGCAGCACACACCACCAAACTTTTATCCTCCTCACTTCCATGTGCCAGTATGACTCCATCTCATTTTTAGGGCCATAAATCCATCAGACCTGCAGGAATGCAGATAGCAGCAGCACTGTTTCACCCTCAGCACAATATGACTATGTTCCTCGTCCAGCTCCTTCAAGCGGCGCTGAGTCTGCCAGGAAACTTGAAGGAATTGTACACAGCCTGCTGCCGTCTGCCCCCCAGTGTACTGCACAGCGTTAGCAGCACTTTCGTTCATTTCATTAAAAGGGCTAAATTTAATACCGGCATTAAGGTTGCAGAGGATTATATGACTCCACTGGCCTTCACCACTTTACTCTTGGCCATGTTTCTAGCCCCCACTACCAGGGCGCAGGGGGGGATTTGAAAAGGCTTCTGACTGCCATAAAATATCCGGGATGTTAAGTTTTATCTCAAAGGCCTTAGCTGGTCAACTTCATAAGCTTCTCTTGGTTTTAAGTCTATCCACTGAACTAGACCCAAATATTTAGAGTTTATGACTGCTCGCTTGTGGCGAAAACATCTTGAGTGTTACACTAGCAGCCAAAAGCAGAGATGGGTATTTCTTTTTCTCTTGAATTCCCCTCAGACCTCATTTGTAATTGTAAACTTCTTTTTGTGGATTGCATCAGCTGCTTTAACTTATCCTAGTTGTACTATAAATCTTACTACTAGACTGAAATTAGATGCCTCAAGGGATTAACTGTTTCTGTATATTTATAACTAAAAACTGGCAGGAGTAACTGTTGCATAGAAAGAGAATACACTAGAAACAATTTGATAATAATCACTTAGTTAATAATGGCATTTGACATAACATGACCTTTGATAAACATAGAATAACACAATCAACGATTAACCAAGGAAATACTTAATAAATAAAAACTGAATCCTGTGAATATAAGATTCACCTGCATTTATAAAGGATCTGAATCAGTGTTTTACACATTTTTCTACTCCCTCTATATTCTGAAAACTTATTCCACTCACACCAATCATAACTGTTGTCATTTAGCAACGATATAGCATATTTATAAGAGGTTGAAATGTATTAGATTTCATGATTTTTGCCACCGTACCAGTATGGATACATGTATGACTGCATGACTTTGGGTGCAGCAATAACATCCCAGAAAAATTCTGTGTATCACATTGGATTTTAGCGGAAAACCGCAGAACGTAAGATGGCTAGCAAGATGGTATTTTAATGTTAGCTAGCTGACATTAGGAACAAGACATCCCACTCAAAGCTTTCTTTATTAGAGATGGAGCGTTATAAGCTAGGGTAATAGTATGAAATGGCCACCAACTAGCTACAGTGGGTCTACAAAGCGGACAATTTATAGGCACAGTAGTTGTTAGGCAAAGAGCACAGAGTCAACAAAGTTATTCTTCAGTGAAGAGAAGTTGTTTCCCCACAACTACTTTACTGTAAAATGAAACAATTTTGATATAAACTGCAGTTTTAAAGAGATTAAACAAAGGTTGTGTATTTTTTTGCATTGTTCCCTAACTTGCCTTCTTATGCGCTAAGCTAACAGGCCTGTAGCTTCATGTTTAGCCTCTAGCTTCTCTGCTTTTTCCTCAGATTGTTGAACTTTTCCTCCTCATGTGTAGTCATTAGTCGCACAGCGGTGCGGCTGCTTCAGATTCACAGTTTAAAGCGATAACTCAAAGACAACTTTATTGAATATTGCTTGATTTTTATTTCAAAGCGTTATTTGATGTTGCTTACCCCTTTTGCCCTGTCCTTTCAGAAAGCTTTAACTGTGCGTAGGACTCAGGAGCGTAGCTGTCACACACGGTATTGTCAGCCCTGTATCTGAACAATCAAAGTGACAGAAATATCACAATTGGTCCAGTTAATCAAAGACAAAACAAAGCCAGTGGAGGAATGACTCAGAACAAGTTCTGATTCATCGGAGGCTGTTTTTCACAACGGCAGATTCGGATTTAAATAGACAACTGAAAAGGGAATTATATATTTTATCTCCCCATCCTACCAATCAGGCTTTTATCTTCATCCACACCACCCCCAAAACACTCTTTACTTATGCAACTATAGTTACTATTTCACCGCCTCTTCTCGAAAACTCCCACTGTTGGCTTTCTGATCTCCCAAATTTCCATGTCAAAAAACACCAAATTATTATTTTTGTGCTGCGTGTCAACAAACTGCATAACTGTCAAACTGTTTGAATCAGCTGTGGTCTTCCTCTCTGTTTTTCAATTCTTTAGGAGGCTCATGAGAAAAACGACACCGTCATCAAGTTTCGATCTCCAACAGTGAACGGCTCCCTGAGTCAGCCGTACAAAACCTACATCCAGCTGGACAACTTCGTAAAGGAGCTGAAGCCCTTTGACTATCACCCTGACCCGACCTTCAACGAGCTGACCAAGAAAGTCATCACTGAGGCCAGCCTCATCATCGTCACTGTGAGTATAGGCTGCCCGGGCTCCTTATTATGCTGCAGTTTATGGGAAAGGGATTAAGATGAATGGTGTTATTATCTAACTGGAGGAAAAATGTGGAAAAGATGCTGACTTTACTTATTTTCTTCTTTTTTTTTTAGCTGCTTATGTTGTTTGGTTTGATTGGGTGTTAAAAAAATATTTAAATAGCTGGACATTCAATATTTCAGCTCAGTGGAGTGATTATTTTTGGAGTTAGATTAACTGAGACAAATGCAGAATAAAAGTTGCAATTATCAACATCTTTTTCTTGTAACCCTCTGGAAAAAGAGGTCATGTGAGAATTTGGAAAGGTCATGGGATGATTAACAGAAGAAAAACTTATTTCTGGGACACCTTTTACTCTTTTTATGCTGCATCATAGGAAAATTTTACCATTCCTCAAACTCAACAAACTCTTCCAAAACAAATGTCTGAAAATCTATGTTTCATATTTGGTTGAGTGCATTCAGCCAGCTGAGCAAAGCTTCCTTTAATGTGGTTGTAGGTCAAATCATCAGAACATGTAATATAGAGATAGATCACTTAGATTAGTTGTCTTAAAAGTCTGAAATCTGACCCCTCTTAGCACTTCTTTAGATGTTGGATGTAAATTTTAACAACCTTCACCAAGATCAAGACAAAAAGAAAGAGAGAAAAAAAGGATTTAGAACATACCTGCCAACACTCCTGTTTTTCCCAGGACTCTCCCATATTTCAGACCTATCTCCCGCCCTCCTCCTGTATTGTCATTTCTCCTGGGAATCTCCCGTAGTTTGATGGTCCACGTTCATTCATGAATCGGATCACTATATTTGTCCAAAGTTTCCAGACAGCCGAAGATTGTCCTGTGTTTAGATGAGCCTCACAGACACTGGATTGATACTTTCACTTTACAGCTTTGGATGATTCAAGTCGGTTTAAACTGTAAACTACATTTAAGCAGTGTTTGTCGCAAAATAAACACTTCAATGAAAGGGAAACAAACATGAGATATAATGTTTACATTGACAGTCTTGCACCGTCTCGGAGTGATGCGTTCAGGGCAGCCTCAGATAAAAGAGTGCGGTATTACACACACAGATGTTTAGAGAGCCTCATACGGGAGAGCATGTCAAACATACGAGGACTTTAACAGCAAAAGTAGTGGACTAAATAAGTTCAAGGCATACTGTAGCTATTATTTTTTTAGGGCCCGAGCGTAGCTGCTAAGCAGCTGCGAGAGCCCTCTTGTTCCTGATGGATTCTTTAGGGCCCGAGCGTAGCTGCTAAGCAGCTGCGAGAGCCCTCTTGTTCCTGCATGTTTCCTTCTTTCGTTATTATTTTTCCTCCGCTTTAAACTGGAAAATGGCCCACTTCCCACTGGCGAAAACTCAGGAAATTTGGCAGGACGACCGGGCCTGGTGAAAAATTCGATATTCTGAAGTCGCCCAAACAATAAAATGTAAAATGGCTCCATAGCGCCCCCTAAGGTGAAAATTCACATGACGGCTGTACGCTTTGTCATATTGACACAAAAATTGACACACACATGTATCTCAATAAGATCTACAAAAAAGTCAGTGCGGGCGTATCTGTCAAATGTACGGTTAATGGGTTATTTTGCATTTTTTGCAGATCTGCACACATTGGAATTTCGCTAACTCCTCCGAAGGCTTTCGTTCGACCGGCACCACATTTGCGCAGGCCAATCTACCCCCCATGGCCATTAAAAGTTGTACAAATCATGACGCTGCACCCCACGGTTTACGTTCTAGGGGGCGCCAAAGATAACCCAAAATCCACATTCTTAAAAGTCTTATAACTTTTTATTTTTGTCCTCACTGCCCTCCAAGTTTTCTAGGATAATGCAATGTCCAGCCATCAACACATTTGTGAAGGAATTTTTACTCCCCAAAAGAGCGCCCCCCCATGGCAGGAGAAAAAAGTCAATTTTTTCTTGTCCCCTTACATGAAAATACACATTGTTGAGTGTCACGCCTGAACGCTTTGTCATATTGACACAAAAATTGACAATCATGTGTATCTCAATTAGATCTACGAAAAAGTCAAAGAGCGCGTATCTGTATAATGTACGGTTAAAGGGCTATTTCGCATTTTTTGCCGATTCGCACACATTGGAATGTGGCTATCTCCTCCTAAGGCTTTCGTCCCACCGATACCAAATTCGCTCAGGGCAATCTACACCCCATGCCCATTCAAAGTTGTAAAAATCATGACGCTGCACCCCACGGTTTACGTTCTAGGGGGCGCCAAAGATGACCCAAAAATCCACATTCTTAAAAGTCATTTTGGCCACTGCAGGAGTACAGAGTACTGCAGTTCTAGGGGGCGCCAAAGATGACCCAAAAATCCACATTCTTAAAAGTCTTTTTGGCCACTGCAGGAGTACAGAGTACTGCAGGATACACACACATATACACACACACACACACACACACACACACACACACACACACACACACACACACTCAGAGTCTGTTTTTTAGCACCTGCAAAAACATGCTGTTTACATATTTCACAAGAATGCAGAGGCTTCCTTTTGCCCCTGAAAAAAATCAGATTTCAAACACAACTTGACTGTTCATTTCTCCAAAAGACAACCATGAAGCTCCATCCAAACCTGAAGCAGATAGTTGGTGCATGTGTACAGTAACCTGAGGGGAGTGAGGTGACTATTTCTGAGGAGAACATGAGCAGTGAAGATTCACCTTGGAGCTAGAACAGGGACGTGCACATGATTATACAGGGGCAGGGGCTCAAGTTTTTTCCAGTCATTTATACAATATGGAAATTAATGTGAAATTAAAACACAAATATGTGTGATGAACTGTTTTTAAAACTTAAACTTCAAATAAAAATTGTAAACTTCAAAACATATGCAAATTTTTAACAAAGAACATAGTAATTTACCTCTATTTACATCAAAATGCAGGCAATGGCCCAGGCGTTCTTTGTAAAATTATTTACAAAACACTGTATAGTCTCACAAATGTCACTTTTTATTTATGCCACTACAAAAAAACATGATGTAAATGATGCATGATGTAAAACATGATGTAAAAAACTTGTGTAGATCCTCCTCTATGGCAGTCCATGTGTAATTTTTCCATAATTCTTTGTTTTTTGCAGCATTTTTGTTAGTGTAACTGCAGATTGTGCTGACAGTCTATGGCAAAAAAAACAAAAACTGAAAATGCCTCAACATGAACCCCTGGTGGTCTCTGAGGGTGAAACCTGCTAACTGCTGCAGCTCTGTCAGCTTCAGTCTCCCATGCAGAGCTCGGAGCGCATATGTGGCTCTGCACCCTTAGCAGCGTTGCTAACTCCTCAGTAAGGAAAGCCTGCTTCATGTCAGAGTCTCTAAACTCCAGAAGAAGTCGATAAAAGTCCCTTTCTTTCTAAAAAGTCGTTAGGGGGTCTGAAAAGTAATTGAATCTAACAACAAAGTCGCTAGGTTTGCAACTACGTGTCCCAGACTGCATCCCTGCTGAGAGTCCCTCCCTCCCTTCTCATGTTGCAGGAAGAACGTAAGCGCCCGCCCCTTGTCAATCAGTCACCATATAATTTTGGATTGGTTGTTGTGGTGAAGTTTTCCACCAATAGGAGAGATGTTGTGGTGTGTTTTTTTTTTCTTTTGGCAAGCCTTTTCCGCCTGTAAGACCTGTCGCTAATGTGTGCATGCTATGTTTTCCTGTCTCATACAGCGCGATCGAGCGCCGAACGTGATCAAAATAAGCAGAAAAAAAGTATTGCGGACATAATTTATCATAACTCTGGTTTTATTTGGCCTATCAACACAATTTAAAAACTGGTATATAGGTTGAGGTCCTCACTTTTGAGATAAGTTGAAACGAAGAGTTAACGAGGCTCCGTCTTGCAGCTACATCCGGTTAAATATGTCATGTGACTTGAACGCTGGGGAGCGTCAATCGAATCGAATCAAACCTAACTCTCAGATGAATCTTCAAAATTCACCTCAGAAATATGCTTATTATTCTTCTCAGAGTACTGCAGGATACACACACACAGACACACACACACACACGCACACACACACACACACACACACACACTCAGAGTCTGTTTTTTAGCACCTGCAAAAACATGCTATTTACATATTTGACAAGAATGCAGAGGCTTCCTTTTGCCCCTGAAAAAAATCAAATTTCAAACACAACTTGACTGCTCATTTCTCCAAAAGACAACCATGAAGCTCCATCCAAACCTGAAGCAGGCAGTTGGTGCATGTGTACAGTAACCTGAGGGGAGTGAGGTGACTGCTTCTGAGGAGAACATGAGCAGTGAAGATTCACCTTGGAGCTAGAACAGGGACGTGCACATGATAATACAGGGGCAGGGGCTCAAGTTTTTTCCAGTCGTTTATACAATATGGAAATTAATGTGAAATTAAAAAACAAAGTATGACTGTCCTGTGTAGGTGACAGTGATATCCAATAGGCTAGGCACTCACGAGGCTGGCTGTGGCAAGTGTAAGTGAAAGCAACACGCACTGGCAGGAAGAACAGCAAACGCCGATGAAGGAAAAGGGTCTTTGCAGTGATGGGCGTTACCAGAGAGGGCGATGGCCAGAGGACACGAATGGGACGGGGAGGCAGCGCGTTGGGGGGGGGGGGGGGGGCGACACGGCTCAGGCCCGCCAGTGCCCCAACGGGGCCCTAGTTAGGGCCCGAGCCAGCTGCAGAGCAGCCGGGCGTAGGCCCTATTATTCCCCAAGTGGTTTTTCTTTGTTTCTTTCTTTCTTTTTTCTTTTTCCTCCCCTTTGAACTGGAAAATGGCCCACTTCCCACTGGCGAAAACTCATGAAATTTGGCAGGACGACCGGGCCTGGTGAAAAATTTGATATTCTGAAGTCGCCCAAACAATAAAATGCAAAATGGCTCCATAGCGCCCCCTAAGGTGAAAATTCACACTATTGACTGTCACGCCTGTACGCTTTGTCATATTGACACAAAAATTGACACACATATGTATCTCAATAAGATCTACAAAAAAGTCAGTGCGGCCGTATCTGTCAAAATTACGGTTAAAGGGTTATTTCGCATTTTTTGCCGATCCGCACACATTGGAATTTCGCTAACTCCTCCGAAGGCTTTCGTTCCACCGGCACCACATTTGCTCAGGCCAATCTACACCCCGTGGCCATTAAAAGTTATCAAAATCATGACGCTGCACCCCAAGGTTTAGGTTCTAGGGGGCGCCAAAGATAACACTAAAATCCACATATTTAAAAGTCTTATAACTTTTTATTTTTGTCCTCACTGGCCTCCAAGTTTTCTAGGATGATGCAATGTCCAGCCATCAACACATTTGTGAAGGAATTTTTACTCCCCAAAAGAGCGCCCCCCCATGGCAGGAGAAAAAAGTCCATTTTTTCTTGTCCCCTAAGGTGAAAATACACATTGTTGAGTGTCACGCCTATACGCTTTGTCAAAATGACACAAAAATTGACACACACATGTAACTCAATAAGATCTACGAAAAAGTCAATGCGCGCGTATCTGTCAAATGTACGGTTAAAGGGTTATTCCGCATTTTTTGCCGATCCGCACACATTGGAATTTCGCTAACTCCTCCTAAGGCTTTCGTTCCACCGGCACCACATTTGCTCAGGCCAATCTACACCCCATGGCCATTAAAAGTTATCAAAATCATGACGCTGCACCCCACGGTTTAGGTTCTAGGGGGCGCCAAAGATAACCCTAAAATCCACATATTTAAAAGTCTTATAACTTTTTATTTTTGTCCTCACTGGCCTCCAAGTTTTCTAGGATGATGCAATGTCCAGCCATCAACACATTTGTGAAGGAATTTTTACTCCCCAAAAGAGCGCCCCCCCATGGCAGGAGAAAAAAGTCCATTTTTTCTTGTCCTCTAAGGTGAAAATACATATTGTTGAGATTCACGCCTATACGCTTTGTCATATTGACACAAAATTTGACAATCACGTGCCTTGCCTGGTATCATTTTTTTCAGCACAACCTCACCTGTGCGAATTTACAGTTATTTTATCATGTTGACATACTGAATTTACACAATGGACCCAAATTCACACACAAAACATAAAATCCGAGTGGAAAAAAGTAACATTTTTACTGTGAAAACCACAAATATGTGTGATGAACTGTTTTTAAAACTTAAACTTCAAATAAAAATTGTAAACTTCAAAACATATGCAAATTTTTAACAAAGAACATAGTGATTTACCTCTATTTACATCAAAATGCAGGCAATGGCCCAGGCGTTCTTTGTAAAATTATTTACAAAACACTGTATAGTCTCACAAATGTCACTTTTTATTTATGCCACTACAAAAAAACATGATGTAAATGATGCATGATGTAAAACATGATGTAAAAAACTTGTGTAGATCCTCCTCTATGTCAGTCCATGTGTAATTTTTCCATAATTCTTTGTTTTTTGCAGCATTTTTGTTAGTGTAACTGCAGATTGTGCTGACAGTGTCTATGGCACAAAAAAAAAAATAAATTAAAATGCCTCAACATGAACCCCTGGTGGTCTCTGAGGGTGAAACCTGCTAACTGCTGCAGCTCTGTCAGCTTCAGTCTCCCATGCAGAGCTCTGAGCGCATGTGTGGCTCTGCACCCTTAGCAGCGTTGCTAACTCCTCAGTAAGGAAAGCCTGCTTCATGTCAGAGTCTCTAAACTCCAGAAGAAGTCGATAAAAGTCCCTTTCTTTCTAAAAAAAGTCGTTAGGGGGTCTGAAAAGTCATTGAATCTAACAACAAAGTCGCTAGGTTTGCAACTACGTGTCCCAGACTGCATCCCTGCTGAGAGTCCCTCCCTCGCTTCTCATGTTGCAGGAAGAACGTAAGCGCCTGCCCCTTGTCAATCAGTCACCATATAATTTTGGATTGGTTGTTGTGGTGAAGTTTTCCACCAATAGGAGAGATGTTGTGGTGTGTTTTTTTTTTCTTTTGGCAAGCCTTTTCCGCCTGTAAGACCTGTCGCTAATGTCTGCATGCTATGTTTTCCTGTCTCATACAGCGCGATCGAGCGCCGAACGTGATCAAAATAAGCAGAAAAAAAGTATCGCGGACATAATTTATCATAACTCTGGTTTTATTTGGCCTATCAACACAATTTAAAAACTGGTATATAGGTTGAGGTCCTCACTTTTGAGATAAGTTGAAACGGAGAGTCAACGAGGCTCCGTCTTGCAGCTACATCCGGTTAAATATGTCATGTGACTTGAACGCACACACAGACACGCACACACGCACACACACACACACACACACACACACACACACACACTCAGAGTCTGGTTTTTAGCACCTGCAAAAACATGCTATTTACATATTTGACAAGAATGCAGAGGCTCCTTTTGCCCCTGAAAAAAATTAAATTTCAAACACAACTTGACTGGTCATTTCTCCAAAAGACAACCATGAAGCTCCATCCAAACCTGAAGCAGGCAGTTGGTGCATGTGTACAGTAACCTGAGGGGAGTGAGGTGAGTGCTTCTGAGGAGAACATGAGCAGTGAAGATTCACCTTGAAGCTAGAACAGAGACGTGCACATGATTATACAGGGGCAGGGGCTCAAGTTTTTTCCAGTCGTTTATACAATATGGAAATTAATGTGAAATTAAAACACAAAGTATTAATAGAAAGGTAATGACTGTCCTGTGTAGGTGACAGTGATATCCAATAGGCTAGGCACTCACGAGGCTGGCTGTGGCAAGTGTAAGTGAAAGCAACACGCACTGGCAAGAAGAACAGCAAACGCCGATGAAGGAAAAGGGTCTTTGCAGTGATGGGCGTTACCAGAGAGGGCGATGGCCAGAGGACGCGAATGGGACGGGGAGGCAGCGCGTTGGGGGGGGGCAGCGCGACACGGCTCGGGCCCGCCAGTGCCCCAACGGGGCCCTAGTCTTTTGTTATTATTATTATTATTATTTTTCCTCCGCTTTAAACTGGAAAATGGCCCACTTCCCACTGGCGAAAACTCATGAAATTTGACAGGACGACCGGGCCTGGTGAAAAATTCGATATTCTGAAGTCGCCCAAACAATAAAATGCAAAATGGCTCCATAGCGCCCCCTAAGGTGAAAATTCACACTATTGACTGTCACGCCTTTACGCTTTGTCATATTGACACAAAAATTGACACACACATGTATCTCAATAAGATCTACAAAAAAGTCAGTGCGGGCGTATCTGTCAAATGTACGGTTAAAGGGTTATTTCGCATTTTTTGCCGATCCGCACACATTGGAATTTCGCTAACTCCTCCGAAGGGTTTCGTTCCAACGGCACCACATTTGCTCAGGCCAATCTACACCCCATGGCCATTAAAAGTTGTACAAATCATGACGCTGCACCCCACGGTTTACGTTCTAGGGGGCGCCAAAGATAACCCAAAAATCCACAGTCTTAAAAGTCTTATAACTTTTTATTTTTGTCCTCACTGGCCTCCAAGTTCTCTAGGATGATGCAATGTCCAGCCATCAATACATTTGTGAAGGAATTTTTACTCCCCAAAAGAGCGCCCCCCAATGGCAGGAGAAAAAAGTCCATTTTTTCTTGTCTCCTAAGGCGAAAATACACATTGTTGACTGTCACGCCTTTACGCTTTGTCAAAATGACACAAAAATTGACACACACATGTATCTCAATACGATCTACGAAAAAGTCAATGCGAGCGTATCTGTTCAATGTACGGTTAAAGGGCTATTTCGCATTTTTTGCCGATTCGCACACATTGGAATGTGGCTAACTCCTCCTAAAGCTTTTGTCCCATCGGCTTCAAATTTGCTCAGGCCAATCTACACCCCATGGCCATTCAAAGTTGTACAAATCATGACGCTGCACCCCACGGTTTACATTCTAGGGGGCGCCAAAGATGACCCAAATATCCACATTCTTAAAAGAATCCAATTCCCCCCCCCCATCCCCCATCCCCCATCCCCCATGGCAGGAGAAACAGTCAAGTTTTTCCTGCCCATCACTCAATGGCTCAATCGCATCACTCTCCCGGCAACACCGTAACGAGAAGCAACTTGCCGTTTGGATATATCCTAGCTGTGTTTGTGCCCTCACTCATGGTCCAGACTTTTTTCAAATAGGACATGTAGTTTGTCTGCAGCGAGTGTTTTGGTAGAAACTGCGCCTCCCATTCATTATAATGGGAAATGACCACAGACAAGTGCGCATACCATCTTTGGACCTTGAGTGTGACGCGATCGGGAGGGGGAGGCGGTCGCGCTGGGGGCGGCGCAACGCGGCTCGGGCCCGACAGTGCCCCACCGGGGTCCTAGTTTACTATTTGTTATTGTTAAAAAAAACAAAAAAGTGTGCAGCTTCACTTAGACTTATTTGGATGAGCTATCTAATTACAAATACTCTCATAATGAGCTCATATCCACCATACATGGTAACCCCAAAACTGCTGGGTGTGCGCCGCAAAAATCTCCCGGATTTTATAACCCAAATGTTTGCAGGTATGATTTAGAATAATTCAAGGAGATCTATTAGTTACAATGTTGGGTGTCTATACTATAACTCAGCAAGGTTTCACAACATAAGCTACATGGATGTTTTCTAGTAATGAAAAACTCTGTTTAGCTAAGCGAGACTTAGCCTGAAGCTAATGTCAGGCTCTGCTGTCCAATTACGTCCCGCCCCCTTTGGCAGCTCTTTCAAAATGTTCCTCTGATCGGCACTTTGTTGATTCAGAGTGTTTTTGAAAGTTGTTTATTTGTGAAGTTTTTTTTGAGGTGTGTGAAAGATAGCCACAGCTATTTTCTCTTCCCAAAGATAAAGGTACCAGAAAACTGTGGGGAACTTTTATGTTGACAGGACAATAAGCGGCTGCAACTTAGCTGTCTGTGCTCTTCACTCCACTGATGACTCCTTTATAAACAGAGGCCAGCACAAGAGGAATTTGTATCTTGGTTGTTACTGAAACCGGGGGCTGTTTTATCTATAGAGAGCTTTCATGAAGGCTCCATACCTGATCAGTTATCCATTATTTCATCATCATTATTAATAATTTGATCTACAAACTCTGATGGAAGTTAAAACGCCCTCTGAAATCTTCGTAAACTCTTGTTACGTGTGAAGAAAAATAGATTTTTCCATTTTTCTGACAAAAGAAAATTGGCAAATCAGTGCCACACTTAAATAACCCACAGTCTTTACAGTTGATTGCATCTTTTAATTCAGCTTCAGATCTACCTCACACCCTTTATGTCAGTTCTCAGGTTCTTCAGTAATCACTTTTTGAAGTTTCTTCAAAGTAAACTTCAAGCTTTAGGTAAATGAGTCAGGAGAAGTGTCTGCAGAAAGAGGTCTGAGGCCTTGTCAGTTACTCAAATGCCAGTTTACTTAAGCTCATTTCACCTTCCTTCTATTCCAGACTGCATTAGAGTAATTGAAAGCGTGCCTGTTGATACTGGAGTGTGTTATGAAAGTGTACTGTGCAGTGCCAGGACTGTGGGATTGACTGGAGCTGTGCCCACACTGTCTTAACTAAGAAATTACCTACAAATGTGCTTACATGGAATATAATCTTTATCTTTTTAATTACGTTCAGCTCTCGCAGAGGAACAACGGAGAGCTGTCATAAACTTTCCATCCATCACTAATGAAAACGCTTGCAGTTATGTTTTTAATACCACTCGCACGATGGCTGTGCTTGATGGTATGTGAGTAATTAATTTCCATCCCATGTTCTTTCGTCACTTTTAAGCATTAAAGTTGATCTTCTTCTGCAGGGTCGGGGATTCTCCAAAGCCATGACAGCCAAAGAGGCTCAAGCGTTTGTCGGCGACGTGTCCTGTCAGGTCAACACGCTTCAAGATGACAAGCTGTTTCTGGACCCGCCTTCTACCCCGCCTAGTGCTCGCTCCAGACGCCACCGCAGAGACACCCGGCCTGAGCTGCTCGACTTAATGGTCAGTTCAGGGTTGGAGTTGACAAGCAGGAGTAAAGTCTTTAGATTCTGTGCTACACTGTAAAAAAAAATGTTCGAAAAGTAAAAGTCTGGCATCAGATGACAGAAGTAGAAGTTAATGAGGCAAAACAGCTTCTATTAATGAAAGATTATGAATACTTACCCACCAAGCAAAAAGTGGTTGAAAAGATGTTGAAAAAGTGTCTTCACCATATGTCTAAACAACATCTTGATTTGGATCATCTAAATGAAGCCCAGTTTTTAATTTTTATTTTTTTGGGCTAAAGTACTGCTATGATGGGCCGATTTAGCCTGAAAAAAGACGTCTAAATGACGTTGGGTGTTTAGTGGGTATTAATTATTTTTAAAAAGCTTTTTAATCTTGTGGATTAATTTTGTCAACTAGTTGACTAATTGTTCCAGCTTTACTTTTTCATACTGTATGAAACTTGACTCTTTAAAGTCCCACTCTAATCTTATTTTTTTTCAATTATTTAAAGCGTTCTCAGTGGTTGTTTAATTGTGATTATGAAGTTTTTAGCCAAAATCATGTTACCTGTTCCATTTTCGAGGGCTTTTCTTCTGCAGAGCTCCAGGAGCTCATTAGCAATTCGCCTCTGAGTCTTGGACGGAGACAGCGCTGCTCTGCACACTCCTTGTCACGCTAGCTTGTAGACTAACATTGCAGGTGCAGCAGAAGTGGCAGGTAATATAGGAGCTAATAAAGGGGGCGGAGCATAGATTTGTGACATAGGAAATCTTACTGAGTCTGAACCTGCTATTTGGGTCTATGAGAGGTTCACAGCAATTTAAATGCAGAAATACTCAGGAATGCACTTTCGCTCTTAGTTTTCTCATGATATGTCCTCTAGTATCAGCAAAGTGCCATATGAACATGTAGACAACAAGACAAACATAATTTTCATCAGAGTGGGTCTTGAAGTACATACTGTAGCTAAATACATTTATCAGCACAAATGTAGTAAAAGCATGAAGTGTTTTGAAAAGAGGATACTTGAGCACAAAACTTAAGTGCAGTACTTGTATAAATTGACATTGTAGCTTCCAGTCACTTGAGACATGTATGCAGATTCACAGATGAGTGTGTATGAATAATCAATCTTATCTGCGCCTCCAAAGGCATGACTACTGCACATCTTGAGACTCCATTTTACTTCAGCTCAAATCGTCTTTATGTTGTTACAAGCCTGTGTAATTGTATATAATTATAGCTGGGCCACAATTGTGATGAGCACTGTACCCTCTCCCTGGATAATTCCTCTAAGTGAGCTATTGTTTCATATCTGCGGGTGTGATCTGCATAGAGAAGTGATGCCACTCCACTCTCAACAGTACAAAATACCTACTGTTCACAGAAAATGATTGATTATAAACAATGAAACAAAGCACATTTATGTTGTTGATATTGGCACACTGATTTGTACACACTTTTTAGGGTACTGAAGGATCTAATAGCGATACTAGGCAATTATATCACTCCTCCTCCAGCCTTGATTCCTATTTAGCATTCATTTCGTACTTGACCTGATTGGATAAAATATTGAGAACTGATCAAAATATCCTTTCTCTGTGTTTCCCCACAGATCAAGTTTGGGAAAGGGGAGTGGGTGGTCGGCTCAGTGCAGTACGAGAGGAAGAATGATCTGTCACTCTACATTATCATCCCTGCTGTCATCGTGCCCATGCTGCTCATCATTGCTATTTCAGTCTACTGCTACAGGTGAGTCTAGACACGTATGTGGGGTGATGCCACAGACACCGTAGTTTGGAAATAGTAATCTAATAAGCTGTTGAAACTTCCCTGTCTGACTTATTTGTCCTCAGTAAGTGTCACAGTGCTCCATATATAGCCCTAAAATCGTATAAATGTACTTTTACACACAGGACAGACTATATACATGTGCTGCTAATCACCAAATGTCACTCATCTGACTCACAATCGTGCAATATTTGAGTCTAAGGTTTCCATATCTATTTTTAGATTGTAACTCTTAACCTCATATGTTAAGTCACAGTAGGTTTCTTTGGTTCCTTCAAGTTTGAGGTGTCCCAGATTTCACTGATGTAAAAACATAAATGAAAAAATAATTAAATGCTTTTTGAGAATCGATTTTCCTTTTCAAGTAAGTATAAAAACGCAATTTTTTTCAGTACAAAATGGGACAATGCTTCTGTTTAGTGTCTCATGGGATAACTGAGGGGTTTAAACTCCCTGTTTGGCCTCCAATAAACAAACTTTAGGGAGTCATCAGATTTCCAAACTGTAGATCTCAAACACCAGTCTGGCAGCAGCTGTTAAAGGGATATCGCGGCATAAATTAAAGTTAGGGTCAAACACACCATGACACTGAGTTAGACCCCCCCTCGAGAGATGAATGTTGCTGACTGCTTGCTTCTCTAGTTATACTAACATTAGTAACGATCGCACGATAGCAACACACAATGGTCTACGTCTCCACGCGCAAACCTTAACCAAAGTGGCAAAAGGCAAATTGTATGAAATAAGCTCAAAAACATGTTACGTATGTGTTTTGAAAGAGCTTTGTTCCATCCTATCAAAGATAAGGGTTCAAATGAAGGAAGTCTAAAAGAAAAGTAAATGTTGCCTTTTTATTTTTTTTTATAAGCTATTCGTGATCGTGGGGTCTCGCTTCAGAGAAGAAGAACCATCATCAAATCTGATAGAGTTCATAGTTTTCGATTGCAATAGAATACTTGAATTGTCTTGTGTTTTGAAATTCACTTATTATTCTTGACTTTGGTTTAAAGTCAGCCAGTCAATCTGATCTGAAAAGGATGAGATGTTTTTTTCTATGCTAATTTACAACAGCAACATGAAATGTTCAATTCCCTGCCTATTTTGATTTACATCCACTTAATCAGCAGCAAAACAACTTCCTGTAAATAATGAGCACTGGTGGGTAGCTGGTGTATAATCTAAAGACTCCTACTAATGCTCTTTGTTGCATAACAGTATCTCAGAGGTGTTTTAGTTCACTGAATTTAAGCCTCTATTCTAATAATTGAATAGTATCATGACTCGGTGTCTGTAAGTGTAAAACTAGAGGGCATAAACAAGAGTTTCTTGTTTATCTGTGAGATTGAAGAAGTAGTTTTATTCATGGAGTTTTCATGCCTTTAAACCTTTTTGCTTTGTTGAAGTATTACATCCATTTTTACTCATTTTTAATATTCCCTTCAGCGGTGTAACTTCTGCCATATGCTTCTGCTGTACACAGCACTGCATTTGCCCAAACATTTTTTGGCATGATGTGACTGAATGGCTTATTGCTTGAGTTTAGATTTTTAAAGTTTTGTTCGAGTTTTAAAGAGACAGCAGCTAAAATGAACCGTTTCAGACAGAGAAATAATGGTATTTTAATACACCGGTGTGAGAAACACAAAGCGGAAAGAAAGAAATTGCATAACACCTCCTCTTAACACAGTAACTAGGCCCTTGGAATAATACTAAATGGTTATGTCTGTTGCAAACTGGTTGGTGCTCAAATGTGTATGATTCAAGCTAACTACTGTCAGGGTTCTGGTTTACTTTCTGTTATTTGGTTGTTATCTGTACCACCAAATAAAGTGACAGTCTTTCCTCTGCACGGCTCAGCCACTGGCTCACCACACACGTCACCATTCAAATGCATTGTCACTCATGACACATGAACAGAACTAAAAAATGAATTTAGAACACATTAAGCAAAATTATTTGGCAATAAGCAGATTTAATCTTTGAATAAGGTTTAAATAAGAAGTGGGTTTTCTAGGTGTTCATCGCTGTGGTTCTGTGGACTAGTGGAACGCACGACAGGGCAACCAGATCGAGTAAAAAAGCCAAGTGCAGATTCATGCTCATACATTCGCAATCCACATACACAGATTGTTATCCATGTATCAAGGATCCAACCATCGTTCTAACTAGAGGTCTGACATATCCGTAGGAGATAGGTTTACCCACTGAATGCTTACCCACCACACACACACACACATAGTGGGAGCTTTCTTTTATGACACCCAAAAAGGGCTCAGACTGTTAGAGCACAAACAGTGATCTGAAGGAGGGTGTCACACCACCACTTGCAGGAGAAAATACATTTTTTTCTTAATTCCACTTCACCTAAAATAACTGTTTTTTTCCCACAATTCTGATATTTTTTCCTTTCTCATCCTCTCTCTTCTTTCTCTGCTCTGTGCTCACCCATCCACAGGAAGCACATGTCAGCACCTCCTTAAATGGTGTTTCATTGCCTATTCATGGGCAGAGATTTAGGCTGATGAGTGGCTATCAGGAGCACGCTATCGGCGATTGGCATTCATCAACTCTCATGAGCTTACACAAGTGCTCATGATCAAATCCGAGTTTTATGAATCCAGTACCGTTTCTGTGTAAATCTACCCATACGTGTACTGACCTTCCATGGATGAGACGCATTATTTTCATGATCTGTTTTGTGTCTGCTATATCTGTTTAGGAGAAAGAGTCAACAGGCAGAACGGGAATACGAGAAGGTGAAACACCAGCTTGAGAACCTGGAGGAGAGTGTGAGGGATCGCTGCAAGAAAGAATTTACAGGTACAGATGGTGCAGCTGTGCAGAAACTCTGCAATAACACTAATGCCTCTCGAATGATCCATGTTTCTAAGAAGTTATGAAGTAATGAAGTGCTTCATAACTCTGATTACATTTCTTTGATGTATCGCCTAGCAGTGAATTGAATATATTCTCCTGCTTAGCTTTATGCTATCATCATTATGAGGAGCAGTTTTGCAGCAGCAGTAATGAAAAACAATCTTTTACAGCAGAAATAATTTCCCTCAGAAATGCACCTCCTACTCTTCCCCTCTCAGTGTAATGACTGAGACAGACAGGCAGCAAACAAATGACACAAAGCTGCTTATTAAATACGAATAAGGTGCTATTTTCTTGTATCATCTCGCAGATTTGATGATTGAGATGGAGGACCACACCAATGAGCTCAGCGAGGGGCGAATCCCATTCCTGGACTACAAAACGTACACCGACCGTGTCTTCTTCCTGCCCTCTAAAGACGGTGCCAACGATGTCATGATCACGGGGAAACTGGACATCCCGGAGGCTCGACGGGCCACAGTGACTCAGGCGCTCAACCAGTTTTCCAACCTCCTGAACTCCAAGACCTTCCTCATTAATGTAATTACACTCCATGTAGATGTATCTCATAAATATCTCAGACTGATCATGTCTGCATACACATGGAGTTAACACAAGAGCTTCTCAAACAGCTTGAGACTCTGCGACTCTTCGAAAAAAGTCTCAAATAACATCTAAGTGTTTAAGTGCAACTCCGAAACACTTTGACTAAAAGCTTGTTCAGATTCTGAAACATGAACCTTATGTATATAAAGATAAATCATGCATGTCTGCCTGCGCCTTGTAAAAATGTAGCAGAAGTATCCTCGTGACAGTTTCTTACAGCATGGGCTGATGATTTAAAGCTTTTGCAGAGTCTTTGCAGTAGGTATTAGCTGTTGGACCGACAGCACTGAGGTCCCATTCCATTCATCTTTAGAGTAGGGCTGGGCGATAAAATGTTAACGATATATATTGAAAATTAATTTCCCTCAATATCAATATAAAACATGGTCAATATGCTTTTCAATAGTCAGCATTCTTCCATGTTTTGGTAGACTATACCAATAGCCAATGAAAAGGGGAGTTGCTCTGGGTCTGCTTCGCACTGAATCAATCATGTGCTGAATTAGAACCAAGTAGCAAACAACTGCGTAGTAGCAGGCAGCAGCTACACACAACCATAGAACTTTAACACGTGAAGCCAGTGAGAAAAAAAGAAAATGAGTGCTACCTCTGTCAGAAATGCAAATGAAGGCTCAACAGATGATGACATCGTTGTCAACACTGGCATGAAAACGTCGGTGGTGTGGAGGTATTTTGGTTTTTTGAGGTGAGACATGAAGCAGAGTAGTGTGCAGTGCAAATTATGTCGAGTACATGTTCTTGCAAAGTCGGGGAATACCTCAAATCTTTTTCCCCACCTAAAGCAGTGCCCTGCGGCAGAGCATGCGCAATGCAAAAGGTTACAAACCCCAAGTGGAGCAAGGAACCCATGGCGCCTGTGCAGCCGAAACAGCCAAACATTTCTCTAGCGCAACACCTTACGATAAAACATCAAAGAGACACAAAGACCTCACAGATGCAGTAGCTTGTTGTATTGCAAAAGACATGCTACCAATAAGCACTGATAAGTTTTATTTTTTGACTGATATGAAAAAATATATCGTGTTAAACTTTTTCCCATATCGCCCAGCCCTACTTTAGAGGCAAAGATCCCTCAGGTTTGCTCAGTATGAAGTAAACCAGATGTCTTATTGATGTCTTATACAAAACAGATGACATTAGTCAATCAATCAATCTCTATTTATATCGAGATTGACTGATCACAACAAATATCCATATCTCAAGCGTTCTTGGGGAACCTTCCTGTATCTCTTAGCATTCTGAATCGGCCACATCCACAGTCAATACCCTATTAGGTCCTTTCTATCTTCATGCTTTTCTCTTATTATTCTGTGGTTCGTAAAGTACAGTACTGGAAGTGAGAAACAGGGGAAGACGTGTGAAGACTCCCAATAATCCAAACTCTCCGGGACAAAAAAAGCCTCTGAGGTGTTAACTTGCATACAGTATGTGTGGATGATTCCTCTCTCTCTCTAATTGGTATCTCTTTAAGCCATAACATTTTACAGGGCAGAATTGAATTTACCTTGATAATTATTGTTTCCACCGGCATTAGGCTTTTGATTCTTTAAATGCATATTATGTGGGATTACTCGTCTGCTAGTGTGTGTGTTGGGGGTTTTTACCAGGATGATTAATAGAGCTCTTTATCTGCCTTTTTCTTTGTGTGTGTGGTGCATTTCTTTATAGTTTATTCGCACCCTGGAGCGCAGTCATGACTTCAACGCCAGAGCCAAGGTGTACTTTGCCTCCCTGCTGACAGTGGCTCTGCACGGGAAGCTGGAATACTACACGGACATTATGCGAACGCTGCTGCTGGAGTTGATGGAGGAATACGTCCACAGCAAGAATCCTAAACTCATGCTGCGTAGGTGAGTGGAGAGCCGCTGTTCAGACAGACATTAGTGCTGTCAGACATGATTACTAAACACCAATGCCTGGTTTGGTATCTGAGAAAAATGCTGTTTGTTACATATCATAGAAAACAGAGAGCAGTGCTTCTATTTGAGTGGGTTTAGGAACAGCAGGGCATCGTAGACACGGCGTACCAGCAGGGTAAACAATTTTGTTCTTGAGTGCCTTGAAATTTTACACTGACACTCATGGTTACTATAGGATAAATCTCTGTGTTTTGTGATCCCCTTTATTTGCCACTTAGGTGTGCAAGCTTTTGTGCACTGCGCCATCTCCTAAGGTTGACATTCTGAGCAACATATCGTAGATGGACTTTTGCGTAGACATTTGTAATTATTAGATTTTTTTTCCATTTATCAGATCATCAGGTCAAACTTTGCCTGTAAAGTCAATGAGGTTCCCATCTGAGCAGCTCTTCTTGGTTAGTGCTAATTTGCAAATGTTAGTTTTGTGATGATAAGCTTATTTTTGATGTTAGCAAAGCATCCTCACAAGGGTGTCTGTCGGCTGTCTCGTTTGGCATCGCTTACACTGAGATCATAAGATGTCCTTATTTTCAGCTCCATGATCAGAATCGCTCCATGTCTAAACCCTGGCAGCTCTATTATGAACCAGTTTTAGAGGACTGGGATTTGCTTCAAGATGCAGAGGACTGTTTCATTCTGTCGCCACGTTTTCTGTTAAAATTTTCCTCTGACTGCTGAAGTCCACTATGAAGAGCCAGACTGCTGCTTGATCTGTTCCAGTCCGCCTCCTTCTGCTTCTCCTTCTGTTTCTGTTTTCCTTCTTGGATTTCAGACACAAAGTCCTGGATGATTCTTCTGTTGTTGTCTCTTTTAAGCATCTTCATCATTTTTTTTTCCCGTGGCTGCTAACCAATGAGGCATAGGCTAATATGTACTCTATGTCCATGGTGTTTTAATTGTACTGAAAACATATGTCAGATTATGTTAGCTTCCTGAACATGGATTTAGGGGATGGTCTTGTAGTAGAGTGATTTTTTTATAGGACATTCCTACGGGTACAAGATTGTTCATAAGGTAGGGCAACTTTTTCGCATAAATTAAGTCAGCTTCTATTAATCAAACTGCATCTCACCTGCGGTACTTCGATCAGCATCCAGCCTGAACCAAATGCTATTCATAACTTCTATCATTGCTACCAGCAGGAAATAGGAGATATTCACCTTGATATTTGTATCTAGAGCATAGAGGAAAAATCTGGATATTGTGTTACAAGCCTTTTTTCTGTTGGGGCATTTTTTTTATGCATGATACAATTATCAAGTAAATCTTTTACTCAACAAACTTTAATTAGTTTTATACAGATTAAAACAGTGCAGCTCTTGAAAGAGCACAAGATACAAAGGAAACGCATCACAAACACCCCCTTTCAAATTCAGATTCACAGAGGCTAAAAACAACAATTAACGACAGTAAAACCCGACCCTCCTACCCCCACACACACCCATGGACCCACACACACACACACACACACACACACACACAAGCGCACACAGAGTGAGAATTTAAGATATATTGTTAGAGAGACATGGCCTGACACCGAGACATAACGTGAGGAAAGAGCTACCTCTGGGAAACACTGGAGATAAAAATAAAAATGGTAAAAAGAAAGAGTGAAACCTGATGGACTAAAAGAAGATATGAAGAGATAAGTAAGAGCTCTTTACCATGTAAAAAAAAAGGGCAAAAAAGTAAAAACGTGACAGGGATTTAGAAAAAGACTAAGAACAGAGATAATTAATAAAATGACATAAAATAAATAAGAAGAACTTCAATTAAAATGATCATTTGCAATAAGAGAAATATAAAAAGGCAATTAGTGAAAAGCCTGGTTAAAAAGGTGAGTCTTGAGCCTTTTCTTAAAAACATCAGCAGTCTCTACCCCCTTTCCCTCAAGACCCTGTCTACTGCTGGATATTCCTTTGACTGTGCTTACATAACAAATTCTGGAGCTAAAACTAAAATAAAAAAAAAAAGTAATTGCTGGAATTTGGGTTTTGTAGATCTTGAAATATAAGACGTTAAGAAATAGAAAGTAAAAAGAAAGTAAGTTAAATGAACTACTGTACATTAAGAGAAATACAAAGTTAGACAAGTCGCTGAAAACTGAAAAAGACCATAAAAGAGAAAACTGTTTAAATTGTATGATTATAGAACATCACAGATATATATATTTCAAAAAGAGAACAACTATAAGAGGAGAGTGCTGATTCAAAACGATGAGAGTTTCTGAATGTGGTCCAGAAAAGGTCCCCAAACCTTTCTGAATTTTCCATCATTACCTGTGACCAAGTAATAAATCTTCTCAAAGTCTAAACAAGACGTAAAGTCTTTCAGCCACTGACTATTAAGTAAATCTTTTAATTGTAAACGTAAGAAATAGCCTGTGGGTTGTTTGAAAATGATGTCCAATTAGATTATCTGTTATCTACTTACAATCTCACTAAACCCCCCTTACTTGGCAACATCCCATAATTTCTGTATTGTGAAAGCGTCTCTATCATTCCCCTGGCTGATTTGATTGCAGCAAATAGCCCTCAAGAAAGAATGGCAATTTTTAGTCATCCTTGTTTATTCTCCTTTACGCCACTCTAATGATCATGTCAAGGTCAAATCATTCACAGTCCACCCCCTCCTTCAGCAGCAGGACCCTCTCGTCTGCGAGTACAGTGGGTGCTGGGAGGGGGGCCCTGTGATCTGAACTGTCTGCTGTGCCTCAGCACACTCTGACTGGCTGTTATGCAAGTACACATCTTAATCATCCCCCAGTGGAGAGGCTCATTATGTTGATTAGGCCATTGTGCCAACACAGACCCCCTTATATACAAGATATCTAATTAGGCATGCTAGCCGCTAACAACAGGCCTGCCACCAGTGGATTTTTGACATTAAGATGAGCAGTCAGTCAAGTGACTGCTGACATGAGTTTTGAATTAAAATATCTTTGTTGACACTGTCAAGCTGTTCAGGAATTCACTTGTTGACATTTATAAATGTCTTAATAAAGTGGTATTTTGAACATTTGAAGGTTCATTGACTATCAACCATGAGAAGTATCACCTTATAAATGACATTAAAACCCTTGAGAGGAGTAAAAATGAGGTGTAATGCTCCTTTAAGATTTACAAACACTAACAAGACTATCAGCAACATTTGATTACTACTATACAGTGTTTTAAATGCCTGTAACCTTTGCCATGTGGTCGTGTCAGCATACTTAGTTTTACATTTCCTGCAGCAATTATCAACAATAAGTCATAGAAGAACCAAGAATAGTTTTCTTTTATTGTCTGAACACATCTTTACAGGACTTAATCAGCAATGTGAAAAGATCTACAGCTTTGTCCTTCGGGGACACCAAAACTTTCAGAATTAGAAAGTTCCTCACAGGAGCTTTAACTCAAATGCCCCAGTGGAGAAATTTGTTCCGCAGCAAGGTTAAACACAAGATACAGAATTGAACAATTAACATGATTAAAACATAAAACTTAGACAAAAATATTAAAAACAAATCCTTAACAACCCCCAAATAAGCTCACATAAAAACCATGCCCACGTTTGGATCATTTCTCACGGTTTGATTGCTTGAGGAAGACAAAACAAGGCAAGTTTATTTCCTCTGCATATTTCAGCAACAAGGCAATTCAAGGTGCTTTACATAAGATATTAAAACATCAAGACAAAGCAGAGGAGACACATTAAAAGAAGACGTAAAAGAATCATTAAAACAAGTTAAGGCTAAAGCAGAGGGGTAAAGTATATTACGACGGTGTGAGAGTATAATGTTGATGCCTCTTTGTGATATTCAAAAGCAAATTAGACCAGCAGGGACAGAATTTACAGTTTGTACGTTGTCATTTTTTATGCTTAAAACTGGAGCAAGGAGGTGTCAGTAAACAGTCCTGTTCTCACAGTTTACAGGTAAAATATTTAGAGTGAGTGAAACATTTGACTATCAAAAGTCAGCAGAGTGAGATTGTTCTTATTCACACATACTTCTAAAACTGCTTTCTCCACAAGGGGGCACTAAAATCAACACAAAACAAGAAATTTCTCACAGGAGCTTTAAAAAGATGTTATTTTCACTTTTTCTTGGCGTAATTTATCTAATATTATGTCTGCATCATATCTAAAACTACACAATCAAACCAAAGTGACATTTTACACCTTCAATGAAATGAAATCTGTTTATTCTACGTGTTTTGCAGGTCGGAGACAGTGGTGGAAAGGATGCTGTGTAACTGGATGTCTATCTGCCTTTACCAGTTTCTGAAGGTAACATCACTGAAAGTGGCCTAAATCTATTCGAAGGGAATCCTAATTTGTAAATACATGCTCTGTATAAAGGCTAATTAACTCTGTAGTGATTTGTCTGTCGTGTTAAATGTCAGCTAGAACAGAAATTGTTCATAATGGCACGCCGCTGCATTAGACCAAAACTCAGAGCAAAGATTTCTCATTCCGACTAAGTATTGATAATGTGCATTTTTCTGTCTTCTAAATTGCTAATCACAACAATTAGCCTCTTGATAACATCTGTGACAACCTCTAAATGGCTTTGTGTGTGTGTTTGTGTGTGTTTGTGTGTGTGTTCCAGGACTCTGCGGGCGAGCCCTTGTATAAACTGTTCCGAGCCATCAAACACCAGATCGAGAAAGGGCCTGTGGACGCCAGAGTGAAGAAAGCCAAGTACACCCTCAACGACACAGGCCTGTTGGGCGATGATGTCGAGTACTCTGTCCTGGTGAGATGGAAAAACACACACACACACATACAAACACACACACACACACACACACACACAGACAAATAAAGAGGCTCTACGCAAACACAAAGTCAGGAACCCAGACTCAGGAAAAAAATCTGTGCACGCTGCTCTGAGATTGCATGGTGTTTTGTTCGTGGTGAGCAACACAAACATGCACACACACACACACACACACACACACACACACAGCAGTTGCTATGGTTACCACTAAAAAACCCCACAGGCGACTGCCCGTTTCTGTGTGACACCCATTTTCAGTGTCAATGTTCCTGGCTCAAATAAAGAAAAAAACGACACAGACAACACATTCCAATATAGCAGCGAAACACGGGGCAGGGGGAAAAAAGTACGACAAGTTGTCACGACTAAAGAGCGCGAGCCGGCTGCACAAACCCCACCTCAGCCGTCCCTGCCTGCACCCGCTCTGCATCCATTCAGGCAGCTTTCAAGGGTCAGGAAAAAAAGCCTCGCTCTGCCCCTCGCTTTTTGTATCGTGTTTCAATAATGGAAGCTAATGTGAACACAGCTGTTTTTGGTTAAAGTCAGCACAAATAAAAAGACCCATGGGTAATGGCGTTGTCGAGGACAATTATCAAATTAGCCTGAATTACACGTCTCCCACCGTGATGGATCGCCTTGTGTGATTGAATTACAGAGGGAGCAAAAATACCCGATGAGCTTGATTTCACAGGCAGACGCCGTGTTTCCTGTTGGACTTGATTCACCGTGCTTTTCCAATTCGCCGCTGGTTTTCCAAGCGCCGAGTAATCTATACGTTCCTATTAGAGGCTGTGGAGTGGTCAGTTAGTTATTTCTGACAGAGTGACTGACCGCCGGACGTGAGACAGGTCAGAGTTTCCTCCTGCTGAGCCCTGGTTATTAGCTGGCCATGGTGACAGGAGTCCTCTCAGGTGTCAAAGGAGAGTGTGTGTGTGTGCCTTACAGAAGCCTGGTTGCCATGACGACAACATCCCGACAGAGGGACTTAGTTGTGTGGGTGCCTTTTTTTTTTGTGGGTGGGTGGCTGGGTGCTCTGGCCATGTTGGAATATTTCTGCATATTTGTCATTTGTGTGCGTAGGTGCGCATGATCCGCACACACTATGTGAGCCATGTGAGCGAAATGTGTGTCTGTTATTTTAATTGTGTGTGTCTGTGTGTGTGTGTGTTTGTTTCCAGACCCTTCAAGTGCTAGTGCAGGGAGAAGGCCCAGATGTGACACCCGTCAAGGTGCTGAACTGCGACACCGTCTCGCAGGTGAAAGAGAAGATCATAGAGCAGGTGTACAGGAACCTGCCATACTCCCAGAGGCCCAAGGTTGACAGCGTCACACTGGGTGAGTTAATGAAGACCACCTAGGAGGAGGCTGAGATAGAGCAGGAAATATCTAATTAACATAAATAATATAAGAGCAACATGGAGCTGCGAGAATGTCAAAACGGAGGAGCTGTTTGGCTCGGATTGAAACGCGTCTTTTTTTAACATTAGATATACCATTTAAAAAAAAAATACCTCCACTTTTTTCTGTTTCTGTTTGTGCAATTAAAGTTCTGCTCAGATTGAAGATTTTGAACTACGTCAGCAAAATAAAAAAGGCCTTCATCCCTAAACAAAGTTTCACTTTCTACTGTAGCCAGAAACCTCAGGGACCTACATGAAAGGCGAAAGCTCTGTGGACGTTTTCCAACATCAAAGCCATTTTATTATTCCCACGCATGCTGTAGATCTGGTTGCTTTATACATTTTAGATAAGCAGAGATCTGTCTTCTTTCATGGCGAATCAGAGAGATAACCCCCTTGTATTCGGTGGTACTTGTAAATGAATCATAAGTCCCAGATGGTGCCAAGCTCAGGTTTGCAGCGGTGTTAGAATTTTCTAAATTGAAAATGCTCAGCTGCAAATCACAGCTAAGAATTAGATTTAAATTATTCACAAAATACTGATCTGACACTTCCTCACTTCAAATTAACTCAAGTATGTCAATCAGTACAGAGAGAGAACGAGAGAGAGAGAGAGTTTTTTAAAGTCTCCATTATTATGGTGTTACCTCGGGGTAAAAGTGACCCATGATGAAATAAAAGCAATCAGCGTCAAACTTGAGGCTGACACTGAAGCAGGGTGACAGTTTGGGAAACATTTCATCCCACCTCAAGCCAACAAGGATGATTTCTTTTCTCTTCCTGCATTCACCACAGAGTGGCGCCCCGGCTCAACGGGGCAGATTCTGTCAGATCTGGATTTGACGTCCCAGAAAGAGGGCAGGTGGAAACGTATCAACACTCTGGCACATTACAACGTAAGTACTGACATCCTGATTTAATGTCTTTCAGACGGAAGGAGGACTGAAAATAGCATGTAATTTATGGAGGTAGCGGGGAAGTAGAGCCTCGGTGTGGGCATGTGAATGTGGAGGCGGACTGCAAATTTTCACTTAATTTCAGTCAGAGATGGAGCTTATCAACCTGCTGACATGCATGATTTTTCTGACATTTGTGTTGTTCCCGCGTCAGAAGTTATCAAAAGAATCCAGCAGTGCTGTTGACCTGGTTTATAAGAGTGTCGAAAACATACTTAACATTTCTTTTAGTCTATAAAAAAATTTGTTCCATTCATGTTTCCATTGAACAAGCCTGCAATAACAACGATACATTGCAGTGTCAGAGCTGTGCAGTGTTTCCAGATGGGACATATAGCATTATCGTACCAGAGACTCAAAATTATCGTATTTGGGTAAAATTATCGTACACCTGTCATAATCAAAATAGCAATCTGACTGTTGCATGATAGTCACATTGAGTCACTCTGTTTAGAGTCCTATAGGCACTCACAATTTTGAGGCTACAGTTTTGTGGTCATTCACACCCCCCGCCCCACATGACCAGCGCATGATTAGACTTCCCAACTGAGCATGATTGACAGCTAATCATGCTTGTTGTTCGGAGACAAACGTCACTTAAACTATGATTGGATGGAGACATCACACGGTAAAAGATGCCTTTAGGGCAGGGGTGGGCAATTAATAATATGTGGGGCCACATGAGAAACCTGAACTGTGTTGGAGGGCCGAACCAACAATTACTTCAACTTCAAATCAGGGGGACTTCACACGTACAGAAAAGCAAGCCCAAATAAGCAGCTACTAGTTAAAAACAAGCCAAAATAAGCGCACCTGTGACTCACTAGTTTTACAAGCGATTTCTGAGAGAAACAAGCCGAAAGTCTTTTATAATAAGCGGACTTGACAACTACAAGGCGTCCACATATATTATAAAGCATCACACTTGTATAGCATGTTGATGATTTGATTGACAGACCTCACGAAGGACAGGGACATCCAAAGGGCTGGATGTGGCCCCCAGGCCGTAAAATGCCCGGGTCTGCTTCAGGGTTTGCAAACAAAAAACTGAAAAATAAAGACTGAGACAGTCCCGTTGCACCACACGATCACGAAACTGTTAAATTATCATACAATTAGCCTTTTTCCTTGGTTATTGACCGTACATTGTACAGAGGGCAAAATTATTGTACAGATATGATAATTATTGTACATCTGGCAACTCTGGAGCTGTGTGACACAAAAATGCAATTCTGCTGTGTCTGGGTGTACTCAGTAAGAGAATAGGGGAACTTAGCTGTGAGCATAAATCAGTTGTTTAAAAGTCTACCATACACATCCACGATCCTCCACTCTTTTGTCTTTTTATGTTTGGCAACACGCCTGCAATTTTTAATTTCTCACCAGCAGACAGTTGATAAGGCCCGGTCTTGGCTCACTGTTGTCAGCTCTCGACAGCGACAGCACAACACTAAATCTTCTTGGCACTATATTGATCCTCTGAAAATAAAGGTCACTCACAAATATCCCCTCGTTGTCCTGCTTTTCAGCCTCTTAAACCCCCCTCTTTCAAAGGTCCTTCTCTTCCATTCACACTACTCGCTGCTGTTGCTCTTGTGTCTTGCAGTCTCGCCGCCACAGATCCGTTAACTGTGTTGGAGTTGTGCTAATCACAGGTTTTGTGGAGTCAATAAAGGGTTGACACTATGGAAAACGGCCTGTAAATGCCCCTATAAAGACCCGGGGTTGCTGTCCACTCAATTGTATTGATTAAGAATTAGTTCTGGGACACTAAAAGAGACTGCTGACCCCCAGGCTCAGTACCTATTAAATTTAAGATGGGTGAAGTAAGTGTGTGTAGTTGTCTGTCCTCTGCGTGACAAAGACTGTTATCTGTGCTCCAGGTGCGGGACAACGCCACATTAGTCCTGTCCAGAGTCCTCCACACTCAGCAGAACTACGACCAGAACCAGGAAAACCATGAAGAGCGTATGTGTCACCGAACACACACAGACTGTACACATAAACACACTTGTTGAACCCAAACAAATATAGATCAGATGTCTATTTGATATTATAATTCTTGTCTTCTGTGTTTTTTATCTCCCTGAGTGCTTTTGTCGGCTTCCATATTCTAGTTTAACATGCTAATAGATGCTGTTTTATATATAGCGCTCTGAGATCATGCTGGAATAATGCGCTCTTTTATCTTCAGAGTTTTCATGTGCATTTCTGAGTAGTTTATTGTTTCACGTCTACTTGGATATTCTCTCTGCATATAAATTCCTTTGACAAACGCACTCCCTTTTTAATCATCTGAATATGTTCAGAGAGGGCGTGCATGAATAAATAAGGAGGGGAATTACTAAAGAAAGTTTTTCAAAGTGTTGTTTGTCTCCTCTTCTCACAGGAAATGCTCTGTTGGAAGACGACAAGGTGTTTCATTTGGTGAGGCCGGCAGACGAACTGGATGAGATCAAATCTAAACGAGGGAGCATTAAAGACAAGTCGATGACCAAAGCCATTACGGAGATTTACCTAACACGGCTCCTTTCTGTAAAGGTACAAACCCAGAATCAATCTTTTAGACATATCTTAAGTAGTTATGCAATTTAACTGCGTCATTCAAGAATTAATTATACTTCTACATTTTTTAGGCTAGCTTTAACTGATGGCTTCCAGGTTTGAATAGTGCAAATCAGACGCTAAAACAGTCCAAAAAAACCCCCTGAAAACTCACACTCACATTTTGTGCAAATAGTTATGTCTTCAGGCTGTGATATTTCTGGCACCGCTCTCCGTCTCTGTCCTGTCTCACATTATTTGTGGCCCCTTTTCAGGGAACACTGCAGCAGTTTGTGGATGACTTCTTCCGCAGCGTGCTGTGCTCGGGGGCAGTGGTGCCACCGGCTGTCAAATATTTCTTTGACTTCTTGGATGAACAAGCGCTGAAACACAATAATGTGGATGAAGAGACCATCCATATCTGGAAGACTAACAGGTGAGACTTTTACACGTACGGACACACTGATCATTGAGAAAGTCCCACTTATATGTAACATAACTGCATGCTAATCATAAAGAGTGTGTGGCAGTATATTTGTAAAACTGCAGTGCAAATACCTGTCTTATAATAGTTTTATAAAAAAATGTTTTGAATAAAAGTTTCTGATATAAATTACCTGTATTGAAATATGGGCACCATACCTGAAAAATAACTTATATGCTATGATTATAGATCAATTCTTATTTTCATCCATATCATGTAACATTTTGTTGTCAGATTTGGTTAGAGGGAATACGATACAATGGTACGATACAATGATACAATATGATAAAATACGATATGATGATACGATACAATGATACGATATGATACAATATGATACAATCCACTAAGATGATACGATACAATACAATACGATACGATGATACAATACAATACGATAATACGATATGATTCAATGACACAATACGATGCAATACAAAACGATACGATGATACAATACAATACGATGATACAATATGATGCAATATGGTACGATACGATATGGTACGATACGATATGATAAGATACGATACAATAAAATATGATACAATGATATGATTCGCTTTACCGTCCCTCGATGTGAGATGATTAATTAGATCCAGCAACTGTCTCTTGTACGAATTTAAATTTTCATGAATATTCCTCAATCTTTCTTTTTAAAGAAAATATTGGCAGTTTATTTAATTAAAAGAAGTCATTAGAGGGTTGCTTGATAAAAAATAAACTTTGAGAATAATTATATTTTTACTCTGTTATTAAACATGCAACACACAGGCCAGAAATACACACATGCACAAACAGGGTCTGTGTTTATGGAAAGATGTTAAGGTGAGGGGGCTTCAGTTTGAGCACTTTGACATCTAGGACAATTTTTATACTTTAATCTGTACTGAGACTTAAACTACTGACTAATCTACTGCCTTCTCCATCATTTATGTTGATTGAAAGATGTGCCCAGTCAAGCAATAGCTCATAAACGATCTCACACTTTTTCACCTTTTGTCAGTTGTGCTCTTAGGTTGTTTTATAGAATTGTGCCTTTTTTCCTTAAAGCAGATTTCTACACAACTATTTGGTTTTGGCAGAGGACTAACAAGAACTGGGAAAAGTCCTTAGCTGCTCAAATGAAGTGCTTTATTAACAGACATTTCCCAACACAACTTCCAACACAAGTTGTTTTCTGACATTTCCAAAAAGACGCGAGCTTTCTACATTAAAAGATTCACACTTTTTGGTAACTGATTACTTTCCACCTTCAGTGTAGTTTTTATTTCTTGTCAAGGAGAACTCTTTATTTTCTCTCTTCTCTGTTTCTCTTTGAAATATTGGTCAATTTATTTCAGAGCTTTGGGCCTGGAAAATGTATTTAAATGAAGCTATCTGGGAAGTCTGGAAAGAAAATCTGTCTTTGGTGGAACTCAGACATCTGCTTTTTCTCAAACTAAAAAGTTGGGGAGCAACTTTGTTCAGTCTTAGAGAATCTATTATGTTTTACAAGCCTATAAAATAAACCATTAAATGAGGGAAAAATATGCAGTTGTCCCTATAAAATTGAAGGGAGTTAAATGTAAAAGGACATGACAAGCGACATCTCATCAACATGTATGCAATGCAGTAATTTAGCAACAATTGGGTGTATTTACTTAATTACTTTGCATCAATGATTGTAAATCTCCTCCAGCAGACACAGGCTGAGTCTGATCGGCATAACAAATCCAGTTGCAGAAATACAGCAACTCTCCAAGAAATAAAACTTACTTATCCAAGAAAAAACTGAATACAAATGCACAATTTCATCTCACTTAGTTTGCAATCTCAATCCCCCCCCCCGCTCCCATGTGACATTTAAGTACATAAATTAGTGTCACGTTGGCTAAGACTCAAGCATACAAGACGCCGTGTTGCATGTAGATGCCAGTGATTGACGCAAGGCTGGCGAGAGAGCACCCACACAAGGACAGGAGATGAGCGATTTAATTACTTACTCCACACCACGCCACATTCTGCATCCACCCGTTCTGTTTATCAAATCAACTGAGGGCCATGTATTAAATATGAATGTGTGTACCAGGCACAACAAATATGGTAATTATGTCCCAAGCTAATTTAATTCTGTGATTATAGCAACATTGCTATTTTTATGCTTCTATTGTGTTCACACTGCCGCCTCCCCCTGAGATATTGCCAAACCAGTCTGAATTTTACACGGTGTGCGTTTCATGTCTCAGCTGGCGGAGCTTTCAAACAGGGAGGAGAAGTTTTTTTCGGGAACCTTGTGTTTCTTCTTTTAGATTCACAAGCTTACATGAGGTTTGAAAGCTGTGTACTGAGCGTGTGTTTTTTTTTTTTCCCCTGCTCAGAAGGGAAATTAGCGCGAGTAGTGGAGCATTACCTTAAGTAATCGCTCCATTAGGTTGTTAGGCTGCACGGGAATTCAAAAGGTCAAGGTTTCATTGTAACTCGAGCATTTGTAATCATTATTCCTTTTAGCAGACAGACACCGTTGACTGTTGCTCGCCAAAGATACCTTTACTTACAGATAGAAAAAGTCACCCCAGGTGCTTTTTATTGTTTTCATTTCATTTTCTTTCTAAAGCAGTGATTCAGCGAGAGGTCAGAGTAATCTGAAATAGTGATATTCAGTGAAAGTTGAGGGTTTAGCTCTGAATAAACTGACACCTAGAAGAAAGGCCTTTTACCTTCCTTGTTATTATCTTGCAGCGCTCTCAATTGTACCTCTGGCAAGTGCTCTCACACATGAAAAACCTCCATGACTCAAATGAATTCATTGATCTAATGTAGTTGATGAGCTTCTCTCCTCTTCTGTAGCAAGAGTAATGGCAACAACTACAATGATAACTGCTTCCTGTCCTCTTTTCCTGCAGCCTTCCTCTGCGCTTTTGGGTGAACATCCTCAAGAATCCACACTTCACCTTCGACGTCCATGTGTCTGAAGTTGTGGACGCCTCACTCTCAGTCATTGCCCAGACCTTCATGGACGCCTGCACCAAGAGTGAGCACAAACTCAGCCGGGTGAGTTTACCTCCTTGGAGACGTAGAAGGAGGATAGAGTGAAAGGGCAAAAGAGAAGTGGGGGAGATGAGATGGAGACGATGGGAGCAGAGTGGAGTATAAACGACAGAGAAGAGGAATGTTATCAATCTCAAGTGCCATTGTTTTCACTGTTGTGTCAACTTTCTCCCTGTAGGACTCTCCAAGTAACAAACTTCTCTATGCAAAGGAGATCTCCACCTACAAGAAGATGGTGGATGAGTAAGTCCCATCAGCAGTTCACAAAGTTCTTTCGATCTGTTGTTTTCATGTCAGATAGAAATGCCTCTTTTGATAGTTTTGTCAATAACACTTACGCAAGTTAGTGATGATGCCCTTTTCTACTTTGTCTCTGTGTTTGTTTGTGCGTGTGTGTGTAGTTACTATAAGGGCATCAGGCAGATGGTTCCCGTCAGTGACCAGGACATGAACACTCATCTGGCAGAAGTGTCACGGGTGAGAAAAGCAGCTGTGCCACTGAGATTACTCTGTTGTAAAAGTTACCATCCTTCAGAAAACTCTCTTTGTAGATTGTTAGCGCCCCCTAGGGAAGTGTAACTCAATCGAAATCAACCCCTCAGGTAGATGCTTCTCCAGAAATACGTCAGATAAGTAACCTGTGCGTCTATTTTAGGTAAAGCCAGACAAACGCTAATCCATTACTCTACAAGTCCATCAATAATCAGACTTTTCCTGTCAGGACTTGAGCAACTTCTCTGTGATTTCATGCTGCAAACAGGACAGAAGCATATTTAGTGCTGCTGGCAACTCTTCATCTTACAGCCAACCAGAGTCCTTTGAACCCACCTGTTTTCATGCCGATTTTGTGTGTGGCATGAAAAAAACACAAACATCCAACTGAAAATAGCAGAAAAATAAGAATTGAAATCTACCACAGAAAAAGTATTTACACTGGGCCGACAGAAACAGATAAGAATACAGCATGTGACTGTGAGGAGATGAAAAATCCTAGTAGATCTAACATCAGATCTTTGTTCAACCTTCTGCAGATAAATACCTACAAAAACGCACAAAAAGGCCAAATTTCCATCATGTGTCATTCATCATTTTCAGGTGTTTTGGGGTCTGACAAGAGGCCTAATTACTTCTGACTTATTAGTCATCTCACTGCATCCTTTTCTTTGATGGTGAATTAATGAAATCTGACTGGATAATTACCTCCTCTTACTATTAATCTTGAAAGAGCAACTCCTGATTTTAGGTAGTACCAAACTTCTGCGGTTAAATACGTGACTTCATTCACATTTTCTATTTTGTAATTCTGGAAACATGGCCTCTTAATTTGGATGACAACTCTACGACTGTGGCTTTTAATGGAGAAGTTTAATCTTACTACACTGCATCTTCTTTGGACGCATAACAAACAAAAAAAAGCTACTTCCAGTTTGTGCGCTTAAATGGAAACTGACTTAAGGGGTAAATTCAGATAACCAGCAAATTGAGTTGCTTTGGCAGTAACTTAATACAGCTCTTGTTAGAGATGTAGAGAAAGGAGCGCTCAACAGTCAGGCTGATAGCTGTAAAATTCAGAAGCAGTAACACAGTACTACAGAGATTTATAGTTTACCATGAATTTCTCAATCTGTTTGTATGTCAAATTACATACAAAACTTCCAAGAACAGTGGAAACAAAAAAATCAACAAACAAATCAACATTTTAGAAAGTCTGACATGGAGTGTATCTACATTCATACTTAACCGGTAAGGCATGAAGCTATGGAATAAAAGAGTCTCTTAGGGCTAATAATAATAATATTATGTTCTCGAGTTGAGGGTATGAGGAATTATAGAAAAAGAACGGGGGAAAAGCTGGGCACTTATCCTGGAAAAAGGTCTAAATGCCTTCTTTATATTGGCATGTAGAAAATTATTCAAAACTATATGTATGACATGTTTCAGCGCCTTTTTTGATGTGAAGAGAGTGGGTACCCAGGTTTTTTCTTTCCCCTTTTCTCGTCTTGATTATCACCTTTAGTGACAGTTTGTTTGAAGCAGATTGTACAAGACAAAATCACAGTGACATACAGAGAACAATACATTATACATAAGCGCTGAAATATGACAGAGTCTTAAATGAAAACTGGCATCGAGCAGACTACTAAATAGAATAAACAAACTCAATGAGAGGATCTGTGTTGTAAAAAAAGGATTTTTAGAAAAGAAAAAAATTGTTATTTAATCATTTGATTTCTAAGGGATGAGCAGTTTTTGAAGAGCAGTTAGATTTACAAGTCGGCAAAAGAGCAGAAAAACTTCCTTTAGGTAAAAGAACATGACCAGGAGAAGCGAAAAGTACCTCCAGCCTTCCTGCGGATCCACCGGTTTAAAAAAAAAAGAATTTCAATCTCTCTGCTTCACACCACTGATCTTAGAGCAGATTTTAATAATACTGTTCAGACTGCTGCTGTCTCTCACTGAGAGGCGGTGAAACCAGCAGATAACAGAAAAACAAAGGAGACTCAATATAAGACTGATAGAAATGGCAGAGGATTAAAGGACTGAAAGGAAAAGCAGTTCAGCATCCGAAAAGGTGAATTCTTTGTGGTCCGTTCCTCATTATAGCAAGAATTTACATGACATTTGAGTCATTCAAAAATAAGTAGTTGTATGATCTTAAAATCTCCACATTTCCATTAGGAATGATGCACCTCTATGCCTCACTTTTAGGTTTCAACCCTAAAGTCAGTTCCTTGGTTTTTCATGCATTTCTGTCTTAAAAGTGGTTATCATCATCACACCAAGAAGTTTAGAAAAAAAAAAGTATTTCAGAGTCAGACTGGAGCAAGAGTTATCTCTGTTTGGAAATAATCTTAGATGGTAGAAGGCGACCTTTCCAAGTCGTTTGAGCGGAAATTTAAATGTCGACTAACTGGCTGGTCTAAGGAAAAGAAAATGTTCAGGAAATAGCTAAAATTTAACACAATTTATTTACTGCAGCACAGAGTCGATGGGTAACCAATGTCAAATTGGTTTGCTGGGTGTTGCAAAGGTTAGCAGAACACCAACAGCCTCTTGTTCTCCTTGCACGTCAACATCCAAATGCTTGTGCTAGTTACATATTATTCCTGTCAAGAGATTATATGCCAGCTTGATCTGAAACAACCTGCAAACAATTAATCTCTACTTTTAGAAATCAAAATACTGTCAAACCTCACATTGCCGTCTATTGTCTCTGCTCGTTTACATCTGGATAGTAGAGCCTTGTAACATTTTGGTAGCCGGAGAAATATTGTGCTGCATTCCAGTTGTACTCGAAAATTGGAATTTCCAAGCTCCGAGTTAGAAATTCATCTGAAACGCACCCCTTAAGTCAGATTTCCGACTCGGAAAGTCGCACAATCCTCACCAACCCCGACTTGACAACAACCTCATAATTCAAGATGGAAGCGCAGTGCATCAACGGTTAAGAGTAACAGTAAAAATAATGTAAAAATTATGAGCACTTCTGTTTTGTTTTTGTGAAATTAAATAAATGATCTATGTTGTTAAACCCAACGTCTAACTGTGAACACAGTGCTATGGTGTTTGTAAGAGTAAAATACTGTGTTATGCGTTGTTAACAAATGGTATAGCTAACAACCGCTAACAACAGCTGACAACGGCCAACGACAGCTGACAACTGTAAACAACAGCTAATGTAGGCGTCCATCTTGGTTTTCCGACTTGGTAACTAAAACACTAGTAACTCGGGTGTGACGTCATTCCCAGCTCCGATATCCGACTTACGAGTTAACTGTAGCGCAGCATTAGCATCTTGTTTCTGACTAGAAGTTCTGGTGCAGACTAGCAAGGTTGATGATAAGATGATGTTTAATTGACCATAAGCGCACATCCCTGAGTTTTTAAATGATGTTCAAGAGTAGACAGCCAATTAATGTTCTGCTGCTGAAAATAAAACTACCCTTATGAGGAAGTAATTTAACTGCAATGAATGGCTATTGCTGAAAAAGCCCACCATTAACAGTATATGTAAGTGGGTTTAACTTGAGGAAATGTTAATGGGCATAGCTATAATGCCTGGTTGTTAATAACAATGTTCCTACTCTGAAAAGGTTAGGTTTCTTTCTCTGTTGTAGTGTCGCCTTTTGTAAGTGCTGTTATATGAAGCCTTGAAGCAAAAATTAGATTCCTCATTGAACTCTGACTCAGGTATTTATAACATCTTCTCTTTAACCTTTGAATTGTTTTTATGTTCCCCAGGCTCACACAGACAAACTGAACACACAAGTGGCTCTCCATCAGCTTTACCAGTATGCCAGCAAATACTACGACGGGGTAAGAGGCCCTTCTCTTACTATCATACCCAAAGGAGGCTATTCCACTGAATGCACTACTGCCCACTATATTATTGCTTTTCCTTTTTTCCCCCCTCTCCCTCTCCCTCTCTCTCTCTTCACTCTCGATATGCCAGAAGAGTGATTGTATGAAATTTTAATTGAAAGCATTTCTGTGGGATGTGAATTGGAAAATTGCTCTGGGAATTGATTTTTTAAGCGTCCATTGTGCACTGCCACTCGAGGTCAAGAAAGGGGGATAAACAAAACCTAATGAACAAGTTGGATAAACAAATGGGGCTGTCAGTCTCCCCTAAGTGGGACTTGCAAACAATAACAGCTTATATGACGTGACTGTTGATGTCAAATGACACCGTCCTCTCCTCCCATTTTCCACCTTTTATCATTCCTGTGTGTTTACACTCTCCGTGGTCCTTGTTTCTTTGCTTTTTTGACATTCCTCATTCGCCTCCCCGCTGCCTTATTCCTCCTCCTTTCTTCCTCAATTAATGCCCTTCTCACCTTCCCTCCCCCTTTCAGATCATCGCATCCCTAGAAGAGGATCCAGCCGCCCAGAGTAAACAGCTGACCCTGCGGCTCCAGCAGATAGCAGCCGCCCTGGAAAACAAAGTGACTGATCTTTAACACATGGATGGAAGGAGGGAGGGTGGGAGGGAGGGGTAAGGAGAGAACGATAGGATACAGCCAGTGACTACAGGGGCTTATTTCGTCTTTTAGAGAATAAAAGGTAGAAATAAGGACAGGTGAGAAGGGACTCATGTGGGCGTGTACTTTCCGTACTGTGGAGTAACAGGAACTAATGAAATGCAGAAAGAGAGCAAAGAGGGGAAGAAATGATGGGTTTTGCTGTCATAGGTACGCCTTAAAGCTCACTTGCCAAACCCTAAAGGTCTGCACGCTCACTCATGCTTCACTGAATACTGCTCCCACAATGCAGTGCGGCAGAAACCTCTCCGAGAATTAAGCCCTTCTGTGGAGCGCTGGCACAGGAGATAATCAGATGTTCAATTTCTTTCTGTGTAGAAAAGGTTTTAAGAATTGTATTATATATTTTTTTTAATCGTGCAGTCTTTATGCGGAAAGCTTTATAAGGAAAAATTATCTTTTTAAATGGATCACCTTGTGGTGCGGATAGTGTTTTTATTAGCCTTTGTGTGCGTAGCTGTCTGTGTGAATGGCAACATGTGAAACAGATTGCATGTTGCTGAACTTGAGTGTGTGAGTGTGAGTGTTTGGGAATGTGCGTGCACACACAGGATGCCTACTGTCGGGCGCGAGGGCGAAAGGACGCCTGCTTTCTGTCATTATAATCCCCTGACACGGTGACACACTGGAGCCCGCGCCCTAGCCGAGCCTTTAGACAGAGACCAAAGGGTCCTCACAAGGACACCGGTTAATCTAGCAACGTACAGGCTCATGTGAACGACGGGTCCCCAGAGGGTTCAGAAAGGTTTGAGTTCAATTCTTCTCTTTTGACTCAGATTTGCTTCAAGCTGGATTGCCATTTGTGCTAGGGGAAGTCGCTAATAGCACAGTCTGTCTCCCTTTATTGTACAGTGCCATGATACATTCCACTTCAACTAAAGCACAGAGTGACATTTCAAGGATTTTTAAAGACATTTCAGTTTTTAGATGTATTTCCTCACTCATTTATTCTCACTTAATTGTGTCAGCAAGAAGCAACTTCATCTGCCATGGAGCCGTGTCACTCATATTAGCCCTGCAATAATGTCAGATTACCATGAGTTGACTGTCTCTAGCTTTTAATCACATACAGTAGCAGATCAGCAATATGTTGGAGAGATTTCCAAATTGATTCCTTTTATTTTAAGTGTCCATAATTGTCAGTGACACCTTTTTCCTTTTGGTATTACCCTTGTAATGTTCCAAATAATCATCAAACATTCTGCCTCTTAAGCTATGAAATAGCCTTTGCTGGTTTTAATAACTTGCTGGAGATGCAGTTGGTACTTAAATAGTTTGTTTTGAACAAATAAAGTCTTTTTTTATTATTATTTCTGTTGGTGAGGTCAGGTTCAATCATGTACATAATTGTTATTGAAATATTGAGTGTCAGTGTCAGAGCTGAGGTGTCCACAGGGTAGGAGTGAGGGTTTGATGTTTCTCGGGCCATTAAACGCCACCATGTTTTCATTCCCAGATTGTAGGTTTAGTTGTTGACAGATTATATAATTGTAGTCACTGTATCTGATCGTGGATGTTGTGTAGTTGATGGAGCGTAACCAGCTCCAGAGACCCCAGAATGTCAATGATTCCTGCCTTGGCTCGAGAGAGGTTTGCACAGACCTCGAGGCCTGCCCGTCTGCCTGCCTGCCGTCTCAGCGTGGCACCCTGGCATCCCGACCAACAGCACTTGGCACTGCCCACTCAGCGCGGTGCAGAGTGGCACTCTGTATAATGGAATCAGCAGGGGAGGCTTTTGATCTTAATTGCATGCCGACTGCAGACTCCATCCTTGTCTCCACTGTTGTTTACTGCTGACTCCTCTCTCGCTGACAGAGTTGATGCAAGAAGCTTATTTCAGAGCCTTTCTTTGACCAAAAATGTGCCTTATTGAATAGGATGATACATATATATTGTTTCTAAATTATTCTATTGGTAACCTAGGTGATTATGATGATGATAGTGCTATAGACACAGCAATGTATTTGGACTTGTGATATTATGTGTGCTGTCTAAAATGCTAGATGCCCTGCTGCAGCCATTTGTGTGCCAATAGGCTGAAGACATTTCAGTATGATTTCTTTTCTGGTTGCAGTTTTGACGTGTGCATTTCCTTTGGGCGTCTGTGGCGTGTGCTTAGTAGGACTTTGGTGGCTAAGGCAAAAAGGCCAAAATGAATAAATGTAAAACAGTGGCCAGTGTGATTTGGGTTTCCCTTGAAAATGTCTGGCATTCCTAAATTAGTCTTAAATCAAAAGGGTATCTTTATGTAGATTGAATATAGCGCAAAATTGTTCCAATGTTCTTTTTTTGCCCTGTGTTTTTAAGCTATTCCACAGTGTGTACGATAAATGACCATCTATACTCGACAAATGACCTTTCTTACTGCTGTGCAGTTATTATTTTTATTTCTTGTTTACCTATACCATATAAATCTTTGTAAAACATGTTGAAATACTGTATTCTAACTGTATAATCCTATGCATTGAGTCCTGGGACAAAAAAAAACAAAAGAGAAAAAAAACTGTTTGTGCAGTTGTCGAGACTTTTTTTCCATTATGAAACTTGTGAATGTGCTGTAATGATTAAAGAAACTGGGATGCTCCATTTTTCAGTACAGGACCATTAATAAAAGCCAACGTTTTCCTCCCCATTCAAGGCAGCTCAGAGGACCCTTCATCTTGTACCTGGTCTGGTTTTACTGGATGAACTTAGTTTTACAAAGTTCTGTGTGGACGGAGCAGTTACCCACAGGTTTCATCATACACTCCTCCGTGAATAAACTCAGAGACGTATACGCCCTTCATATCTGCTGTGTTTCTTTCACTTTTGGAATATTGATCAGCCTCAATTGAACACTCACCTCTCATGCATATTGCATGAGTCACAATCACCTTGGTGAGATGGAGTAAAACTTGCCACAGGTAGCTGATTTCTTGTTTAAGTGACCTGAATCACTGCTGAAAGTCTTTGATATTCATACAGCTCATCACATTAGTAGATTTAATGAAGAACTCACACACACATACACACACAGGCAGGAGTAATAAGTAGATTTATAAAATTAAATTCTTATTCAAACCCACCAATCACGATAGACCCATGAGCATGAACATGACAGTTTTCTCCTGGCATTTTGCACGTATTATGATCCTATACGACTTTCTTGATGGCATCACTCCTCATGTGCAGCGTACCCTGTGATGGCTTGCGCTTTTTCCTTAAATGCCACATCAGGTTCCTGTCACACGGCTCAGACTGCAGACTAAAAGCTGAGGTCTGGTCCCCCGAAACGCGTTGATAATGTAAATAGCCACACAGTATATCTGTCATCTGCAGTGAAGGTTGAAAAATTGCTATGAAAACATTAATTAAGTACTGACAGCATTGAATGAAATTGGAAAAAAGAAAGATGAAAGGCAAAATTGCCTCATCAGACCGCTTAACAAACCCAGATGCAAGGGTAGGGATATCAAAGACAGACCAGAGGCCTGCGAAGGCCATCCTCTAACCAAGCAGATCAGTGATGCAGCAACAGATAAAGCAACTTCAAGGGCTGCTGCCAAAGCAAGAGTGATTACTCTTGATTATCGCAAGCACCGCATCTTGTACACTGTCCTTAATCAATGGCAGAAAATGAAAGCCAATACTGTACTTTACATTTTTATCAAGATGAGCGGCTTACATCATTCTTGGCGTCAACTTTATTTACTGTGCTCTACTCTTGTAATAACCATGCCCTTCAATGTCTGGAAATCAATGATATCACACACCAGAGAAAAATATTTGAAAACAGCCTCTTTGCAGGATTTTCAACAAGAAATTGGGTCAAAATTTGCTTTGAAATCAAAAAAATATGCTGCTTTTAAAACTTGGCTTGTGTTCTGGTGCCTGGGTTGCCTTACAGACAGCAGCAAGCCTCTCTTTTTCTGAGAGTTGTGTTTACCAGCAGGTTGTATTTCCCTTCCATGTGTTTCAAACTCTAATGAGATTTGGCTTTGATTCCTTCTGCCTGAGGGGGGAGAGGAGAAGGAGGAGAAGTTGGTGAAAATAAAAAAAATGATCATGGTGCAGTTTCATTTGAGATGGCTGATGTGATGAATAATTTAAGACTCATCAACAACTGATTTCAGGGTTCACTTAATAAGTGACAACACAAGGTGTAAAATTGTCATGCAAGAGGAGTGTGAGTTTTAACAGATCCAAACGACAAGATCATTATAAATTCCTTAATATTTAATCTGACTTCTTTTTTATAAATTCCTTTTGCTCAAAAAAGTACAACCACTGAAATAAAGATCTGAGCAAACCCAGGAGAAGATAAATGTAAATGATTTGCATTAACAATGTCCATTTTTTGTCATACTAAATAACATTATATGCAAATTACAAGTGACATTTAAAGTATCCAGACCTGCTCTCCCTTGAATCAGAGCAAAGTATCAATGATCCTGACAATGCCTTAAACTCTATGAAGGCATGATGCGTTTGTTTTTGTGTGTTGTGTGAAAATGATAAAGTACATTGGAGGTTATCTATACTGAAATTGATGCCACTTAATTCAAATATGGGTGAATTCGAACAGTAGAATATGCCAAATAAACAATCTGTGAAATAGGCTTCACCAAACATAAAAGCTTTCTATTAGGATATTATCAAAGCTGGAAACAGTACTCAAACATTCAACTCGTGTTTCAGTAAATGGTTTTGACTCTCTCTGCACTTAAGCAGCTAAAAAGCTAAAGAAGTCAATGAACTTTTTTTGCAGAATCTTCTGCCCTACACTCTTCAGCAGATTGTCCTCTGCTTTAAGTCATGACTGCCTGTATAGAAGCTGTTATTTCAGGCCAAAATAAGGACTTAAATTACTGCAACATAAGCAAAATTTTATTTACAAGTTCCTTAAACAAGATGTGAGGCATTAATACTTATTTCAATAAGCGTATTATGAGTGTTTTGGCTCGAAACAAGATTTAAAGAAGATTTATTTGGACCTGTCATGCCACAAGGGCTTTCATTAATTTTCACAGGAATGGCTATTGTTTAAATGTAAAGAAGTACAATACTTTTCAAAGACATTATTTAACTAAAGGTATAAATATTGATTTTCCAAACTTCTTTGAAAGCAAAGCAAATCTTCGGTAATGAGAGAAAATGTGTTAACTTTCCATTTCAGTATAACTTTAGGCTCTGCTCTTCATTAAACGCGCATTATAACGTGAGGCGCATTCAAGGACCACTTAGTTTGCTCGGGCACATATCGTCTTCGGACCAAACACACAATTTGATTCATAGAGTCATTTGAAGATGATCCTCTGCAGACATTCAACCAAACAGATTTCTGTAATATTTGATTTTATTTATCTGACAGTAAAGTACAAACATTTCTAGTGATATATTTGATCTTATACCTTTAAAACGAACTACACATTGCCCTTTATCGACCACAAAAACCTTGCGAAAACTCCCACTGCCTGACATTTTCACACTTACGTTCACAAATCTTCTGTATCGCTGTACTAATGTAACAAGAGACATTATTCCTAATCCTTAACAACAATATTTTTAAGTGAAACTCGTAAATAACTGTACAATCGTTGCTTTTACTATTTTCCCATATCACTTGAATGCACCAAAGCGCGGAGGGAAGCGATAGCTTTGCAATCATGTGATTGACAAACTTATCTAGCCAATCCGCGTTGGCTGGATAGAATTTTTAACCAATCATCGTTGGCGAAAAAACATTTTGCCCAATCATATTCAAAGGGGGCAGATTCTAATTTTGTTGTCACCCCGCGGCAGACGAATGTTGATGAATGAAGAGACTTGCTAGCAGTTAGCCAGCGATAACATCATTACAGTAGTTACTGGCATCAGTATGATTGAACAATGAACCGGCGGATAATTTAGACATTCAAGCGCTGTGCAGATGACTCACCTTGGAGGTTTCACCTGCTTGGCATCTCCGTTGACCGCGATAGCCTTGCTAATAACAAACGTTAGCTAACATACAGGAGAGGCACTGAAGGTCCATGCAGGATTTACAACTGTTTGAATTAACGGGATATCGACCAGCTGAGAAGGGTAAATGTATTAAATAAGAATTAATTAAAAACGAGAGGGAACTGGATTAGCTATTTCATTTTGAAGTTTGGTCTAAAACTGCATTTACGATCATAGCTGAATGTTGAGTTAGCTAGCGTGACTCCTGTTCAATAAATCATCTTGTCAACATGATGTTTAAAATGACAAGGAGAAGATTGTATGAAATGCTTTCAGACTAGGGGCATATCTGCTTGTTATTATTGCTTCAACTGAACTGAAACTATTGTAATGTTTGCAGCCGTGCATAGATTATAATGTGGCGTAAAACTAAGTTATGGTTAAACACACCGTAACACCGCGTTAGACAACCCCTCGAGAGATGAATGTTGCCGACCGCTTGCTTCTCTGGTTATACCAACTTCAGTAACAACTACAGAATAGCAATACACAGCGGTTTAAGGGGCCATAAACAAAACGCAACCAAAAGCCACTCTATAGCCACAAATAATGCTCAGAGCAGCACCAAACTTCATCAACAGTACATATAGGGTCCTAGCCACAGAACTAGCCACCAAACATCTTTTTAACTTTGCCTAATTTCTTAAGCAAAGAGACTAAACACTCACCTACTCTCTTTCGTTTGTAGCGAGACCTGGGGCTAGTCCATTTTGGACTGCTGCAGGGTGACTCAGCTCAAAGAAGAACATTTATGATCATTTTTTGAAGTAATAATTATCATATTAATCATTTTGCACTGCAGACGCGGTAGTCGTTTCGGTCTGATTGCATTTCCATGAAAAAATGATCATAAATGTTCTTCCTTGAGCTGCATCACCCCGCTGTAGTCGATGACGGATGAGGTCTAGCTATAAACAACCGGCTGCTGGAAGAGAGTGGGTGAGTTGTGTTTAGTCTATTTTAGACAAAGTTAAAAAGATGTTTGTTGGCTAGTGCTGTGGCTAGGACTTTATACTGTTGATGAAGTTAGGTGCTGTTCTGAGTATTATTTGTGGGTAAAGAGTGGCTTTTTGGTTGAGGTTTGTTTATGGTTCCTGAGACAGCTGTGTATTGCTATCGTGCGGTCGTTGCTAAAGTTTGTATAACCAGAGAAGCAAGCGGTCAGCAACATTCATCTCTCAAGAAGGTATCTAACTCAGTGTTATGGTGTGTTTGACCCTAAATTAATTTTACGACGGAATATCCCTTTAAAACACAAAAACAGGGAGTTTAACCTTATTTTGTTTGACTCATGCAGGCTGAGGCAGCAGTGTAGCCATGTACCCAACCTCTAACAACCCAATAACGTCAAGCTTCAACAACAGCAGCATCACAGAGCTCCTGGGTGTCCTGTGTGACCGCAGCCTGACCGGGGTGTCATGGAAACGCCGTGCCCTGGGAGGAGTCTCGAGAGAGAGTTTCCGCAGGGCTCTCAAAAAGTGTGCCTACGGTGCCCTGTTGTCCAAGTTGTTTCAGGATGGCACCAAAGGGTCCGCCACAGGACTGAGTGCCACAGCTACTACACCACCTAGAAACAAAGTCCTGATGATATGCTTTGACCTGCGAGTGGCCGGATGCCGAGAGGAGGCAGAGAGGTTGGAGGAGCAGTTGGAGAGGCTGCCAGAGGGAGCATCCTCTGGCCTGAGGGAAGTAGACGCAGTCCTGGAGCTCCTGGTGCACCTAGCTGGATCAGCACCTCCTCCTCCTACCTCTTTCAGCGAGGATTATATGAGACGAGAGAGGCCAGTGCTGCGGAGGCCTCAACCCTGGAGCTACCAGAGTGAGGAGCTGCAGAGGCTGGAGGCCCGTGCATGGGGTCTTGTGTGTCAGGAGGAGTGGGGGACTCTGGACAGTTTGTGTGGAACTCAAAGACTGATGGATGCCCCTCCAGGCATAGGTCTGCTAGCTCTGAGGACTAAAGTAGAAGCAGAAGAAAGATTTGAGAGGGAGACGAGGCTTACGTTGTTTGGAGCACTGCAGCACACAAGAACATCAGACATGGACATAAGACTGGATTTGCCTCCTGTTCCAAGCAACATTGATGTGACTGGTCTGGCTATAAGAGTAAGACGTGTTCATGTCTTGAATCAAATCTTATATTATTTATACAGATGTTTACAGGAGTCTTTGATTTGGTGTTAAGCCCCAAACTAACCCAAATGTGTCATCTGGGTAAAAATTTGACTGTGCAGGTCCCGTCCTCTTTGGATCAATCTGAAGATGAGGGCTTCCAGTCAGCTTCCAACCTGACCCCAGACTCTCAGTCAGAACCCAGCCCTGTTCCAGACTTTGATATTTGGGAGGCGCTTCGCACATTTGAACCTGGGAGAAGACGCTGCTGGGAGTCTGTCGGCTGGTAACTCATCACTCTGTCCTCTGAAAGTTTGATCATGGAGCTTGGTAGAGCCCGATACATGACAATGAACTAAAATGGTGTTAAATTTGCCAATTATGCGTTCATATAGACCTTTCTCTAAGTGTCTGATCACTCAAAAGGCTTTTCACACCACATTTGTACACTGGTGCTAGAGACTGCTATGTAAAGTCTTTATCAGTATTAACTAATCCCATTCACATATCACTGGGCGCAGCCATTGGGGACAATAACATATCTTGAGGATACTTTCCTGGGACCTGGGAGCTTAGGTGACAATTTCATTTTATCTGGTTTGTCAACTCAACTGTTCAAAACCTAAAGATACGAAGATATTTGAAATCTGTTGGCAAAACCAAGAAAAACTTACAGTCTCTTTCTAGCTTAATCTAAATAAGGTTAAGCCTTTTTAGTTTTGAATGACTTGAGTTAATCAACTGAAAAACTTTTAAGAGCAAAACTGTCTGGATTCACAAGTTAACAGGTTATCAAAGTGCACAGATGACCCTTAAACTGGACAACACATTGGAGAGATCTCCTTTCAAATCTACTTCTCACTCTTTTTTTTTTCGTAGCCCACCCGGGAAAAGAGAGGACCTCTATCTCACAGAGGGAGGCAGAGAGGCCTTTGACAAACTGTACCGTCTGTGGGAGGGTGAGTTGAGGGTGGTCAGCACTGGCACTCCCTCTCCTCTCCTCCCCCTGCCTCTGGACTCACAGACACAGCTGGTATCTGACCTCCTCAACGTCTTGATTGGAGTGGCATCCACAACCTTCCCTCTGAATCAGGTGCATTTCATGACCTTTTTATTTTTTTAATCAGTCTCTTAAAAACACAGACAACACTGAGTTGTTGTTTTAGGAGTCTGGCAGGGTTACAAAAACAACAAGTAACATTTTCAAGTACATGCTAAAATGCATTTAATTAGAAACAAGTAAATAAGCTTTTTCAAATAATAAGCTGAAACAAAACAACATGAGAACATTTCTCCAATCTCCAATTAGGTTTTCTTTTTTATCACATGTGTAGAGCTATTTACAACATCATCTTTTGTTTACTCAGACACCCTATTTTGGTCTTGTATCTGCAGTCTGGTTCAAGAAGTGGAAGAATACAGTGTACGCCTGTGCAGTCTATTACAGCAGACCTGCACTAGAGTCTAAGTCTGTAATGTTTAAAGTTTTGTTGAGACCGTCAGTGAGCTGTTTATTAAACCCAAAAGTCATCTTTCAGTCTGCGTTTAGTGTCAGTGCGCTTATTGTCTGTGTTATTTTGACCCCCAGTGGACTCCTGTCTAGGAACTATGTAGCCATTTCTCATAAACCAACCAAGAAATGGACTGTATATAACAAACATCTGATTATGTCCTGCAGTTTGATATAATAACAACACACACACATACACACACACTGTGCTTCAAGAAATCACCATGGAGGTGACTGTCTGACGTCCTCGACAACAATTCAATATTATAAGCTTTACTTTGCTGTAGGGCTACTTTATTGGATGTTATTAGACTGTTTCTTTGTATTGTCTTCACCACCTGTAAATATGTAATCTCCTCTCCAGAGTGTTCAGTTTGATGTCAGACCCGGCGTGTGTGTGTCTGGAGCCTCTGCAGAGAGCGTGTCTCGTCTCTTAGGAGAGCTCGCGCAATACGGCACCTACTACCTGAGGCTTAGCCGCTTTTCTCTGCAGAGTGCTGATAAGAGAGGCCTTGTTTTTCAGGTATTGTATTTTTTGTCTTGGGGTAACTGTTACAGTTAAGGCTACATATTGTTAACCTGTCTTTTACTGTCTTTGTTGCTATCGTTGTGGTCCTCAGATCAAATTTAAAGGTGCTTTATTCTTACGTCAGGGGGTAATCAACACAAATAGATATAATTTGTTCACACGTGCACACATACAATGACAGAAAATACACATACAATATATATTTATAGATCAATTGTAATGGAAACCTTGTAACTTCCCAGCAACAAAACACTGCAAAGACACATTAAAGGGATATTCCGGCGTAAATTTAAAGTAGGGTCAAACACACTGCAATACCAAGTTAGACACCCCCTCAAGAGATGAATGTTGCCGACCCCTTGCTTCTCTAGTTATACCAACTTTAGTAACAACTGCAGGATAGCAATACACAGAGGTCTACGTCTCCACACGCAAACCTGAACCAAAACACCACTCTATAGCCACAAATAATGCTCAGAACAGCACCAAACTTCATCAACAGTACATATAGGGTCCCAGCTTTGCTTGATTTCTTTAGCAAAGAAACTAAATACAACTCACCTACTCTCCTCCAGCAGCTGCTTGTTTGTGGGGAGAGCCCTGACGAGTCGATCACTGAGTGCCGCGGATCATTTCCATGACGTAATAATCATCATATTAATCATTTTGCTCTGCAGACGCGGTAGGTCTTCTGCCTTAGTGTCTCAGTCTGATTGTATTTCCATGAAGTAATGATCATAAATGTTCTTCCTTGAGCTGCGAAACCCCGCGATGCTCTGTGATCGACTTGTCAGGGCTCCCCTCTGCACTTTTTGGTTGAGGTTTGCATGTGGAGATGTAGACTGCTGTGTATTGCTATCGTGCGGTCGTTGCTGAAGTTGGTATAACTAAAGAAGCAAACAGTCGGCAATATCTCTCTAGGGGGTGTCTAACTCTGTGTTACGGTGTGTTTGACCCTAACTTAATTTTACGCCGGAATATCCCTTTGAGTCACTAAATCTGTTTATGTCATATGTATTTAGTATTAGATCAACAATTAAACTTCAATCTTACATCAGTAAAACGAAACCAATCACAAGATCTTAACACTTGGTTACTCTTCTCTTTAAGGCTTTTACAGGTGGTTTGCGGAAATACCTGCAGTACTACAGGGCCTGTGTCCTCAGTACTCCACCCACACTCAGCTTGCTTACTATCGGCTTCCTTTTCCGCAAAGTGGGCCGTCAGCTAAGGTGTGGTTAGACCCTTTTTTTTAAAAATTCTGCTAATTTGTAGCCTTTGAACCATAGCATCGTCCAGCCAACAGTACATTCACGTCCTACGAGTAAGGACCTTGATGCAAATGTTATCAGATCAAAAAAAAAATCAGCTTTCTTTTAATCTAAGGTATCTGTCAGAGCTGTGCTGTGTAGACGGGCCCTTGGGTGCAGGCCAGGCTACATTTCCCGTGGTGAGCGCTCTTTTTATCTGCAAACTGCAATATGTCGTCCATCATGGCTGTGTTTAGCCTATCAGATGGGATGTCAGCTCAGTGCCATGTTGCTCTCCTCAGGGTGTGAAACTTCTGTCCTACCTGTATGATGAAGCACAGAATAACTGCAGCAACGAGAACTACCCAGTTCTGCTGTCGCTGCTGAAAAGCAGCTGTGAACCTTATACACGGTCAGTCACCGAGCTGCATAACAAAACCAAACAAGACAACCCAAGGATTTGACTTCATTGATATGCAAAACTCGCTCTGTTTGTTTTTTTTTCAAGGGTTTTTACGGCACATGTTTGATTGTTTTTATTGTGTGCCATTTAGATTTGTGTCCGACTGGGTGTACAGCGGCGTGTTTCGAGATGTTTATGGAGAATTCATGATCCAGGTCAATGAGGAGTTCTTGGGCTGCAGAGGTGAGACCACATGCACTCTCACACAATGTTGAATAAACACTTTGGCTGCTGTCAGCAGGATTGGAAAATGGAAAGCCTGCCAGACAGATTGTTGAGCAGAAAAAAAACAATATTTCATTACAGCCTTTATTGCCTAGTTGGATTTGTCCTTGTTCCTGTAAAGGGTGTCATGAAGTTATTGGATGATAATCAGCGCCAAACAGAATCAGCTGTCACAGCTGTGGGGACCAGAACCACACTGCTCTGAAAACCACGGGGACTAAACAAACAGTTCTTTGTTCTTTTGAGTTTTTACACCACGCTGGCAAAAACAAAAAAATTCTGATTTTGTTTTTTCTTTCATTTTATTTCTTTTAATTGCCTGTGACAAATTTAGTCAACTGAATATTTTTTTCAGTCCAATTAATGACTTTGCTCTTTGAGGAGAGCAGACGAGTAATAGTAGAGACAGGGGGAGGTGATGATCCCTGTGGGGAGGATAATACGGACCTGTCTGCGCTCCTCAGGAGTGAGCTATGCAATTAGGACTCCAACCAAAAACCCTCATTATTTTCAATATAAACAAACATTCAGCCAACATTTTCTTGGTTTTTGGATTAATGATTTGGTCTTGGAAAAAAAAGGGTTGAGTATGACATAATCAAAAGTCAGAGCTGAGCTGATCATGTCTTTTCACTTAACAAACAAATCCAAAAACCTTGATTTCAAATTTTTATGACAAGCAAGACAAAGTGTGAATTCTGTCATCATTCAGTTCTTACTCCAACAAAATCTTTAACATTGACTTGGTTGTCAAAACCATTGCAGATAGTTGCATCTCTCCTAACAGTGACTGAATTATATATAAACTAGGGCTGGTGGATAAACTGAAAATTTACAGATACCAAAATCTACAACAGTAACCGACGTCATTTTGCCCATATCAGTATATTCGGTGTCAAAAAAATTAAATCAATAAAAGTTGGTTTTGGATGTGTGTAGGTAGGCTATGGTTTCATGTCCACAACTCCACTCCATCCAGTCCGTAACAAAGAGGGAAAGACAGGTGAGGAGATGGAGGACGGTTCAAAAGTTGTAGCAGCTGGAGTGGCAGCTGAAGTAGACGAAGTTAATGTGAGAGGGGGTGAGCAGCTTGTGGAGTAGTTATCGTCCATTTATCATCATCGAGGTGAACTGCTCAATATATCGTGATATTGACTTGAGGCCATATTGCCCAGCCCTTGTATAAACTGTCAGAACTTAAGTAACACACGTTTTTAGGATTGAGTATTTTACATCTACATAGATAAAGAAAACAAGATAGGAAAAAGTAGAACTAGGATTTACAGTTAATTGGTAAGACAGTTAACAAGATAAAACTTGACAGCCCAACAGTTGTTTTGTGTTTGACCCTTGTTAAATTACCTAATCGGCCAGGTTAGTAATCTTTCCAAGTAGTAATACCACGGATGAGAATTTGTTGGGATTGTTTTGGTTCTGTGTTATTGGACTGACAGACAGATTTGCACATAATTGTTTCTGCTCTGGTGAGTGAAATGCCCATGTTTTAGTGTTTCCAACTGTTTCATAGACCAAGCAATAAAATGAGAAACTAATAGGCAGATTAATTGGTAATCGAATTAATCATTAGTCGTAGCTTTATGAAGGGAAATGTTGAGAAGTGATTAATAATCCAGAATACATTTTTCTCACCGAACAAGCACACCCCGCCGCTGCTTCATTTTGACAGTCCTCCATAAATACGGGTTTAAAACAATCATTACAGTCTATCCAAATATTATATGTCATGCAACACTCCATTCAAGGTCAGACTATCACCTCGGCTTTGTCTGGCTGAGAGGTTCATTTGCTCATCGGCTACACCTCATCAACTCCCGCAGTGAACCTCTGCACTCCCCGCTCCTGATTTTTTGGAGGACACACAAATGTCATTGTTCTCCTCGAAGTCCGTCGGCCGGGGAAGCAATCAGCAGCTAAGCTTTCTTGGCAAGCCGCAGGCTTTTTGTAAAGAGCTGCCGAAGCTCAGTGCATTCATGTTCTCTTATGCTTTTTTGCTTAGGATCACTGAGCTAAGCGCGAACAATTTCCAAGTGTTAATTCAAGCGGCCAGAGTTTTGCCATGCCCCGTAAGTCATACTAATAAGGAAAAGTTTGAGGCCAAGTGCGGCTAAGTATTACTCTATCATGGTCATGGCTGTTGTGAGTGATAAAACTGTTAACAGAGGCATGGATGTACGACTACTTCATCTGAATGTAGATCAGCGTGTAACAGACATATTTGGATTTCTGCAGACAAACATTTCTGGGTCCAAGGCTACACTCTGATCTTGAAGGATGTGGAGGACTGTGTGCCTGCCTTCCTGAGACACATCGCTAACGACGTGTACGTCTGCGGCAAGACTATCAACCTCCTCAAGATCTGCTGCCCACAGGTTTGTGTTGATCATTATAACACAGTCATTTACAAGGGTGAATGATTTTATGCTAATGGATCTTGTATGAAGACATAGATGACGGAAATAATCACCTCGTCTTAATTATGTTCTTGACTTATTCAGCACAGAGCGGCTGTTTTTTTTGTACGGATTATATTCAGACTCATAAAAAGTTGATCAGAGATTCTTCTGCCTTATTTATTCAGCCTTATTTCACACCTAACAGCCTTCCAGTGTTCTGTTTTAGCTTATAGATGCACAGTTTGGCGCTGACAACCAGAGATTGCACACGCACTCCACAATTTTCTACTTGCTGCTACAATCATTCTGCCCATTTAGGAATCCATACTGCCCAAAGGGAATAGGACAAATAGTCAATACGATGACATACTGGGATCCAGGCTCCAGCGAAATGTCATCAATACTCTTTCATCGGTATTGTGATGAATTACCCTGTTGCAGAGAAGCAGCGGGTTTCTTTTATATTATATATTTATACATTTGAACTCTGAACTCTTTTTTTTTTCCTCTGAGGATTTAAAGCAGTCGAGTCCTGAATAACAAGCAAACATTGATTATGAACGTTTCCTTTCTTGTGACAGCACTGCCATGAGAGTTTATATGATGAACAGATAATGAATTAAAAGGTCTATCTACAAAAAAGCTATCTTTAATGGATATATATTTGGAGGTTGTGCTGTGTGTCAGAAAAATTGGGACATTTGAGGGCGAGCTTTTCAACTTTAGATGTTAAAATGATCATTTTTCTTTTAATCCGTAGGTATTTTATAAACAACATTTTTTTTATAATGTGCTTTATTTCTGATATACAGTATACCTCTATCTGTTTAACTGATATTCTGTTTGGTCAATCAGAATGAAGAGGTATCCACAGGCAAAAAAACTACAGTTCCTCAAGTGTCTTCTTCAGACTGGCTCCAAAAGCACAGGAAAACCCATTGACCCTTAATTTAAAATGCTTATTTAACAAGCAAAATTGAAACATGTTTTGACTTCAGTAGTTTTTATTCAACTTATTTGCACACATTCCCCATAAAAGGTTGGTATTTATATAACCTTTGAAAACCTCATTAAGATAAAGAGCCGTACAAAGAAATTGCATGATTAAGGACCGCTGAGTTGTTATGTATGTCGGTATTTAGTCTTCAGAAAGCAGTGGGCGACATCACTGAGACATTGCCCGTGTTTCTAACAGTCTTTGATCAGAATAAACTGAAAAATCTTCACCACTCTTTATCAAAGTTTCAACTAACTTCTTTAATTCACTTTAATGGTTTGTCTGCGCATTATAAAGCGTATTGTTATTATTATAAAACTCAGCTGAATATAATGTAAATGATAAATTCTACATTTCAGTAGAAATACAAATCCAATGCTGGAGCGATGCATTGTGCTTAAAAGTTGAATCATTTTTTCAGCCTGCAGCTGCTGCCAATAGGGATTACCTTTACCAGAAAAATTCTCCTCGATGAATATTTGTCATCTCACGATAAATGCTATAAACGCAAGCTGATGACGTAAGCGCGAATGACGAACTCGCAGCCTCCACATGAGGCTCCACATGAGGGATTTCTTTCAAGATTGGAGTTTAGACAAGTGCTATCAGGTATGCCTGACATCAGACAGTGGATCTGCTGCTGTTCACTCTGTGCAATAAGAGTTTTCAATAAATGTTGAAAGTGTTTTCATATTTCAGACTTGTTTTATGTCGTTAGTTTTCTCCATAACCTACCACTTAAACTTGTGGTTAAGTGTCTTATTTGACGATAACAACTAGTATTTTTAAGACAGATTGAGTCAAAAACATGGATTATATTATTGTTATTACATTTTTTATCGTGACTTTTATAGTTATCGCCAGGATGGCAAAACTTATCATGATAAATTTTTTAGCCCATATCGCCCATCTGTAGCTGCCAATAGATCTTCCTTGGATTGACCTTTGGGTGAATGGTCTTGTAATGCACAGTATGTGGTAGCTCCAGTGTGTACCAGAGTCGATGGGCAGACTAGGCTTCTCTACAATCCCTGATGCCATACTTATATGAGTGTGTGTGTGTGTGTGTGTTTTTGGTCAAGTTGTGTAATGTTTTGTACAATGAGTCAGAGAAGCACAATATACATCTAAGTGCAGTCTATTTATCAGTGATCTTTTTTCAGATTTCCCGATATAATGTAGTTTCTGTATTGCACACTTGATATTATCAGTGTAGAGTGAAAATAATAGAGTGATTACTGACTCTAATGCCTGTCCAGCAAAGTAGTTGTCATGTCTAAAAACAGACTCCTAACTCAATCTGATGTGAGTAAGCTTCATATTACAGTTTTAACGGAGCCTGCTGTATTTGCTGTCCTCACTGTCCTCTCTCTCTCTCTCTCTTTCTCTCTAACTCGCTCGCTGATTCACCAGCAAAGAGTCTGTGTTGTGACTCGACCTATCTGACCCAATCTGCAGGGCCTGTGCTCCAGATTAATTTGTATTCTGTTACTTCTGTCTTTCTCTGGAAATTAATTGCTATTGGTGTTTGGATTTACTGGACAAATTGCAGGACGGCTGTGAACACATCTGAGATAATAGAATAAAAATGAAAGGGGGACAATTGATTGTTGCTAATGTGCTTAGTTGCTGATATGATATTTTAGTAAGAGTGGGAAAAAAAAACACTTGCTAATTTAATTAATGAACACCCACAATTACAGGCAAACCTGTTGAGTGTTTGATATGTAAGAACAAGATGTCACTCAAATAGAAACGTGGTCGTTATTAAACACAATCAGCCTCCTTTTTAACGTTGATTCTTTGTTGAATCTGTGTCCACAGCACTACATCTGCTGGTCGGAGCTGCCGGTGCCTCGCATCGCCGTCACATTTTCCCTCCAGGAGGTGGAGGAGATTGAGAAGGACTGTGCTGTGTACCGTGGACGCCTGGAAAGGATTGCTAAGCACAGCGCCATCAGCAGGGAGGAGCAGGTACTGAGACGCTCAAATTGTCCGCATACATAATGGTAGCATCACAACTTTCTTACCTTTTTTTTCTCTGAAGGTAGGAAGGAAGGAAGGTCCTCACTGACGTAAAACTTGCTTTTTCCATTCTTCACTCAAGTTCGTTATTCAGCAGGTTATTCAAGATTCAAGCTTTTTATTGTCATATACTGCAGTATGTAAATATACACAGTCCACGGTGTATCTTAAAAAAAATTAAAAAATATATATATTTTTAAAAGTATACAAAAAAACACAATGAAGAAAAGTATAATACAGTAGGAGAGGGTTTGTGTATGTCTGCATCTGCTAACCTTTATGCCAACTTTATCAATGTAAATTTATTCATGTTGTATTAGTTAAAATACAATTTAAATAAAAATCATGCGTAAATATAAAAGTATTCCTTTTTAGACTAACCTTGAGTCTGTTTAAAGAGGAAAGGCGTGAAACATGAAACCATTTAATTTGCATTATTTCTGCCATCAGCTGGGAGACTTTTCAGAGTTTCTACCAGACAGAAAAAAAAGCTCCTCCCTGACGCTTTAAAAAGACAGAATAAAAGCATAACAGATAATATTTGTCTGCATTGTTACCCATAAGCTGATCATGTATACTGGCCGTTATTGGCTGATAAGAATTAATGTGTTAAAAAGTTTGAAACTTTTGCTCCACCGTTGATGTGTCTTTGGTTTTCTTGCACTTAATTGTTTACATCAAGAGCTACTTTTTTCCACTGCATATAATATGTTTTGTTTTTAAACTGCATAAAGAATATTTGAAACATTAGTCAACATGGAGCCGAGTAACTGTAGGTTAAGATAATAAAATAAGTTATTAATGGTTATGTAAAAACACATACACTTTGCCTGTTATTAGCAGTGAGGATAATCATATAATGCTGCATGGACCCTATTTTAATGTTGCACAAAAAAACTGCCCAAAATCCGGCGTCACTGTTTCTGTGATGGTCATGTGAAAAGAACTTATTTTCCTGGTTACTGCAGTTACCAGTCCAGCCTCATGTAGTTAAGGATTAGTTGGCTAAAGCAGCAAAACTAGCACTCACCTTGTTGATAAGTTAACCCAAATATCAGCTCTAATCTCATAAATTACTAATATTTGGTATCAGTATCGGCCCTGGAAAATCCATATCAGTCGACCTTTTCTGTTTCTCCAGCGAGTCGTTAAAATGTTGGAGCTGAAGTCAGACGTCTGCAGACGGCTTGATTTAATGTAACGACCTGATTTGTATTGCTTGTATCTTGTGAGTGCTGATGACTGGCAGAAGCGGGGGAAGAGGGTGAGGTGAGGTGAGTTGCAGGGTGGATCTTTTGATCTCTGTTAATCACGATTTCTTGTCTGTCTATTGTCAGGCTCAGCGAGCAGAGCAGGCCCGCCAGGAGCTGATCAATCAGGTCAGGGAGTCAGCAGCCAAAACCCTGGAGAGCATCCGTGGTTAGTGTTACACTAAGACACACACACACACACACATTCACACACTCTCTCTCTTTCTCTCTCTATAAGGGAATAATTTGATGTAGCACTTAATGTATATGCACACCCCCCTCTCTGTGTATGCTTTTAACAAATGACTCCACTCTGCTCTGCACTCAGTTGTTGACTCTTGACTGCAAGAGTTTCCTTTAGCTCCATTTATTCCTCTGAGGAGAGCAGAGATGCTCAGGGGGCAACCACAGAGAGGAATACTTTGTACATCATCCAGTATTATATGCTCTGAAATCCAATCATTGCTTGCAGAGATTACTACTTCAAAAGATTAGAAGCAAAGTTTGTCAGAGGAGGGGAAAGTTTGCCCTGTGCATGTCTTAGCGGGAGCATATTTTTTTTTATGTTGTTCATGTTGTTTGTTGCGTCTGAGATAGACAGAGGTGTCGTGCATGTCTCTGTTTTGCGGGGGGTTAAGCAGCCGTCTGTTATTTTTCTTTCTCAACCCCTGCAGGGAGGCAGGTGTCACAGCGTCTGGCTGAAGAGGCCAAGAAGAGGGAGCGCTTCGAGGAGCTGAAACAGCACCTGGAGCAGGAGCAAGAGGTGTTTATGTAAAAAGCTGAGGGAAAGAGAGAATCAAATGTGTTGAGTATGATCAAGAGTCACAGGTTCAAGTTCAACAAGAGGAATGTGTGTGAAAATTAAGAAGTGAGGGTGTCTGTTAAAGAAAAGCTTTATGATTTTGAACAACCTGTGTGAAAAAAATTAGTCTTTGAATGCAAAGTACTTACTATTTTTACAAGCCAGCTGTATACTGTATCTGTTTGCACCCAAGCAATAAGATTTAAAGCTTTTTCAGACGGCATTATAATAGGCTAAACTGGCTGTAAGCTTCTTTAAGCCAAGGTGAGCTTATGTTAATAAGCATTAATGTTTACAAAAACAATTATAGCTGCTTTGTGTTTTGTTAAAATCAATTAGGATTCTTACACATCTAACAAAGAAGCTGGAGACATTGATATGTGTGTGTGTGTGTGTTTGGTAACAGTGGCGAAGCGCTGCCAAGAAGAAACAGGAGGAGGATGACTTCAGCTTCGCCAGAGAAGTGAGAGACAGAGAGAAAAGACTACAAGCCCTGGAGGAGCAGCTGGAGCAGAGAGCCAGGTCTGACTGATTTCACAGCCGCTACTACAGATGTAAATGTTTTATTGATGACCGGTTTATCTCTATTTAGATTTCATTTGATTAAGAATTTACAAGCATGATTGGCCGTGACTTCCATCTGCGCCATTCACTGTTGTGATTGCAGCCAAATTTCATGCTATTGGTAGAACCACATGATGCCGCACAGCTTGCTCTAAAGTAATCAGGGCCAGCGATGCAAGCATAGCATAAGTAGATTTCTGCAAAATGACTGAAACTTTAGTTTGCTTGACAAAGTTTTCTTGGGTGTAACCACCAGCTCCCTAAAGCTTTGTATCTAACCTTTTCTTTTTAGTGCACTGGTATTGGTATTTGTTTCTGATTTTCAAGACTGAATTCATAATAATTATCTACTCCCTTTACTCCAATAGAATTAGGATGCTGTGTCAAATGTTGATAAAAGCATAATTTAATCGAGATGCATCACCTCTTCAATTGACATCACTTAATGTTTGAGAAATCCATAGGATATTAGCTACTCATTGTTGAAGAATCTCCTTTTTCATTTTTTTGTTTCATAAGATCCCAAAATGTTTTCAATAGGGGGGAAGTCAAGACTGCAGCCAAGCCAGTGTAGCACCCAGCCATGCCATTGTAATACACACAAATGTGGTTTGGCATGGTGTTGCTAGAATATGTTAGATCTGCCCAGCAAAGGCACTTTCTGGATGGCAGCATGAGTTGTGCTGAAACCTGTCTAAAGCATTGTATGCCTTCCCAGATGTGAGAGCTACCCACTGGCACTTGTACACTCACATACCATCAGGGGCGCCAGCTTTTAGATTGTGCACAAGCTGAGCAGGCCATCTTTTTATTTCAGCAGCGTCCATGATTACTAAAAAGGAAGGCTATAATCAACCAAAGAAGTTCTTGGTCGACTAAAACCCTGAAAATTTCGACCAAAAATCGACTAATCGACTCTGACGGCAAAGCATTCTGCGGCTCGGCGAAGCGCGGCTCGTCCGGGTGACTGATATCAGCACAAGAAGGCAGTTAAACACAAAAGGAAAGTTGAAACGCTCAAAATAAAGATAAATATTCGGCCAAACGACCGTACGTTGATTAACCTGGACGCTCTTCAATACCCCGTCTCCAGCCGGTCTTCAGTGGGTTGGGCGAATCCAAATTAGTGAAAATAAGGGGGGTGTTCTGAGACAGGCTGTTACCGGTCAAACGGGGGGTACTCTAGAAACACCCCCATTAGCAATTGGTACGTTCCTCCTGATGAAATTAACCATAGACTGTTAGTTGACGCGAAAAAAAAATCGAGTCGACCAATGAGAATTTTGGCCGAGTCAGCACGTATCGACCAATAAGTCGACCAGTCGACTAGGAATTTTTCAGCTCTGTTGGAAAGAATGCCAAATTTTGACCTAATGCAACCGAGGATGGTTTCCTACATCATCTTATTTAGGCTCAGAGATTTCTCTATCAGTGATCATTTTGTTCTCTGCAATCTTATACCGAGGAACATTGTTCTGGAATCACTGAACTATTTCATCGGTCTCTCACAGAGTGATGGACCTATTCTTGTCTTTTCACCTTGTCTCGATCGAAAACACAATTAACATACTAATAAATAGTTATGGTATGATACTTGAGGCTTTGATCGACATTAACTGTTCTTTGACAAGCGTTTATTATGTAAGACTCTGGAGAAAACCCTCAGCTAAATAACTTGAGAACTTGTCACTTGACTCACATTTTAGGAAGGAGCTGATTGCTCAGTACAGCCATCTGTCGGAGGAGGCAGCTCGGAGAGAAAGACGAGCCATGTGGCGGGTACAGCGTATGAGACTTGACGAAGCCCGGGAACAGTTCTTTGTGCACGACAGGCAGCAAACCCAGGTTGGTCTTAAATCGTGAATTAGCATTGGAGAGCAGACACAGAGGACAAACGTAAAATAAGTTGTAATTATTTCATAAAAAAGAGGAAATACTAAGAAAGTCCTCATCATTTCTTTCCAGGCAATGCTGGAGAAATATCCTTTAGGCCAGAAGAGACCTCCCATGGAAGTGCTACCATCTGTTCTATCAGCACAACAGACTGCACCACAGCCAATACTGGTATGAAAACACGCTGGTTTTCAACATTCAGCCCCATTTCTCCCTGTTTCATCATGTTCTGAGGAGTAAACTGTAAACGTTCTCGTTTTTATTCATGTCTTTACATTAATCTTCCTCCCAGGATTCACGGAACCAACGGCCAGCAGAGACAGAAGAACCTAATGCTGTATCACCACGACCTCCCCCATCTCCATCTTTGCCCCAACTGACAGTAGACCCCGGCCTCATCTCAGAGGACATAGACATAACTGATTTCCTTCCGAGGCCGCCAAACCCTGACAACCAAGAGGTGGATGTGGCCTTACAGGAGATAGGATCTGATCTACCAGATGTCTGTCCCACATCACAGTTGGTAGACTATGACTTCAGTGCCCCCTTTAGTCCACTTGAGGGTATCAATGTTCAAGCCTCTGCCCAGCCTAGACCTCACTGGGGGCCTGCAGTCCAGCCTGACCACCCTTCTTTTTCTCACATCCCAGTTGGAGAGAACATGTCTCAAGTTCAGGAAAGTGTCCCCAAAGCCAACCCCTTTGGACAAGCCACCAAATCTAGCTTCCCACTGGGCCAGTACACCTTAGAAGAGGCTCAGAGTACATGTAAAGCAAATATTTATGGACAATCCTCTGAAGCCTCAGTGCAGCTAGATGATGGTGGCTCCAAGACAGGCAACAAGCAGGTGGGAGTCGCATCTGAAACAAGGATCTTGGAAAGTAGAGTTGAAGAGAATGAAGAGAAAAATACCAAAGAAGATGTAGTTGCTATCAGACCACCTGGTGGAGCATCAGACATTGCTGCCACTCAATCTTCAGCGAGCACCCCAGGACATTCCTCTGACGCTCACATGAAGGTCGGACAGTTTGTCTCAGAGGTAACTCCTCCTCTTCCTTCTCCCAGCACTCATGGTCATTCTTCAGATTCACACATTAAGATTGGAGAACATGTTTCGGAGGTGAACGCACCTCTACCGTGCCCCAGTGTTCACGGTCACTCCTCTGATGCTCACATTAGAGTTGGAGAAAACGTTTCCGATTTTGTCTCCCCGCTCCCCACCCCAAACATCCACGGTCACGCCTCAGATTCCCACATCAGAGTTGGCGAGCACGTCTCAGATGTAGCCGCCCCTCTTTCCTCTCCTAGTGTTCATGGTCACAGCTCAGATTCCCACTTTAAAGTTGGAGAAAATATCTCAGATGTTGCCACACCACTCCCTGTGCCTAGCATCCACGGCCACTCCTCTGATGCTAATATAAAAGTAGGCGAGTTCGTGTCCAACGTACCTGAAGAAAGACCTCGTTGGAGCAAACACGGACACGCCTCTGACTGCATCCTTCAACCGGGCTGTGTGGTGTCAGGAAATGAGCCCAGTTTGTCTGCTCTCCCAGGCAGCTCTTACGGTCATTCCTCAGACTCAACTTTGGGTGGTGGATGTTTAGTTTCTGGACAAGAACCCAAACGCTCTCCTCTACCTGGCAGCACTTATGGACACTCATCAGACTCAAATCTAGGCACTGGATGCGTTGTGTCCAAAGCTGAATCCCTTCCATCACCGCTTCCAGGAAGTGCCTATGGCCACTCTTCAGACTCCACGCTGGGGGTTGGTTGTGTGGTGTTGGGGATGAACCCCCAAGTCTCCGCACTTCCGGGGAGCGCTTACGGCCACTCGTCAGATTCCTCTCTTGGAGTCGGGTGCGTTGTGAAAAGCAAAAGCACTGAAATTCAGCAAAAGACAGAACGGGATGAAGATGCTAAAGGTATGGAATAGTATGTTCTTTTGTTTGTTTACTCAGGAAGTTATGGAAAAATACAAAGAGAGTGTTTGGAGCAATAGAGGAATTAAAGATTTAAAGAGATGAAGATTTGGAACAAACTGTCACAGGAAGCCTTGATTGTTGTTTGGTATATTCTTATATAGGATGCAGATAATTAAGAACAAATTAGGAGTAAAATATTTTCAGATATGAGAAGTTTTACTTCTTTTAAGATCTTCGTGTTCTTTCTTATGTTAAAATGTTGTTTAAAAAACTTGCTCCAGGTGCTGATTTGGACAGCCCAGGTGAGCAGCTGGCTGAGGGTATGTGGTCCTCGACAGCTGGCTTTGGTTTGTCCCCTGGAGAAAGGTTTGAGCGGGAGTACCTCCAGGCTTTGTCTGAACAGTACCAGGTGGAACACTACGAAGACTGCTATAACCTAATGGGTGAGTTGAAAACGGATCACAGGACCATTCATCTTTGGTGGTAGTTCCTGCAGGCATAAGCACTTTCTGAAACGCTAGGAGGAAGTCAGGCTATAGGTCACAGTTTAGGACAAGATTTTGTTGAGTTTATGAAAAGACGATTTTAGGGAGGAGTTGAGTTCAGTTTTTGTGGACACAGAGGCAAGACCGGAGCAGATTCAAGTTTACATGGAGCTCAATGTTTGATATCAGCCACACTATTGGACCAAGAAAAAAGATAATTTCTTGACAGACATCAAAACAAAAATATTCAGGGTTCCTACATAAGTATGGAAAAGTATGGAAGTAATTTGATAAATTTCCAGGTCTTAGAAAGTATAGTAAATTAAAAATAAAGCATGGAAAAATATTTATGTCAACAGACTATATTACCACAGTTATAAAATACTGTTTTCTAAAATAGAAAGTAGATATTTCCTAAAATAACTCTAAAAAGTAGGGTATGGAAAAGTATGGAAATTCCATCTGTGTAGGAATCCTGTATTATACTTTCATAAGCATTAAGAAAATGAGTGACAGATCAGTTAGTTTGAAAATAGAAGTGGATCCAAAACAGGACCTTGAGGTACTCTCTTCATTTCATCTGACTAAAATTTATGTTAAGAATTGTGATTGAATAAACCTTTATGAACTGTATCTGTTTTGCTACAACAAACTTAGATCTGGGGAGATTAGATCCACTTCATCTTAAGAGTACATGTTTTGTATTACTTGGTGGGTTGGCTGTGTATAAGTTAGCTTTACTTGAAAACAGGCTTTTTTTATAGCACAACGCAAGAACACAATCATTGTTTTGTTGTGATAAATAACCATTTTTGAATCACACAATAAATAGATTAAATTGGTTTTCTTTCTTTTGCTCGTTGGTCATTTTATGACAAATGACCAAATGTCGTGCAACAGCTCCAATATTAAAGTTCAGCCAAGATTACTTGCCTTTTCTTGTGGACAGAGATTAGATGAGACTCAACATCTGGGGCACATAAAACAAGTCCCAACCACTTATTATATCGACAAAAAGATTTATAGCCAACGGTGCATTTCTAGGGAATAAAATGGACTCCCCTCATCTGCCGGTTATAGAGTCTGAAGTTTTTACATTGAAGAAGTAGTCTCAAGTTTTGGATGTGAAAAATTGCACACATGTTTACACTAAAGATTGTTCAGTATGTGCATCCTGTTTACCCCTGATCTCCCCCAAACAAACTAATGAGAAATGAAACACCTTTGGAAACACAGCAAAACATGGTGTCAGAATGCATGAATGAAAATGATACACCTTTCAGCTTGGCGGAGCTTATTTCATGTAAATTAAAACATGTTCAGAAGTGATGCATTTCCAGCGGCTGTTAAATATTTACTCCCTCAGCAGGCACGGGGGTTGCATAAAAAGCAGCGATATTTCATAAGGGCATTAAGTCGAGTGTATTTTTTTGTGTAGGGTGCATCATGGCATGCCTAAGTAATACCTTGTCTATTTTTCCTCGTCTGCGTTTGTAGTTCAGTCATGTTGTTATTCATGCCAGCTTTCAGGGTCTCCATGAAATCTATCAGAATCTAGTCATCCAAATGCATCTTCCACACTACTGATCAAAGTCGGGAGCTCTAATTATTTACAGAATGCAAAATTATATAGAGAGGGAGGAAGGAATTAATGAAACAGCTTAATAAATAGTGTCACGAAATCAAATCACTCTGCAGTGAACAGTGGCAGTAGTTGTAGCTCTTGTGTTTTATTGCTGATGTGGATGTTTGATAGATGTTTTGATTAATAAGTTTTATGTTTGAGTCATAGACTGTATATAGAATAGACGCCGTCTGCCTCCCTGCTGGGTGAAGCCTCCGTGAGAACAGCACCTTCTGGTGACGGGCTGCAGTATAGGTCATAAATCCCGCCTCGAAATCATGAAATTAATTACACTGAATATAAATTTTTCTTCCTCCCTGGTTGTGATGTTGACATGTAGTTTCAGTGAGACTGGTTTGTGTTTAAGTCCTCTTTTTTCTGTGCAGCTCTGTTTTTAAAAGTTATTAGGGAGTTCATGTTTTCTATGATTGACACTTGATACAGCCTATGGGCGTACGAAGATTGAGTAGCTCACCCGGGGGATACGCTGTTTAAGCCGAGCGTCATCACAGAGACTATCTGCGACTCTCCCCCTGGATGTTGGTTTCAAGAAGTGGAGAAAAAAACGCATAAATACCGAGAGCTTTTCGGCTTTTTAATCCGTGTACTGGCAGAAGGCGAAACCAAGTTGTCCATAGTATATACAGTCTATGGTTTGAGTTCACTTATTGTAATGCCATGTTTTGTCTTTCAAAAGTAGCAATTTAGTGTCAGAAAAGTGTCTAAAATGAATCAAGACTCTATTTTTATTCATGAGGTATTTGAGCTCTGCTTTTTTTATTTCACCAAAGAGATAATCTTGGATGAATATTTCACTTTTTTTTCCTTTTTGTCACTTTTTTTTTAACACAACACTGTTTTCTGCAGTTGTTAAGGGGATATTTGTTCACCCACTCGTCTGCCATCTCCCTCTCAAACAGCTTCATCCCCTGAGTGCCAGCTGCTGAAGCAGGTAACTCGCGGCCCCTGGGGTCTCCCCATGGACCCCACGCTCCGGAGAGCCACAGACACCACTGCGGTCCAACTCAGCGAGATGGTCTCTTTGCCAGTTCTGATCAAACACTCTGTCACCGCCCCGCTCATCACACAGTGAGTGTCCCGCTGACAGGAAGCTGCTGGAGGAGAGGGTCTGTTTTGTGTTGGTTTTAAACATCACACGAGTGAGCACATTTAAAGTTATCTCTGTGGAAGATTGGTCTGGAACCACGAAACCTCTGTAATGATAAAAAGAAAAATACAGGTTTGAGGGTTTAACAAATCTTTTGTCGTTTTTCTGCTACATCAGGCAACTTAAATTGTGTTTGAGTGCACATTCTTCACAGGAGGAATAATTTAAACTCTTATTACCTTTCATTTTTGTTGGATCCCTTTTCTATTTGAAATTCCATCAGAACTTCAGACAAGCCTGTCACTCTCTGCCTACAATGTTTCTGCACAGTGTGCAGTTTAACCTGCGTAAAGAAATGGCTTTCTAATCCCATCCTGCACAAAGATAGGATGTAGTATATTTAGCATTGGGAGCCAAAGCTCTACGTTTTTATCGAAACCTTTGTATGCCATACTTAGATGATGCAATGGAATTTACCCTGAGATTTTTTATATATTTTTAACATTTCCCTGCTGGCTTTTCAGATTAAGTGAACCTTTACTAAGTCCCACTGTGTCATGAATGTGAACTGCTCACAAATGGTTTAAGAAAAGGAGGAAATTGTGTTTTAAAGTGAAAAATCATGTGTCAGCATCACATCTGTCCCCATTTTGGACAATTTTGGCATCCCCGTGTTGTCTTCTAACTTTGGTCGTTCTCTCTTCCACCTTACGTCTCCAGCGTGTCTTTGGTCAACAAGGCAGTGGTGGACTACTTCTTTGTGGAGTTGGGGGTGGAGAGACATTTCGAGGCCCTGCGCCACTTCTTGCTGATGGAAGACGGGGAGTTCGCTCAGTCCCTCAGCGATTTACTCTTTGAAAAGGTGAGGCTGCTTCAATATCACTCAAATGATTGATATGTGGTAATTTTCTTCAGTGAGGTATCCTCTTGGAGGCATCATTACAGGATCAGATGCAGAGCTGTTTTTAATACATGATAATTTTAAACCAGTTTTCCCACTAATGAGCACTGCAGGTATTTAATGTGTTCAGCTTTTAGCCAGTGAAACACACCTCTGTGCTCGACTTGACAACTCAGGAAGAAAATAAAGCAGCGCTGTTGTGAAACATGCAATTGAAATGGATCCATGGATCCCTCTAAAAGCTGCTTTTATCAGTATGTTATAGAAGTAATGGACTAAATGACAACGTGTAACACAGCAGAGGTTTCTTATCTTTACAAACTCACAGAGTATTACATCTGTAACCTTGCCGTCCCATTCAAACTAATGGAGCTTTTCATTGCCCTCAGACTCATTGATTTGGTTAACAGTCTGTAGTTTTACTGTTTTTCTTCACTCACTCGCTCGGCTCTGAGGGACATTATTTTTACAAGTGCAGGACGCAGCTATTTATTCATATTTCATATTCATATGACAAACATTAACCTGTTAACACAGAGAAGATACAAACAGCTAAACTTCATTCAAATGATATTTTAGACCTTTCTGGGAATGTCGGTTGTATTTCCTTCTTTTTTGCTCTCTTTTTGGTCACCACCACCTTTTAAAAATTTTATGTGACCCCACCTCTTAAGGCTCATTTATGCTCAACGTTACATACGGATCCAGATACAGACGGAGCTCTCCATCCGTGCTTCGCGTTCTTTTTGTCCGTATTTCTGCACATATCCTTGAAGTTTACGGATACGGCCAGACAGAGCAGTACCAACGAAAACCATAGGGGGCAGTGTTGCTGCTGTCACTACCATAGACTGTATATAGAATGGACACCATCTGCCTCCTCGCTGGGTGAAGCCTCAGCGAGAACAGCACCCTCTGGTGACAGGCTGCAGTATAGGTCATAAATCGCGCCTCTTCCAGCAATCCCTATGGAGCTGTGGACAAACTTTAGAAATTTATTACACTGAATAAATTTTTTCTCCCCCCCGCTTGCGATGTTGACATGTAGTTACTGTAAGACTGGTTGGTGCTCAAGTCTTTTTTTTTGTCCAGCTCCATTTTTAAAAATTATTAGGGGGCTCATGTTTTCTATGATTGACACCTGATACAGCCATATACTGGCAGAAGGCGGACCCAAGTTGTCCATAGTATATACAGTCTATGGTCACATCCTGATATGCACCTTTAGAGAGAATTGAAGAAGACAATGGCGCGGCTTTATGAGGAAAGGTTGTGCGAAAACTAGAGAAAAGAATTCTCCGTCCTCAAATCGCGAGGCATTCAGTGGCCTGACCGACCACCACCTCCTCCAACCCTGCCTCCGTTTCTGTCTCCTATGCAAAAAATACATTATCACTAAACCCCATCCACAGTCGCCATATATCCTCTTGTTTGTTGTCATCAGAAATGTTTGACTCCGGCCTGCCCCCTGGTGGACGTAATGGCTAACATCCATGCCAACTTAAAGGACACATGGAAGTATGTGGGCAGTGACGGAACCATCGTTTGAAACTGACGCGTACATTTTCATATGTATGGCGAGCATAACTGAGCCTAACTAATCAGGAATCAGGTTAACTAATCAGGAAGCTTTTCTAATATCTAGAAATTGGCGTAATGTGAGTCTATACAGCTTTATGAACTGAAAACTGTCAGTATGATAGCTAAGAGTAAAATAAACAAAACATTTCAGGTATCTTCCATCACACTGTGTTTCTCTCATTTTCATTTCTCACATCGGTCTTCAGATTTCCACTCTACCTCTCTAAACTTTGAAGTCTTTTTTTTTTCGTTGTCTCATGTCTCCCTGTGCTTGTTTTTAGCACATAATGCCTCACTTCCAGATTCCTTCACTCCTCCTGTCAAGCCTGAGCTTCCTGGCGTGAAATAACAAGCGCAGCCTCTGCTAACACCTTGGTGCTGTTGTGCAGAAACATTCACATGTACATCTGTCTCCCGAGGCCCATGAGACAGACGGTTTTTGTTCCAGCCAAACACTCCACCAGCTGATTCCACTGATTAGCACACCTCCAACCGGAAAGCGAGCTAATCATTGTAATCAGCTACCCGGGGTGTTTGTTTGCTATGAAAATGTTCACGGCAAATTTGAAACAACAGGTGCACAAGACGGGGTAGTTTGCCGTGTTTGACTTTGTGTATTTAACAAACTGGCGTGTCCTCCGCACAGTTGGGCAGCGGACAGACCCCCGGCGAGCTGCTGACCCCCCTGGTCCTGAACTCCATCCTCAGCAAAGCTCTACAGTACAGCTTACACGGAGACACCCCCTTAGCCGGCAACTTCACCTTCGCCCTGCGCTTCCTCCCGGAGACCTTCCACCCACACGCCCCGGACTCCCTCAACTGTCTGGAGCTGCGCTACAAGGTGAGGGAGTGTCTTTTTAACTGAGTGACTAACACAGTGTGTACACTCGGCATGAGCAGCAGCTTGAATATGACAACCTGTCGTGTTTTGACAAACCGCTCTGGGTGTGGAAAATTAGCTTATCATACACTTAAAATTGTTGAGCCTCCCAGATTGATCGGAGTGGGGTCTTTGGGCTGACATGCACGGTGACTAATGCTGCATCGATTGTCCTCCTCTCTTGTTCTCCACCCCCATGACTGCTCCTTCTCCTGCTCAACCTTTCCTGAAACTCTCTCCTTCTTCTTTATCTCCCGCCTCATGTTTTTATCTTTCTCTGTTTCCTCCCCATATGTCTTTTCCTCATTCTTCTCCTACCCCTCCCATCTTTCACCACTCCATCTTCCCTCCACGTTCCTCTCACCTCCTTTATCAACGTCTCTGCACTCACACCTCCCCCTCCCCTCCTCTCCACCTCATCTGTCACTCTTCCTTTACCTGTTTTCCCAACTTTCTTTCACACTCCTCCTCACACCTCCCCTCACTACTTATTTATTTCTCTTGCCTCTGTGTGCCTGTCTCCTTTTTTTTCCTGCGTGTGATCTCCCAGGTGGACTGGCCGCTGAACATCATCATCACGGACAGCTGCATGAACAAGTACAACCGTCTGTTCTCCTTCCTGCTGCAGCTCAAACACATGGTGTGGAGCCTCCGCGAGGTCTGGTTCCACCTCAAGAGAACAGGTGAGAGCTTTTGATGCCGGCCCAGCTCAGACTCCACCTTCTCCTCCCTGAGGGAAGAGTTAAGATTTCCACTATCATGCTTCAAGTGTTTATGAAATATTGATAAAGGGAAATGCTGCGAGTTCTTCATGTTTTATTTATACAATACACATCTAATACAAGTGGGATTATGTGAAACAGTGTCCCGGTAAGATCGTATTGATCGGCTGGAGCCTGAGTACACGGGTTGATATCCCAAGGTGTAAACAGAGTATTAAGATATTAAAGAGATGTAAATTAAAACCTGTTAAACGTTGATATATCAAACCACGAAGGACAGTGTTTTAATTCAGGGCTCAAAAGGTATTTTTAAGGGATTAGACCAGACTAATTTGACAGCTCTTAATGTAAAAGGATTGGCCAAGCTCTGTTGAAAGCGTTTGTTCGATAATAATTGTGAAACTGATTTTGTACGAGGAAGTCAGCCTTTCGCCTGCGAGTGTCAGCTCTGACTTCTCCGCCACCTCGTGTCCCCTTCAGCTCTGGTTAAAGGTGCCGGCCGCTCGGTGCAGTTCCGTCAGCTGCAGCTCTACAGACACGAAATGCAGCACTTTGTGAAGGTGATACAGGGATACATCGCCAACCAGATCCTGCAAGTATCCTGGAGCGAGTTCACAGCTAAGCTGGCCGCCGCCAATGACCTGGATGCCATCCACCGCACGCACGCAGACTACCTCAACAGAGCCATCTTCAGGTGAGAGCTGGAAGTGGACACATGGTAAACCGGTATTGCAATATACTGTAAAATAGTTCTTTTCTAATACAATACATTTGGACTCTCCTGAGTTTGGATGAAAGCTGCTCTAAGTGTGAAGTGTTACCAGCTCTAGGCAGTGATGAAATAATCTCTAAACCTTGAACATAATGAGCATTAATGCTTAAACTTGACCTGGGAGGCAGTTCCTGTGGTTGTGATTCCAAACACTGCTATGATCAATAGTTTCAAAACACTGTAAATGTCAAATATCTCAAACAGATGTCTGAAGAGTCTACTTATGAGATTTTAACTCATCTCAAACTTTGCTCAGAGTGCTCTGTTAATATTTATGTTCTCTTGGTACCACAGATTTATTTATATTCATGGCATTTAATGTCTGCGGCTTCTGATTTATTCAACATAAACTCAGTCAAAAACAAAGCACAAATACCACATTAGACTCACATTGATACAGTTTAAGTAAAAGTGAACTTGTTGTTGGCTTGATTTGAGCTTTTAGGCCTTTACTCAGAGAGGACAGGTCAGGAAGGAAGTGACATGCAAGAAAAGAGCCACAGGCTCATCTGCCCGCTTCAGGACTATTGCCTCTGTACATGAGGAACATAACTTAATACATAACATAATACATAATACAGAACATGACAGGTGAGGGACAACAAATTAAGAAACAGATGAGGGAGACAAGAAAAGACAAGACAGACACAAGCTAGGATAACAATCTAACTTTGTGTGTTTGAGTGTGTGTGTGTGTGTGTGTGTGTGTGTGTGTGTGTGTGTGTGTGTGTGTGTGTGTGTGTGTGTGTGTGTGTGTGTGTGTGTGTGTGTCTATATATGAGTGTTTGTTTTGAGGAGTTATATGAAACAGATAACATTTGAAAATAATAATACAAACTGATAAAAGCAAAAAGAATAATGCGACAAAACAAAGGGACAAAGCAAAAACTAAATCAATGAAATTAAGAAAGAAAAAAATTAAATAAATATAGATATACTGTTGATATAGATATAGATATAGATAGACACAGATACAACTCTTTTTTTTTTTTAATTTCCTTCCTCTTTTCTCTCTCTCTTTTCCCCTCCTCTTTCTTCCTCTCCCCTTTTTCTCCTTCCCCCTCCTCCTTCATCTTATTGTTGCCAACACTTCTGACCACTCCTAAGGGTCAGGGGGTCGACTGAGGGAGGGCAATCTTTATTCACGTACCAACTGAGCCTCCCACAGTAATAATAAAGGGTTTCCTGAGGGGGGGAGTGGCCAGAAGCATGGGGCACAGAACTTAAAAATGAGGCCAAACCAGGGTTGTTATTTTGTGTAGGAATAGTGGTATTAGAATTATTGCACCCCCTAAATATTTCCAACTTAAGGAACTATTTTGAAACTACAAAATCAAATAATAGGTGGTGGCAAGTAATATATTCATGGGTCATTAGTTGCTGGTTTCTCAGTTTTTTGTTTCTGTAAATCGATGAAGTTTGGATTTTTGACTGTGGGCATGAAAAAACAACAATTTACACCCACATGATGTCAGGTCGCATAATAAAAATACACAAAAATAACTTCTCTCCTTTCTGTACAGGCAAAGCAATTTGGGGTTGTCACACTGTGCACACATAATTACATGTAAAATTAATTCAACCTCCTCGTCACGAGTTAATTAAAATTCGGGTTGTGTGCGAGGCCGGCGTTTGAACCTGATGAATGATTTAGTCTCATTAGGTAGACTTGTCAAGGATCACATTTTCCCGTGTATTATTCCGAACCTTTCTTTAAAGTCATTACAAAGTTCCTAGTCATGATCTGTAGACTTTGCTCTCTCTGCCTCCTCAGGGCTTTGCTGACAGAAAAAGCAGCTCCCGTCATGAACATCATCCACAGCATCTTCAGCTTGATCCTCAAGTTCAGGGCCCAGCTGATTGCACAGCCCTGGAACAACCAGCAGGGGGAGGCAGTGCACCCTAGCTTCATCGCTATGCAGCAGTCCTACAATACCTTCAAGTATTACTCCCACTTTCTCTTCAAAGGTGAGTGTGGATCATTTACTCAAACTTTAAAAGATATTAATTTATATTTTTCACTACAGATAGAAGCTCTAGCTTAACTTTGCACAGTCATGTTGTACAGAACCTGTGCGGTGTTGTGGATTCAATCAGTTAGCATATCAGCTAGGGGCTTCTCGATGTAATAGTTAATCCTGCATGCAGAAAGTCCCAGTGTAAGTCTGTATGAGGACAAAATAATTGATATATGATATAAAATAGGGCCTTTGTAACAGAAAAAGCATTTATTATAACTGTAGTTAAGTAAAGTAGTGAAGTAACTGAAGAAACTTTTTGGTCTGGCTTTCAGTTCAATTTTGTCTTAATCTTTTAATCTGAATTATGTGATTTTACCCTATTTTAGTCCTAGAGTAACTATTTTGTGTTTTATTACCTCTTTTTTGGTTTACTTTCTATTGTTAGATTTTAAAACTGTTTTATTTAACTTTAAACGCTTTACCACCTTTATTATATTTTATCATGGTTTTACCGTTTTAGTCCTAGATCCAGTTTGTCCTCATTTCTTTTAACTCAAGATAGCGTTTCCTTAGTCATTTATGGCAAGTTGAAGAGTCCCCGCCTGGTCTTTTGTGTATGCATCTGTGTGTGTGAGTGCTGTATGTGTTGAATGGGGGTTGGGAGGGTCGGTGGGGTTTGGTAATTGTATCGCTATTTCTATTATTTCATTGTTTTTAATATCCTGCTTGAATGGAAATCACTTTGTGCTACATTATATGTATGAAAAGTGCTTTAAAAATAAAGTTTGATTGATTCATTGATTCATTGATGTTTCTCTCTTTCTCCAACAGTGGTGACCAAACTCGTCAACCGTGGATACCAGCCTCATTTAGAGGATTTCCTGCTACGTATCAACTTTAACAACTACTACAAAGACTCCTGAGCGAGCGCTGCTCTAAGACTGATCTAACACATTTAACACAGGCCACTTACAAGATGCTTACTCAATGCATCATTGTGTACCATCAACGCTTGTGTTTGTAAAATCTCCCAAATATATCATTTCCCAGATGATGGTTAATCACACATGAAAAAAGGTGTATTTTTTTTTAAAATAAAATTACATTTAAAAAAGGTTAGAAACCCCACCTATGCTGTATGCTGTTTGCTGTATGTCTGGATATGGATTCTACATTAAGAGCCGTTAAGGTAATCAATGTGCAAAACTATCGCTACATGTCTGTGTGCTTTGAAATCTGCTTGACTGCAGCACTTTTTCCGCTCAGGTATGCAAGTGCAATGAAGCTGATGCCTGCTCCACTTATTTAAAAACATATGAATGACATGAATGATATGTAAATAAAAAAGCTAAATGTTTTCTAAAACAAGAGTTTTGTCTGGTGTTGATTTCAAAAGTTCTCTTATGATGTAAAGACAAAAAAAACTGCTACTGTAAGAAAAAAAAAGACATTTATTCAAGATAGCATATTAACATGGATTGTAGAAAAGGACAAATGAAATGTAAAGCATTATGGATAGAAGTTTTGTTACGATTAAGCTTTTTTACAAAACGATAGAGGAGAAGGGGAGCACATGTCCTGTTTCACACTGAAATGTACTTTCTAACCATCAAGGTCTCAGACTCTCCTGACAGTACATCACTTACAGAGCACACAGCTGTGACTGTAATGTCCTGCTGCAGCCACATGCAGCTCAAGAATTGGTTTGTATGAGCGCCATTAATCAGAGGAACAACACGGGCATGTGTTAGTCATGAAATATGGCAGGAAATAGCTGCGACTACGAATGTTTATTCACGTAACTTCAGTTTTATTAGAGGTGTGGTCGAAGGACGGTGCCAATCTCACAGCTTAATCTATGCTGATAAAAGAAAGTGTTATCTATTCTCCACTCTATTTCCAAAGATGCAAATTAGTATATTCTTTAAAATGTCAGACAACTTTTTTCATTTATGAACTATAGTTTCATGACTATAACTTCTAATATTTCACTGATGTTTCAGTTTTAAATGGCGAGTCAAACGCTCTGGTATAGATCAGAAGAATGAAAGCAGCCGGGCAAACGCACACCAGTAAACTTAATGAAACTTATTTTGTCAAATCTGTGTTGTTGTTTTTTTAAGTATCTGTAACACACAGTGTGAAAATATCACAGTTTACTGATGAACTGCCTCTTGAGATTAGTGTTGTAGCTTAAATGGAACAAAACTGCACTGGGATGTTAAAGGAAATGTAGAAAAGCACTGATCAATCACTTTCCCTTCAGTTTTCCTGCTTTGATTAGTTTTCATATGTATGAGCAAATTGCTTTTCAAGGAGTTAAATTAGACTTTCATGTGTTAGTGTAAGGTTTCAGATTTTTTCTCTGTAATACAGCTCATTACTCAGCGTAGACATTTTAATCTTCTGCAAAGGGACTGAGAGAGAACACCGCTGTTTAATCATGCACTGGATCAGCCCCAGCATATCGACTCTGAAAGCTTTTAATGCAGGCAACTCTGATTACACATCATACAGACACTCAGACAGTTCATATTTACAAAGGCTTTCCAGAAACAAGAGTGCAAAAGACCTTTCAGTTTACTGAGGAACAATGGGGCTCTTTAACCCTGCATACAGATCATCTTTAAGACTTTTAACCAGTATCTGTAATGACGTATAAATGTAAAATGGGACTTAAGTTTATTTAAAAAAAAATGCTTTTGGGCTGCAGAAGACCAAAAAAAAACACATAGTGTTCTTTCGTACCACTTCATTGTCACCAAGTCAAAGATCCTTCAGATTTCTCATTAAGTGCATTCTGTAATCATTGAGCGTTTCTTAACGATTTTTGTACACAAGTAAACGAGAAACAATTGCCAAAGTAGTTGCATACAAGTTGAACAAGTAAAATAATGTAAAGGAAGAAATTCTCCAAACAGACTCAAAACTATGTAAACTGTAAAATAAGTGTAAACCGGAACTGAAGCAGATAATTCACCCCCATCCGTTAGATGTCTGGAAATATAAGAAGACAAGGAAACTTAATTACGACTACCTATATAGTTTCCCTTTTGATGTGAGTACCATCATCAATGTTTTTAAAAACAAATCCAAGCTCCCATCCTGCAGTCTGACCAGAGAAAAGCCGATCTAATGAAGCGCCCATGAGACATGCTTTTAGGTCCAGGCAACTAACCTCCCCTGACAAAGTCTTCTGCCCTCATGACAGCGAAAAACTGGAGACTTAGTAACACAAGGTGAGTAAAGTGAACTACACTCTCTAATATGGGTGTTACTGTACCAGAGTTAGGGCTAGGAGATCAAGATGATAACGTCATCCAGGGAAAGACTTCTCTCCTCGGCAAAAGTCAGAGGGTGGCCCTAGTAGGAGGACTTATTTCTGGGGTTTTGACATGGACTAGGCCTCGGACTCCAGGTCTTCTTGTCCGTCCCCGTTGGCCGTGTCTCCTGTCTCAGGCTCTAGTAACAGGAATTTGCCGTCATTGGTTAGAGGCATGTTTTTCATCAGTTGGGCCAGAGCCTCGGGATCCTGCAGAAAACAAAAACAGCAAAGAGACAAAGTTTTATTTTTGTTTCTCTGTTTTTGAACGTAATATGTGATAATATCTCCCCAATGTGTTCTGTTGGATTTGAATTTAGGGTTTGATGTTAACGACTCCCTCTGGTGGAGCTTTTTATAATTATCTCCAGATTAGTCCATTTTTTTTAATTTTTTCTGGTTTCAGATGGTTAAAAAGTGACTGTACTACTTACAGTTAAACTAGATTTTTAGAAGTTGTAGTAAAAAAAACAGCTTTGCAGAAGATGAAAATAACAGATAAAAAGACTTAAAAAACTTTAAAGAGATAAGAGAAAGATGGATTTTAAAAAGATTGCATTAACTCTTTACATGCACTGGATAAAATGTTGAGGTCTAGACTGAAGCAGCTTTCATATGGGATGTATTTAAGTAGTCTACAGAACCTGGGAGTACATGGCAGGGTTTCTGTAGGTTTCAACAGGTCAAATTTAAGACATTAAAACTTTTTTAACACCATGATGAATACAATTTAAGATACATTCTACATCCATACTGGCAAAAAAAAGTACAAAAGACATGAAGGCAAATTGGAAAACTTTAAACTAACTTCAAATCAATCTTTATTTGTAAGGAACATCAATACATTTCTAAGACCTTTCAAATTTGTATTTAAGACATTTTATGATGTTTTAAGAGAATTTTAGACATTTTAAGGCCTTGAATTCAAATTATTGGATTTTAGACGTTGTTGGACTTTTTAAGACTTTGCAGAAACCCTGACACGGGCATCTCTGCAAGCTTTAGTTCTTGAACTACCCACTCTATGTTCACTAGAGCTGCAATCACATTTTTATGGCACATTACCATAAAAGGATGAGTATTTTTCTTCCATTTATGTCTACACTTACTGATATAATTTTCATATTATGCTGTCTTTGTTTGTCAAAGCCTTAAAATGAATAACATCTATTTGGATTTTCACATCAGAAGTGTTTGTGTTCGTGTGACAGTACCGTCTTTGCCTCTGCGATTTCCTTCGCCAAGTTTATAGTGTAACATATCTGTGAAAACAAAGGAAAAGATCAACACATATCCAAACCACTTCTGCATATTTGACTCATCAGACAGAAAAAAACGTTATGTGTTTGAACCTTTTCTCCTTCTGTGTTGCTCTCAAATACGAAAGTGCTAAACGAGGGCTCTCCTTCCTCATCTTCCTCATTCCAGTCTCTGCCCTCAACCACAAATCCCATCAGCCTCCCGTTCTCCTGGTGAGCCGCGAACTGAGAAACCTCTCCGAGCTGGAACTGAGAAATGAGAGAAAGAAGATTTCTCAATGATACAAACATCAGGAGTGAACATCTGAACCTTTTTCGGAAAAAAAGAGATGTGCTTGAGAAAACAGTTTGACTTACACTTGTTCTGGTAACTTGAGTCTGCGGGTCAATCAGCCTGTGGCGAGGACAAAAACGGATACTTCAAATACAATACAAAATCCCTGTACACACTGTACCTACACCTCAGCAACAGATATGATAGTATTTTGTTACGGAGCTCTTGTAAGTTTTAACATCTAAATAATCCTAACCCAAGATAAAACTTCTTACAAGACTGAAAATCAATCACAGGTTATGACGCACATGTTACTTGAAAACAAGAGAGGCATACAAAAGTGCTTTAAGTTGCAGATAATGCCCGAGGCTTAAACAGGTTCTTATCTAAGGTTTCTTTGTAGTCCTCAGGCAGGAAATTGAAGCTGACTTCTGACAAGTGTTGGCAATAATGAGGCCCAGCGCAAGATCTTTTACAGCCTTTATACATCTCAATGCTTGTTCACAGGGGCGATTTGATAGTCTGATAACTGCAGTGAGCTTTGTTGAATTTCACGCCGCTTACCTCTGACTCTCTTAACTCCTGCCAAGCCTTTGCTCTCTCTTTTAAATCTTGTATTTTTCTTTGTAAGAATTCTTGACTTGACTCTTAAGTCAAGTTGTTGCTAGTGTAACACCAGCGTTTCCCAGTTGAGTGTCAATAAAGTATATAACTATCTTATAAAGAGTGTAGAACAGACGGAAAAGCGTCATGTGGCAACCCCTAATGTAATAGTGGCTCATAATGTAATAACTTTAATTAGAGTAGATTAGGTATTCCTTCATTCATCCCTCAGTGGGGGGAATTTAAATTGTCAACAGCAGCAGAACACACAACATTCAAGTATACCAGGTACAAAAACAAATAAATTAAGATAATAAATGTATATTATCAACTCACTTTACTCTAATAAATTGTTACATTACTACATTATGAACACACATTATTATGTTATGCACTCATGATTTTCATCCAGTTATAAGCTGATTACAACATTATGAACTTTCATTATATTTACGTTATTACATTCTCAGCCGTTAATACAATATGAGCCGTTTTTCACATTATGAGCTGTTATTATACTATGAGCCGTTATTACGGTACACTTATAACCAGGTAATAAACATATAATTACCTAATAACAACATGAAATTATCTGGTAATTACATGATAACCACTAAGTCAATACTGTCTAGTTTTTATTTTTTTTCATTTTTTCTGTGCAGCTCCATTTTAAAAAGCTATTTGGGGTTCTTATTTTTTATGATTGACACTTGCGTACAATGCTTCTGCGCAAGTGGTGGTTCCAGGAAGCGGAGAAAATCCTGGAAATACCAGAGCAATTCGATTTCAAATTTGTATGATGATGGAAGGTTACCTACCTGATAGCTAGACAATAATGACTTAGTAGTTATCATGTAATTACCAGATAATTTCATGTTATTACTAGGTAATTACCTGTTAATTACCTGGTAATAAGTGTACCGTAAAAGAAAGGGTTACCTAAGCTTTTATTACATTATAAGCCATTATAAAATTATAAGTTATTATTAAATTATGAGCTAGGCTATTATAACATTATGAGCCATTATAACATTATGAGTCATTATTATTATAAGGTATTATAACACTACAAGGTACTTTTAACATTTTGAGCCATTATTACATTATAAGCTGTGATTACATTATGAGTTGTTGTTACATCATGAGTTGCTACACGGTCACAACTTGCTCCCTACTCGTGCGTCACTCGTGAAATCCATTAGGTTCTATTGTCAACGCAACACTGAACACCTTGGCCTGCAGCACAAGAACCTTTGCTATTTCCTTCCCAATCGAGTCATCAGTTTACTCCTAGCACCTACGCACGTATAGTGGCGCGTCACTATCTTGAGGACGCAGAAAGCATCTGTGCCTGAGACCAACAAAACCTGGTCTCAGATGTGTCTATGACGCAGTACTTTTTCTATACTTAGAGGGTGTATAAGTAAGTGTGTTCACACTGAGCGTACATCTGCTTACTTCCCACATATAGAGTCATGCAGGAAATATCAGTGTAATGGATGATACAAGATTATGACAAAGGGCTCCGTAAAGCAAGCGTTTTCGCCCTCCCCTCCTTACATCCCCATACTGCTCTTGCTTGAGGGCCAATCCATAGATAGTAGGAGATGAGAACACTTGTTTCAACTCAGCTATGTAAGGGTCAAAACCTCCCGACTAAGATGTCACAAGCTCTCCATCATGTGCACCCTCTTTGATGCGCACTCTCTTAATTACTATAAAACAAACGCAAATCCACACAGAACTAAGAGGTAACTTTTTTAGCAATCCTTAATCATATGCTACCAGATAACAACCAGGGAATCTGGCTGTGAAAGTATGTAAATAAGGAGTCAGGGCCCATCTTTCTCAGATGCTGAGCACATGGGATGTTAGTTTAGATCAGATTATGTCTTACACTGTCTGCATACTAAAATTCATTAAAAACATTAAACTGCTGTGCCTCGTGGGTTTGGAGAATTGCTTTTGTTGTTATTGTTCCTAGAGATTGTTTCAACTGGTGCTCCATCAATCAATTCAACACAAATCAGTGTGTTTTGTACAGCTTTGGGGGTACACATTCAGGGGGGAGACATTAAAGATGTCTGCTCAAGCCTGGTCTCTTTGAGTGGAAAGATTGAAATCTGTGGCATGAATAATAACACGCTTGCTTGTAGGTGCACTTGGCTCTTGAGGGGAATGAGAGCAGACACTGACTGATTTGATTCATGATTGACCCAAAACACATCTTTGAAAAATCAAGGGGCTCAATCCAACCTCTCAGATTGTATGAAAAGCTTAATCTTTCTTTGACGACCACCTTGTTTAAGTACATATATAGGGCATAACTCTCTTGATTTTACTTGCTTCCCCGTCTTTATATGAGAGGTAGTAGTCTTTACCTGAGGTTACTGCTAGTGACCATAAGGTGGGACTCGGTGGTCCTGAAGATATTGTGGATCGCTCGGGCAGCTAGCACCTGCCTCATGGCCTCATAGATGACCTCCTGATTGTTGCCACAGCGCACCGCCATTGAGCCCAGGAAGCGCACAGCGAACACTTGTTGCAGGAGAGAGTCTGTGGAAGCGTACAAACATCAACAATGCATGAACATTCAAGGACAGTGAATAACAAAAAAACAGGAACACATATGTAACAGTGTTATCACAAGGTACGTAAACACTACGACCGTTACTAATACACGATGGATCGTTATGTTGAACCTGGAGTAGAAAATCATTACCGTCACTCTCTGATGAACAGTCATCATCTGTTTCTCCGAACGGATTTGTGCGTCTGTCAGGAAGGGAAGGTACACATGCCAAGGAAAAAACAATTAGACCTCCTGCGTTTAGGCATTAGGAAGCATTTCGCTTCCTGGAAATCATGTAATAATCACTTTGAGGTCGGCTTTCAGGAAATGAGCGCCACTCAGCAGAACCATGTTCCTGCCATCCTCTCCTAAACATGTGCAAACATGGACAAACTTCCTGTCCCAGATGTCTCCTCACCTCCCACCAGCCCTGTTCTGGTCCAGAAACTCTGAAGCAGGCAGCATGATGTCAAACTGGATGGGCGTCCCGGGGGCTATCAGGTCCTCTGGTTCTGGAGCAGCTCCTGGATTCTTGGAACTGCTGGCTGTATATACACCTCCTGGTTTTGCTCTGCAGGAAGAAATAGGATGATCGACATGAAATAGTAAAACAAAAAACTCAAAATAAAAAAAAGTTACATATTTTTAAATCTATCATAGTATTCAAACTAGAAAAGCACTACGAGAGCACAGACCTCTGCCAAGCAGCTCATGTCCCCCTTATATTGTGATTCACACCAAAACTTTTACTGTTACGTGTCTTTTATTAACTTTTATTTGTGTTTAAACTGGTATGTTCACTGTTCATAATGTTCCTAAAACAAGAAATGCCCTGACTGGGATTCAAACCCAGGACCTTCTGGTTGAGATGTGACAGTGCTAACCACTACACCACTATCACGCCTATCTACACCACAGTGCCGCCCATTGGTTATCTTTCAGCATTGAAAATTCCAAAGACACCCTTATTTTTGTGTGTTCTGGATCCAGAATTAGTATCCAGTATCCAGAATTTTGTCCGGATCACCACCAAAATTTAATGGGATCCTCCTGGGGCTGAGACACACCTCTGGTGAAAATTTCAGGTCAATCCGTCTGTTACTTTCTCCGTAAAGTTGCTAACAGACAGACAAACTCACAAACAAACAAGCAAACCAACGCTACCGAAAACATAACCTCCTTGGCGGAGGTAATAACTGCAATAATAATAATAAAAAATAAATGCATAAAAGCTCAACAGATTAGCTGTAGAAATATATAACCAAAGCTCTAGGGTTCTGTGCTAATAGTGTTGTGTCAATGTGTTCATGGACCTTGGAAGTAATGTACATGTTGGGTCAAGGTACAAAGTAGCAAGCTTTTCAGGTATCGGATAAGAGTGGCAAGAAAACCTCAGAAAAACACTAAATGTTTCTTGGACAAATCCTCAAAGGGACCAATGCACAGATTTGACCTTTAACTTGAACAACCACTGTATGGTGGAAGTATGAGCCAAATGGATGATAATTGTAAGTAATCAAGGATGAACAGCAAACAGGAAAATCATGACTGTTTTCAATTCCATCAACTCATACATGTCGATCTAGATGTCATGTTAGAGGTATTGCACAGCTGAAAAGAAAAACTAAATGAAATATTTCATTATAACCACATGAAGCCTGTCACATACGGAGAGACTGGAAAGAGGAGTTATGAGACTTCCTACTATAAAGAATCTGAGCGTCAAACTCAGGAGAGGATCAAGCGCAGTGTTTTGTGTAAGCAGCAGTCTGACCTGTCAGGGTTTGGCGAGCCTTCTGGTCTCTTCTCAAAGCTGGTGATGGGGGTGACAGCCTGGATGGCAGTTTGATTAAGACGGATCGCCACAGCCTGACAAGAAGAAACAGGGACACTATAGGCTACCATCTCTGTATCATCAGTGAGTCATCCGTAGCGCAGGGAGATGTGAATGTGTATCAAATATTTAAAGTACGATCAAACTATCTTGTTCATCTTCGCAGGATTTCAACCCTGATTTCAATCTCTGCTCTGTGTGCAGGGAGTGTGACAGCACTGAGGCAATGCTGCTGCATGTTATGGCAGAGCCTCTAATGTAGTGGAACAAAAAATAGACATCTCACCAACTGGGTCAAATGAGAAGGGTAGGAAAAGAGCGATCACATGTATAATTCTTACTTTGATTCTTTCTTATAAACCAACACTAAGTCTGTGTGTGTGTGTGAGTGGACGTGGAGTGAGAGACGTGTAGGTTACCTCTGGGTTGTCAGTCAGGTAGATCTGTCTGGAGATGTTGTTCACAGTGCAAATCCACTGAGGAAAAAAACACAAAAATCCACATCATGGTTTCATCTAGATCAGATATGAGCTGCGTGAACTCACAATCATTTCTCCATGACTGACTGACATGACAGCTCTTTCATTTCTCTGTGACTGACACTTAAATCAGTGGATATCTTTGAGATGGGCACACACACAGAAGATCAAACACAGCTGTTTATACGCTGCCTTCACACTTACTTCTTCATATTCCCTTTTGCTCTCTGCTTGTAGAATCATTGACCTGCAAACACCAGTGAGAATACAGAGGATGTTAAAGCATGTTTTTGTGTGTTATTTACCTCTCTGGACGACAAGTCTACCTACGTTTTGCCTGATGGAGATGTGATCTGAAAACAGTAGCGTCTGTCTTCACAGTCCACGGCCATCACAGAGCTGTTGTCTAGATCCAGCACCATGCCTCCTGCCACCGCCCCACGTGGTTGGCACATGAGGTTCCCACCCTGGGTGAAGAAGTAGAGTCGGTCCCAGGCTGTGGTCACTAGACCTGTTTTACTAGGGCGCAGAAATAAAGAGGCAGGAAGAGCTTTAAAAAGATTATCACGATAGGGATGAGATTTTGTGTAACACAGAATTAGTTTTATCTAGGGGTGTCCCCAAACAACTTTTTTTAACCTCCAGTATGATACTGATATTGTAGCCTTCAGTATCGGCCGTTACCGATATTGGCACAAACTTGTACATGACAAGACATCTTTTTCAGACTTTAACGAAAAATACTGCCATCACTCCTACTCCTTGGTACTTTGTTAGCACCTTAGCACACACTGTTGTTGTGATTATGTGGGCTCTACATGCTGGACATGCTGGATAGAGGTGCTGGAGCGGAGTCTGGAATGGACTGCTTGTATCAGAGTGCTGATATCAGAGGTTTTAGATGCAGGCTGATATCAGACCGATCTCTATATCAATATTGTATTTGTACACCCCTAGTTTTTTCTCCATGACGTACTATAAGTATGAAAGGGATACGAGCAGACTATGGATATTTAAGCTTCCCTCAGAATATATTCTCCCCATGTACTCTATATATCTGCATGTATTCTGTTTTTCTTTATATTAAAGGGAAAAAAACACAAAAACAAGGATTTAACTGAGACTAATAATGCTATAAATTTTAAGAAAAGGTCTAACATTTGGCTGAAATGAGCATACAGGAGAAACGTAGGTTGTCTAAGCCTTCTGTATTTCATGTAGCACAGCAACTGATAGTAAAAATGTATATTTTGTTACTCGTGGAAAATAACAATCTTCAATAAAACTCAATATGATATCATGCGACTTAATCTGAATGACGTTTTAGTTTATACATCGCCATTTCAATGTTCTCTATACCTCCTTGACTATCTTTTACTGATCTGAAAAGATCCATATGAGCCAGCCTTTAGTTTCTGCCTTTTTCTGTCACAGTTGTTTCATTTTGGTTATCATGGTTGCTATTAAACTAAAACATAATTAAGCTCTGACTCACTTATTTTCAAAACAAAGCTACAGGTGTATGATTCATCTGTGATCCCTGCTCTGGATTTAAAAAAAGAAAAAGACCTCCTGATAAATATTCTTTCATTAATATGAAGTGTGTGTCTCATGCTGCCATGGCTGACTCACGCTATTGATATGGAGACACACTTTGAAATAGAAAATGTTCTCTGGACTCGGCTCCATTTGACAAGCGTTTGCTGCTGCTGGCACAGTGTGTCATTAAACAGAAGGGCATTCCATGGAAACCTTCTCTCTGGTGTCACAGACATTTGTCAAAGACTTTGGATGTATATGAGGGAGAGACAGAGTTTGACAGCTCTGACATTTCACTAAATCACATAGCAGGATATGTTACAGCTCGAGCCCCTGAAGCCATTAAGGAAGTTTCTCTGCTCTCACATCCATCCTGCAATAAGCTGACAGCGCACACTGTCAACATGTTACCTGACCCACCGACTGCCGTGACAGATTTATTGTTTACCGTGTCCCTGCATATTTTGTGCAGCTTCAGCGATGGAAGCAAAAACATTTTGCCTGCTGTTTGGTTATTTTGACATTTAATGCCAACTTGACCTGCTGTATTTTTACTGCATTTTCTAACCAAACATGAATCCGTCGCTTAAAAGTAGGCCAGATTAAAAATGTGTTTCTCAGTTGTTTTGGTCCCTTAACCTGTCATGATCAAGGATATCGAGGTGAAAGGAGGTGTCCTTTAATTCGACGCAGTTCTATAATGAGTGAGAAGTTAATCTTACTTCCTGATGTTAAGGTAGCCAGCCTTCTGGATAAGCGTGCGATTGACAGGGTCAGTGTCCTTATCTGGCATATAGACGGTGTCCTCCACAGAGAGAAGCTCCTTCTGAGACACTCGCATGGACTCAGCTTCTGTGTCCAGCTGGTTCTGGATGCTAGACGAGAAAAAAAGGTCCATAAAGAAACCCACTCTTATTCTGCAAATTAAGTGTCAACATTTCCTGATACACATGCTAAACTCGGTTATTATTACATGTTAGTATATAAAAGAGAAGTAGCATTTCCTGAGAGGCTGCTGAAAACAAATATGTTTATGGAGATGCAGTGTGCTGTGAGGTAAATGGGTTAAATTAAGTCTGTTTGGATGACCGGAAACTTCCACCTGTTTCCACCAGCAGATACTCTGTTTTTACAAAAATAACAGTAGGAGAGGTTGTTTACCTTTGAGTCATGTTAGAAACCGAGGATAAAAAGTTGTCCATCCTCTTTGCCACCATGTCGATACCTTTTTTGAAGAAGCCAACCTACAGAAAAAAGGTAACAATGAGCCACTTGTGCTTTTACTGTATTGTCTCAATCACACACTTGAACGCAATACACATTAATAGGGATATTATAATATAATAATAGGAATTTATACTGTTACACTGTTTTTACTGTTATGCTGTTTATATTGTTCTTTATTTTTGTAAATTGAGAGTATTTAAGATTGTCTTTTGTTTAGCTTAGTTGTTTATTCAATATTTATACTTTAGTTTTATTTTTATAGTTGATTCTTCTGCACTGTGGGGTCTGAGAGGACTGAAATTTCACCTGTGCTGTATGTTTAACATGTATAGCATATTTGACAATAAAGTTGACTTTGACTTTTGAATAGACAGTAATTAATCACTGAGCTACAAAGAGTGCTGCAAATAAAAATCACATTGATGACATTCCTGTTTATTTTTGGCGCTTGATTTAAAACACATAATCACAAAACAGTATCAAATACTAGTTCTAGTGAGTGTAGTTAGTTCATTAAGTGTAAAAAAAAAGCCCCAAACTGTGTGTTATTTTGCTTTAAAAAGGGACCATGGACTTTATAGCTCGTTCAAAATGCCGCACCTCGTGTTTTATCTGGTCGCCGTAAATATGACCACATTTTCCCTATTTTAGCCTCTCTTCACTGGCTTCCTGTGTGTTTAGGACTGATTTTAAAATTTTGTTATTACCTTATAAATCTTTAAACAGGCTTGCTTCTTTTTATCTCTCTGACCTTTTAAAACCCCGTATTTCATCTCAGATCCTCTGACCAGTGCCTTCTAACTGTCCCTCAGTCAAGACTGAAGTTCAGAGGTGACCGAACTTATTCCATTGCCGCGCCTAAGCTCTGGAATGTTTTTACTCTTCATGACAGTGTTTTACTCCTTTGCTTTTAACTCCTGAGAACTTGGCCTTTTAATCATGTTTTTATTGAATCATCTATGTCCCCCTGTTTTTAATGTGTTCCTGTGTCTTTGTGTTATTGTTCGTGTTAATTGTCTGTTTCTTAAAAAATTTTTTTTTATTTGTTCTGTTTTTAATTGTACAGCACTTTGGCGTTTTGTTGCTTTTAAATGTGCTTTATAAATAAACTTGAATTGGATTTATATTTTATTACATATGCTTTCTGATTAATTCATCGTTTAACATCTGTTGATCAACTAACTGCTCCTGATGCTTTAGATTTGACCTGCATACAAACAACTTTCTGACAGCTGGTACCTGCGCTTGTGTGTAGCCCAGCATCGGTTCGAGCATGGCTACCCTCTTGCGATACTGCAGGGCGTTGAGAGCACAGTAATACTGCAGCGAGGCCTGGTGCTGCTTCCTCCTAGTGTAGGCCACCTCCTTCACCAGGTCTGACTTCATCTGTCCAGATAGGTAAGGGTTAAACATGCAAATATGTACATTTACACACTGGCTTTAAAGCTCTGTGCACACATTTAGAAATATGCAAAAACTTCGCCTTCTTTTTTGCACACATTCAAATGAGCAACTCAGGTGCATTAACTTGCATGCCCAGGAAGGCAATGTGACACAGTCAATAGAAGCAAAAGCAGTGGAATCTTATCTTTGCAGCCATTATAGTGAATTGTGTTGTTATAGTCTCATAACAACAGCTCGGAGAATATCAAATTGCACATATCTGAAACACTCCTACTGCATTACCAGAGCATTACAACCCTGCAAAGCCTTTTACAGCCTGTGATCAATGGTGATAAAAGCTCCACAGACAGGGAGCACTTCACAGTCACCTCACCTTCTCATTCTCCTTCTTCTTGGGCAATCGGCTGTATTTGACCATAGCTGCCTCATGCTCTGCAGGAAAGAAAGAAGAGAAGGGTAAATAAGCGCTGGATCAAAACTGTAGGTCGTAACTGTGCTGGGAAATAGGTTTGTATTTACACTTACCATCAGTGGCGATGGTGAATATTTCCTTCAGCGTGCTTATCTCTGAAACATTTTACATAAAGTATGTTTTTTAAAAAAAGAAAAACACACATCTTCATGCAGTATTGCTGCACGTTAATTGACAAAATGCTTGCACAAATTAAACCCTCATCCTGAAGTAACTGCTGCATGTGAGGTGTGGCATTGTTTTGACTTCAGTACTCTAATTACCATGACTGAGAATGGATCCATTAAGTGTAATAGATGAATAATTATGTTACAATGAGCGCTTAGGTGCTGACAATGAACAACAACAGGCAGAGTCTGGAGAACTAAAGCTGAAGACCTTTGTTGAGTGTCATTACTCATCACCTAATTGTCTCTTTTCTGTAAACTTGGCATAAAATACCTGACATAACTATAAACTGAAAATGAATAATGATCCTTTCTGTACTCGTCCATGCGGACTCACCTGTGAGGTCTTTCTCTCGGAACTGAATCAAAGGAAAGACCATGCTGTCAGCCATCTGGTTGGCCAGATCGGAGTGAAGCGCATTCAGCTGGATGACACAAAACAGATAATACAATAATATCAACTACCGCTGAGTGAGGACACAAACAGAGAATGACCTCTCGCCAAACAGCTCGGGGGGTTTTGGTTTATCTTAATAGTAGTGAGATTTTCTGCCCGTTATTGCTCCCGCTGCAATCAGCAAAGTAAGATTTTCAGGAAAATGGGGACATTTTGTTGCGAGACAGTCCATTAGGTGAAGAGAAGGTACAACTTTCTATTAACTGCACAAGGCAATGCAATGCACACACGAGCAAATCCTGCTCTTCTTCTCTCTGCTTATCAGGAAGTTGACAAGCCAACATCCAGTTTAATCTAAATGATTTAGCAAGTGCTAAAGTTCACCGGATTAGGTGCAGGAGTAGGTCGCATTCTAACTGTGAAATGAGTTTTCTGTTAATCAGGAGGTAAAGGTCAGGCAAACAATCAACCTGTTTCCTCTAAACAGATTTGTTTGCGTGTCCTCAATCCTGTAAATGCTGATTGGGCAGGTTTGTGGACCCCCCGTGGCTGACAGTGAAAGGCCCATCTGTTTTGTCGTTATACCTGGCTCTACACACCCCTCCTTCCTCTCCTTCTGCCAGTCAGCTATCAATCACCACATCCACCTCGCTGTTCGCTTCATGGAGTCATTTAGGAATCATTTCTAGTCTTACAGGGAGGATAATTCTCAGTTTTTTTTTTAGTTAAGGTCATTTACACAGTTTGTAAGGGGAGCAGAGATGCAATTTCCTTCATAACATGAAAAAGAAACAACTGGTTTATGACACCCTCGACTCCGCTGTGAGTCTACACACACATAAACACACACATACGCAACAGCAAATGTGCAAACACAGGCCTCGCCTCACCTCCCCTACGGTTTTGGCAAAGTTCTGCAGCGTGGTGATAACCTCTTCATCACCTTTTCCAAGGGCAAAATTCTGGAGAGAGTGAAGAGAGAAGGCAGACAGTTTCAGCCATTAGACTGCATAATGTTCTCACAGAACTTTCTAGCCTCACTGGGGGATTCATGGATTTCTGGTGTATGTCTTTCATGGAACAAAGCCAGAGTTGTTAATACGTCCCGTGCTAAGTCGCTGAGTGTTTAGCCTTGTTAAAAGGCGCTCAGAAGTGCAGCCAACACAGACCAGTGCAGACTTTGTTTTCTATCCTCTATCCACTGTGAAGTCAGGGATGGATTCCAAAAGAGTGAACTCATCCACTTGCTCTGTGTTCATTATTCAAATTAGTACGGCTTTACCAACCTGTATTATTTTATAACTGCCAAGGTTATTTCAAGAGATTTCATGAACACAATCACGCTACTTTGAGGTGCGGTAGACAAATACAACTCAAACAGAGGAACAAAGTACAGATGAAAAAGATAAAAACCTAGAGGTGTGTCAAAAAGCAATGCTGCAAGTGCTTGCAGAAATAAGTAACATGTGCAAAACAATGATCAAACTGTGGAAAATCTTAGTTTGAATTACATCTGTGCCCTAATGCAAGCGCCGACTTTAAAACAGGAGTGCCAAATAGACAACTGAAAATGTTTGTAGCAATGTAACGCCTCTAACTCATCCTGGCTTGTTTTTGTGGAATATGTTACCTCAAAATCTATTTCACAGAAACATTAGCAGAGGTGGGAATTTCTTAAAATACAAACGTCCCCCAATGCTTGATAAATTATGGCCTCCCAAAAAATATTTGACCGCCCCTTGAAAAATACTAAGAATGATTTGTACGACCTACTAGATTTGAGGTCTTCGACAACAGCAAAATGATATCATGACATTATTTGATCCTCCCACCCTGAGTTGCAGCTTTCTGAAAGTGCATGCTTGATAAGAGTGCGCTGTCACTCATACTCACCTTCTTCTCATATTCCAGAAGTTGTTGTGAGAGCTGCTCTGTGGCCAGTCCCATCTCACTCTGTAGAAAGCAGACAGAGGAGGAAACAAAGTTAACAATGACTGTAGCTCATCAATAAATCAATTCAGCCTCCTGCAGAACTCAAAAGAGAGTGAATGGGAAAAAAATGTAAATCTGAGTTTTAATTTGATATCATTTGAAAAAGCGCACTGTGAAATAAATGCCAACTCAAGCTGTGAATTATCTGTCCAAAAAACATCAAACAAAATGTTGCACAAATCATGCTTGATCTTTTCTAACTAGAGCATTTGTTCAGCGGGGTATATCTGCTAGACAGTTAAAGGTATCTACACCCTGACTGCACAAAATTACAGTAATTGGTGCACATCACTTTACAGAGCAAGTCAAGAGTAGCCAAAAATAGTCGCAGTGTGATGCCACTCAAACCTGGTTAGAGAGATATTGTAGCTGTTTGTGCAAAAACCTGGTTTGTATACATCTACGCCATAGTCTACATATGTATGTCCATTTGTGTTTGTTTGTTTACCTGTGCTCCGTACACCCGCTGCATCGCTTGAAGCAGCTTGTTAGTGTAGTCTGTAAGATTCGCCGCATCTTCCTCAAACACACTGAGCAAGGAGCGAGTCTGTGAAGCAAACAGTCACACATTTTCACAAATATGTCAGTGATGGAACCAGATGAGGACACACAGTTTGAGGACTGAGAACTTCGATCACACTGTATGTCTGCTCATGAAGAACGGGAACTCCTAACTTGAAAAGGGGGCTAAAGCTCATATTAGCACTAAAGAGAATCATCACAGTAAACAATGTTTGAAACAGAGCAAGAAAGGAAATGTGGACAGCTAACTTTTAATACAAACTAGACGGATACAATCATTAACCGTTTCTTCAAGTATTGGATATCTGTTTTACTAGTTCAAATATGTGGATTTGCATCTTCTTCTTCTTCTTTATTTATTTAAGCAAATGTGATATCTTTGAAATTTGTGATAATTGGTTAGTAAAACACAACGATGTGAGAATTTCTTCTTCCTCTCTGGGAAAATATGATGCGCAGGTTTACCTTTTTTGACAATTTTGCAAGTACACTGCCAGCAAAATTATTAAAATAAAACCAAATTACGTGGCAGCCCTGATCGTAAGCAGAGCAGTCACTAATAATTGGGTATTGGGTTGATAATTGAAATGTCCATAAGGATAAAAAAAGAAGATTGTTGAATAGTCATATCTTATATAGCACATATCTTTAACCTTTTTCTTAACTCTAAGTTGCTTCATACTTTAATTTCTCTTTGCATGACTGTATGCTGCTGCTCATTTGGAATTTCCCCCTGTGGGACTATTAAAGGAACATCTTAGCTTATCTTATCCTTTTGCTATTGTTCTGGGCAAAATATCAAACATTACACCCATATTGTCACCACAATGAAAAAAAAAAGTTTGGTGGGGATCTGTAACCCTTATATGACATGCATAGCCAAGGAGTGGATAAAAGACATAGGATATAGGGAAACGGAAATTAGGCTTAATGCATTATGCGGAGGACTACTGAGGAGTTGCTTTCGTACTAAAGTAAACACAGTCTGATTTTCCTGTAGGCTTCTTATGCAAACTTGGAATATCCTGTTTGAGCGTAGTTTTTTCTTTCTTGCATAAACAGGTGCAGCAAGGCAAGGCATACACAGCAAAGAGGAACACACCCAGCAGTGAAAGTGTGTTTAGAGTTCACTGTAGTTGACTCACACTGAAAGATCTGAGGTGATTTTACTCTATAACCGTTTGGAATATTTTCAGCCTGGCAAACTTTCCATTTTACTGTTAAAAAAGCCCATCTATATGTATTTTTAAAGGAGAAACTGCATCATAAAAGGGTAAATAGCCCTGCAGCATGGGTTGCACTTAAGCATAACCATTAAGGAGGTCAGTCCTGTTTGATGAAAGAATGATGCAACAGACAACAAAACCTACTGGCTGCTCTTCATTTGCATTGCATCAAAGATGGTTCTGATTCACTTTGCTATAGCAGTGTCCCTGTATGAATCCTAGGACTTGGTAGACAGCTGTCACACTGTATTTCAGACGTATAAACATCAAGCATTAATTGGTATTAACTGCTGCAGCTATCATTGCTGCCCTGTTGCAGGCTATTGACTTATTCCAGTGGAGTCCAATAATGGAAACCCCTCCCACATCCTGTCTATCAGGCCCAGTTCGGCCCCAGCACAGACTCTGAAGGCAGAATTTATCCTCATACGATGCTGGAAAATAATATTGAAGGACAGTGATGGTTATTTTGCTATGGTCGTGTCATCGTGTTAGGCGGTGGGAGTCTGGATGAATACAAAAAGATATTAACTCTAACAGGGAGAGGAGAACTGTGATGAGAGGTAGCGTTGTAAATACAATACATACACCCAGAAAACGATATTTACGACTAGCTGTAATGACTATAACTCTGTTTACATCGGAAAGGCGCCGCCACTCCTTACGCAGGATTATGTTACCATAACAAAGTGTCAATTGAGAGCTGTCATCGACCAGCCTACAGCGATAACAAGCCTCTGTCTGGGCTAGCGAGCTCACTTCTGCTCTCATATCGTCCTCTATGTGACATTTATCTCTTTAGACTAACAAAGGCCTACCTGAGGACTGTCCTGTAAGGCGTCCTCCAGCAGCAGTTTGTGATGTACGGCCGGCATCTTGTTAGCGTTGGAGGAAAAGGAACGGCTTGAATTATTCAGTACGCGGACTCAATTTCCCAGATGCCTGTGCGCGGGTGAAAGAAACACGTAGGAGTAGGAGGCGGGGCTTAAGGCTGAGCTCGTCAACAGCCCTCAAAAACGGTGAAAAAAAAAATAGCTCCCCTTGAAAACAAATATACTTGCTGATCCAGATATTTTCACAAGATTTAATATATTTTTAACATATTTTAAAATAGGTTTAATAATAGGTATCATATTTCCAAAAATTAAACAGCAATTTCGGCTAAGTTTCATCATTTAACCATCAACAGTGACCCCGTGTGTACATTTGTAGGGTTGCAGGGATAAATATTAGATCAAATATGTCTTGCAAAATGTCAACAAATACTGTTATATACAACGACATTAAAAACATACAGCTAGAGTTAACTATTAGGCCTGCTGAGTGTAATCACATTAAATTAATTTAACATAGTCCATAATTACTTATATCCTAATCCTGTAAACTGAATTCATATTGTTTCATCATTACATGAGCTGTTGGTATTTTAATATTGCTGCTGTCCCCTGTCTCTCTCTCTCTCTCTCTCACCCTCGTTATCTACTCTCTCTCCCTCTCCCTTACTCATCCTCTCTCATTCCTTCTCCCTTGTTCTCTTTCTCTCCCCCTGCCCTCTCTCTCTTTCTCCCTTTATCTCTCTGTATTCCTCCCCAACCCAGCAGCGGCCTGGTGGCTAACACGAGTCTGGTCCTGCTCAAGGTTTCTGCCTCTTAAAGACAGTTTTTCCTTGCCACTGTCACTCATGTTAGATGAGATGGGCCAAAACCCATCTTAGATAGGGTCTTGATAATTCATCAAACAATGAGTGTGGTCTGGGCCTGCTCTTTTTCTTTGGAAAATTTTGATTGATTGATTGAATTTGATTGATTATAACAAGAGTTATTATGATGTCATAGCCACTACCTGAAAATGGTCATCTTGAGAGAATAGTCACCTTGTCTCATCTCTGTAATAATTTCCTTATTGCAGGAACCTTATATTATGAGCTTCTCAATCAGAATACTGTCAGAGCCACAGACTATCTTACTGACTTCACACTGCGCTCATCTGAAGAAAAACAACAACACACATCACTTCCTTGACTGATTCCATCCTGCATGCTTACGTGGACTGTCAGATGTTGTTGAGCTCTCTAAATGTCAGCTACTGACTGCCAGTGTCCTTTAATGTCATGCTTTCTCTGACACTTTGATTTAATCTGATTTAGCTTGCACCCATGACAACACTATCAAATTACACAGTGTTACTTCTAAAAGTGGTCCAACATCACTTACCTATCACAAAAGTTATGTGCACAATATCAAGAACTCCAGTGTGGGAATTGTTTTAAAAAACCACAGTCTACCACTGCCTAACTTGATTATTCCTCTCACATGTAGTTACAGCCAGACAAGCTTACTTATCACAATGTTACCTCTATTATTTTATGTCAACTGGTGTATTCTGACAAAAAGAAGAGATCAAATGACTATCAAAATGATTTGAATCCTGAAATGAAAATAAGTCTTATTCTAAGTTTAAAATAACGATAAGCATCTATAAAATGACCTCAATCATACACCTAGTTAGTGTAGATTGAGGCTCCTCTATTATCTTGGGACAGTTTCACTCAAAAGCAGATTTAACCACAGTATGTGACCCTGAAACTGTTATCTTACATGATCCAAGATGATTCATAGTCTCATTAACTTTTAAGATGGTCTTGTCTTGTTGTGTTTTGTTGTGTCCTGATAATTTAGGCCTGCAGTGACAAGTTGTGCCTCCTGATCGAGCTCCTGGGTAGCCTGAGCAGGAGTTCACTGCTTCCCTCCCTGTGGACCCATGTTGTTTAATTGGTAAAGTTGAGGCTCTAAATTAGATAAGGCCTTTCAGGACTGACTTGGATAATTAATTGTGTTTGCTGGCTTGGCGAGGTCTGGCCTATAAAAAAAAAGACGCTTAATGTCAGTGGAACCAACCTCGATTAAACAAAGCAGTGATTCAGCGGACCAAGGAAATAAACTCTCTGGAGAAAGTGGTGAAACATGCAAGAGTGCAGAAGTTTGTGACTAGGTCAGTACATTACAGCCCACGACGACCATAATGTTACTCTGCCTAATGCAAAAAGCAGCAAGCAAGCCAGCTCACTTCTAACAAGTGACGTTGTGCTTTTAGTTACAGACTATGACAGCAAGTGCCAAGTGTTTTAAGTGCTTAAGATATTTTATTATGTTGCAAACTAAATTACATGATCAGTTTAAAGGATCTTAAAGGTTCTTTTAGTTGTGCAGTATCAGTACACAGGAAGGACATGAATAGGTTAATTTAATTTCTATCCATTTTCACAAAAAGAAAGAAAAGTGGTGCTTCAAAGAAGGTCACTTAACCGAGAGACTCATTTTTCTGGGCTTTTAACTCTCCATGCAGAACATGAGGAGTTTTTCAGAACGAAGGTCAAAAGTCCAAACCAAAGGGATGAGCATATTTAACTCATGCTGCTCTGCAGAAAAATCTGCGATTCTCTGGTGAGTACTCACTTTCATAGTGAACAATTCCTCAATTTTCATTATCAGGTCGCTGTTCATGTGAGTAGTCTCAAACAGAATCAAATAGACCAAAAGAAAGGATAAAAAAAAAAAAAAACTCTAAAAATTGCTGTTTGTGTTTAACAGGGCTAAATTGAAAATACAGAGGCCATATGTCTTCCTCAAGTGGTCTAAATTTGTAAAAATGATTTGTCATTTAAAGACATCAGCGAAAAACAGGATAAATGACCGCAGCTGTGCTGATGATCAAATCTATTGACTCTACATTAAATTCAGAATTGCACTGAAAAAAAACAGCCCTATTTGTGCTTTAGGGCTATCAGCTTTCTGCATTGTTTCCTTTAACTCAACTCATCTGTATATGTACAAACCTGCCATCCAAAGTGCTTCACAAAGTAACAGGCAGGCAGTAACAGGAAAAATAAATCAGTTTTAGAAGACCAAGGAAGCCGCTGCAGAGCTTTTAGAAGAGAAGAAACTTGATCTGACCCTAACAGCAGCATTTTAATTGAGCTGTAGTTTTCTCAGAGATTTTTTGGGTGATGAAAGCACAAGTTAAAGTTTAAAATTTCTGAAAACGTTCAGACTTTAGCAATGTTTCTAAGATGATATGAGGAGGTGCTTATTACCTTGTTAAAGTGAGCATTAAAATTTAAATCTTAATATAAATCCTACTACCAAATCTTTAACAATGGCTTACACTTGATTATTAAGACCTCCTAGCATGGTTTGTAGTTCTTCTCAGGTTGCTTTAGTTACTAATAAGATAATTCCAGCATGTCTTACATTTATATCAAACAGACAGTGTCTCTCCAGCGAGAGCAAGCATTTGTTTAGCTCAGCTGGTAGAGCAGTCGCCCCATGAACAGTGTAGAGACCACAGGATTTAATCCCTCGTCCTGGAGTGATTTTCAGCATGTCACTTTCCTCTCCGCATTTCCTCAAACAGTTCTGTCAAAATAAAGGCAGCACAAAAAACAATAACAGCAGGTACTGTGGAGAAACTCTGTTTTCAGTCCAGTTAAAGGAACCAGACCCTGTTTGGAGTTGGAGTACCTTGAGGAAACACAAGCAAACACATCAAGCCCCTGAAGTGTTGGGCTGTTTAGTCAGTTACTTGTAGAAGCAACTACTTACCTTGTAAGTACAAATAATGATCCTTCAACTGCCCCCAGTCCCTGAACCCCTCGGCTGTTTTCTGGTGAGGATTCAGCCTCTGGGAGCAGAAGTAAGGTTTGCAGGGTTTCTGGTGCTGCCTGATGTAAAAAAAATCCTCTTCCTTTATCTGGTCGTGTTTACAACCTGAACTACAGATAGTGACAGAAAATGTAGCAGGAGTGTAGGAACAGCCCCTTTAGGTGGTGTACATATACTCAGATTTATGTTTAAAGAGGTTGATAGAGAGCTTAGCAGTTGTCTGACAATTGAGGCTGTGCTAGCAGGCAAGTAAGAAGACTTTGGAAAACAGAACTTTCTTCCATGATGGATTAAATGGTGTCTGAACACTTAAATATATAAACAATCCATTATTTTGATACAAAAGATAGTAATAATCTATCCCCCTCCTCATGTTGATAGTTTAAAATATTTTTTAGACAGTGCATTATATAATTTACCGTTACGCAGCATCTTTTAATCTCGTCTATATATACTGGTGTCCATGGAAGCCAGTTAACTATGAAACACAAAGGAGAGGAAACTCATTTTCTGCCAGAGCAGTTAGTCTCTGAAAAATTCTCATCTTCACTCACTGCCAGACAGACTTCCTATTATGAGACAACACAAACTACTGAAAGTGAGAATTATTTTTGCTCGTAGAGAGTGCTAATGTAATGCATCTTTCTGTGTAAACTGAACTCATATCACTGCACTTATCCTGTCAGAAAACAGCATGACAGATGAATAAAAGGACGAATGTTTGTCACATTTTATTTTTACCTAGTTTGACCTCGTTTTTTTGAAAATGACTTTCTGTCGTTGAATGCATAAACAAGTTTAATGTGTATCTGATTTCTAGAGAACACGTGAATAAAGGTCCTCTTTGTTTCTGCACACAGACACTATTAGTGGAATTTAAACAATTTGACACACACATAGGCTGATATATTGAAGCATCTCAAATGCATTTATTTTTTCCCACCTTTCTGTACAAAGGAGACTCCCCATTGGTCGAGTCTCACCCCACCCTCCGCCTCCTTCCCCCTGGTTTCCCGGGCAACCATGTCAGGGTGGAGGAAAAGAGCAAATCATGTGAGGGTATAGCATCCTCCTCTCTCTCTATCTCATTATCTCCCCTGTTGTGTGTGTGTGTTTGTGTGTGTGTGTGTTTGTGTGCGTATAAAAGCCTCTCTCTCTCCATGCTTTCACTTCACTCCTGTAGCTCTCCATTGCAGTGCACAGAGGGGCAAGACTGAGGAGTAGAGAGGGGAAGGGGGGACACGACTTGAGGAAACCCCTGTGTTACAGTGGGAGACATTTGTTTGACCTTCCCTCTTTTCTCCCCCCTCTCTCTCTCTCTTTTTCTCCCTTTCTCACTCGTCTGCACATGTGTTTCGGGTCTCCCTCTTTCCCCCCCACTGCTTCTTCCTCTCCTTAGACGTCTCTTTTCTGCTTGGACGGTGGCTGCATCGATGCAAAATGGGTTGTGGCAATTCCTCAGCCACCAGCACCTCAGGAGGGGGTGAGTGATTTCACAAAAAAAAAAAAAAAAAAATTGTGTGTGAATCTATGTTTGCTGATGTGTGTGTGTGAGTGTATGTGTGGGTGTGAAAACAGGCAAGTGAGAGAGAGAGTTGTCAGTGTATCTGCAACAACAAGAGAAGGTGTTTTGAATGTAAATGAAGTGTGGCATGATTACCCTTTGCATTATGAGTGTGTCCCCTGATGTGTCTGTGTGTTTGTGGATCACCAGTGTGTGTGTGTATGTGATGCTTTTGATGTCAGTATTTCATTCATCAGTTAATCATCATGTGTAAAAAAGCCTCTCAGTGTCTCGAAATGTCTGTAAAATTGCTCTTTCTCTCTTTCTTTAATGTTTATCAGTTTGCGACACGGAGGCTCCCCCTCTAGTGTGTGTATGTGTGTGCGTGCGTGGGTTTCGTGGTCTCCTTTGCGTGCTGTGAGGGTCTCCCGTGTTCTGGTAAAAGAACACCCCTTGAAAATTGGCATCATGGTAGTGTAATTACAGTTTTGTGAAAGCAGATAGGTCACTTGAGGGTTTTTAGAGTATGCGCTCTTTCTTTTGTGTGTTTTGTGTCTCTGGTTTTCATGGATTTTTTGGGGGTGAAAAGCAAGCACTCTCAGCAGCAATAAACCGTCTTTTGTCTCCCCTCGTGACTGATGCTGGCTGTGCAGCTTTGAAATTACTCCCATCAATGGTCAGGTTTCATTCATAAAGCCTGGAGGACACATCTGATAATACTGCACACTTGTTGTTTTGCTGATGCTTGTCCAGATTTCTTGCCTCATTGTGGCTGTCCTCAGATAACGCGTCTCCCTGTTGATCTGTTGATTCAGGCTGCTACCTGTTAGACATTATTCCAAGCGAACCTTTCAGCACCAGTCAAATGAATGTAATAATTAGATTAAAGTATGTGCAGGAATAGCTCAGCACACTGCCCATTAAAGGAGTGTGGTGTGTGTTTGTGTAAATGAGTGTTTGTGGTCAGGTATATAATCAGTGCTTTCCAGGCATGTTATTAGAGCCACACACGGCCATATAGGGAAATGAAACACAGTGCTGTCTTTTGCTTCAAATTTGATCTACTTAAAGGCCAAACAACATCTCATGGGGTGCCTAGTTTTTGTTGTTGTGGCTTGTTTGTCCACCAAGGACAGACCAGCAGCTGTGATCATTTCTGCGCAGTGAATTTTATCCATTTTTCTCCCCCATTTTTAGAGGTCACAATGTCAAAGACGAGCTGTCACTTTGACAAATGTGCGGCAGTGGTTGGACTTATTTGTGCCAGCTGACACCAGGCCAGAGTCAATAGGACACTCTTTTTAATCTTCTTGGATCTGTTGAGTTCAGGTAGAAGCATCCGCCCATACTGTGTAGCCTGTTAATTCAATAAGTGTTTGTTTGGTGGGAGTATCTTTACCCTGCTAGTTTGGCATTTCCGACAGTGGAAGGTAAATTAATGCCTCTGAAACTCTAAGTGGAGTATATCTCACTAGATTATTGCATGAGACGATATGTATAAAGACAGACAATACAGTTTCTCCAGCTATATCAGCCATGCAAAAGTAATGGCAAAACAACCTTGAAATACCAGGTTTTGAGTGCTTCCATCTTATATGTATTTGTAGTCAGTCTGTCCACTTGCGGTTGACTCTCAGAGCTGCAGTTTTGATGCTCTCCACTAACCAAACCATCGGATTTACTGTTAAATCAGCCAAGATACCTCTAGTCGACACAGTTTACTCAGAAAAATCTTCAGACACTGGTTTGAATCAGACACTCATGATCATTGAAGGTTTGTCAATGTTTTTTCTTGACATTTGCCCTCTACTCTACCAGTGCAGCGCACACAGCCCTGCAGGAGCTGCCTTCATCCACAGAGCTGTCAATCATGGTGTATACACCATTTTTAGCCTTAAAGGTGTGGTGTGCGCAGAAAGGGGAATATAAAGCCGTATCTAGAACTGACATCAGTCAAGTGACAGTGTCAATTCAATTAAGCATGTTAAGTATGTTTCTTACCTTAAAAACGTTATTCAAAATAATTATTTTGTGCTTAACAACCACCACTCTATACTTCATCATTTTCAAACATGTTATTTTTCACGGCCACTCGCTGTAAGTAACTAGTGACACACATGTCTGGATTGTCAGTCCTGTGCTACAGCAGAAACATGTTGAAATGATGCTGGCCTTGGTGGAGGAGGACCCTTTTCTATGAAAAGAATGAAAAGCTCATACTCATTTAACAAAAACTGTCTGCTTTTTATATTCAGGTAATTTTACACTGATTTTACAGACTTTTGAGTATTTAATTACATTTCTACCAAGTCTGTACTGATAATTGTTGCTCAGTTATACAGACAGTACTTTTAAAGCTTCTGTAAGGAACTTTTCGTTTCTGTTGATTTTGGAGTCCCACAAGCAAAAAAGACAAAAAAATCTTCGCTTATCTTGTCCTCTACATGCTTGAATATAGTCTGTTTACAAAAAAATCTTAAACTGCTGACCTTTGACAGTCGAATGTATCATTCACTGTGAATATTGTGTGTGGATAAAGTAAAAACAGAACTGTTTCTGTAGCTGCTCAGCTGACACCTACCCCCGCACACCGGTTTCAAGCATTAATTATTACAATATAAAAATGATCAGTCTTGTTGTTGATGGTCTCATTTGCTTGTTATATCCTGAAAAGGCATTCATTTGAATTTCAGATGTTTCATAAACATCAACATACTCCTCAAAGGAGCTTTAAATAACAAATTAAACTGTACTTCTCTGGAAAATAAATATAAGTCGAAAACGAGTTTGTCATGAGTTAAAGATAATGACAGAAATATATCGGAGAAACATTTCTATGACATGAATTTTGATTATGCAGTTTGACCTACATCCTACAAGGGCAGGCATGTGATTTGCATCGCATTCAGACTGTCCATCTTTGATACAGTCCTTGTTCTCACTTCACAAAACAACAAAACATGTATTCACCGCTACATATGACCATAATGTAGTCTGTTATAACCGTTTAAATATACTGAACACATACACTACATAAAGAAGTAAGAGAAATCTGTTATTCAACCTTGCACATAAAGATATATTCATACAGTTATTCAAGAGGCCTGAAAACCATGATATAGAGGAGAAATGTTCAGTTTCAAGCTGTGGTGACCGTCTCGCTACACTCCACATCACATTGCTCGTCCTCAGTCTTATTCACCCAGATGTGCACTCTTGGACATAAACGAGCTTTTGTCAGGCTGCTGAATAGGCCTCTGTATCATGTCAGTTGACTCAAACTGCTTCTGTGAAAGAAAACCCAGCATTCCTCTTACAAGAATGAAATTCTGTGAAATGCAGATTCTCCAGTTTTATAGTATTGCATGTTATTTCTGTTGCATCATTTTAAGCCACATTTGTACTCTGATACTACAAACTACGACATGAAAAAAACAAAACAAAAACAAAGAGCAGAATTGAGGATTTTGTTCCTCCTGTTGTTGAGACTACGGTACTTAACATTTAAGTAGAAACTTAGATTATCCTGTTTGTGTTATGATCTCATTTTGCATCAAATCAAGCTCAGATAGACCGCCTGTGGCTCAGTGAAGAATTAGGTGTTGTAACACTATCAAAGAAAAGGACAAACACAACGGGTGTTATTAGACACATTTTTGCACTTTGTTTCAGTTCACATCATGTCCCCTTGTTAGCCTTCAGAGCAAAAACTATAAAAGACAACTGTTAAGAGTGTAGAGCCACATCAAGGATATGTTGCAAACTAGATCACTTTAAAATATTCACTGAAATTTCAATCTTGTATCTGATTTAGGGCTGTTCTGATACAATATTGATATTGTAGGTCCAATATCAGTCAAAAAACAAATATCGGATTATATGGGCCTGCACCTAAAATCTCCGATATCAGCACTCTGATACAAGCAGTCCATTCCAGACTCCACTCCGACACCTCTATCTAGCAGCACCTGGACCCAGCATGCAGAGGCCACATGATCACAACAACAGTGTGCACTAAGGTACTAACAAAGTAGCAAGGATTAGGAGTGATGTCAGCTGTGTGGCAGTATTTTTTATTGAAGTACGGAAAAGACGTTGCAGCTGAGCGCAAAACTTGTCATGCACAAGTTTGTGCCAATATCGGATCAATATCGGTATCGGACAATGCTGAAGGCTACAATATTGGTATCGTATCGGAATTAAAAAAGTTGTATCAGGACACCCCTTGAGGTGTGACTTGACTTGAGGTCAGAATCAGGAAAGTTCTGATAAATTAGCAAACATCTCAGGAGGAGAAAGCAGCTCCTCGAGAGGTTTACTGCTGTGTCTCTGGATTGTCATTGGAAATCCAAGGCAATTTCTGTGAAGTGAGGGATGAGGTGGAAGTTGAAAAAGAGGCCAGAGCATTTTTCCTGTTATCTTGGTGTTAAGATGTTCAGTCTCAGGATGTCGGGAGGGAGACTCCATCTGAGTGTCAGACACGATAAAGAAACTCATGCAGACTTATAACTGGAAGATTCATGGGAGTTTGTGCAAACAGTCTGTGTCTGTTAATAGATTTTGTTAAAGTCTAGACTTTGCCCCCTGGGTCATCCTTGTAGGCACCTTAAGATTATTAAGTACTTAGATGTCATGAGTCATTGAGTCTTTGCATGGCAAAATGTTCCCTGTCAACATATTCATTTGCAGTTTTAATGTACGGGATCTGAAAGCTCAGATCTAAGAGACAAAAGGATTTCCAGTCTGTGAACCTTTGCTCTTTTGCACATGATGTTATTCTGTCAAGCTATGATTTCCATAAGGCATCAAATCGATTTAAAGCTGCATGTGAGGTGATTGCAGTGAGAATCCATAACTCTGAGCTGATGTTACACAAAAAAATCAAACTAACAAAGGCCTCGAGGAGAGGACTTTTCGTATCCCGGGGTCTTGTTCGCAAAAGGGGTAAGATGGTCGTGAAGACTGTCAGCAACACTGCAGGCATTTTTACGAGCGTACACTTTGGTTGGATCCACATTCAAACCCTCAACTATGGTCATAATCTTTGGACAGTGATAGAAAAAAAAAGATTGCACAGTCATGTAATCAAAACTAGTTTCCCTCTGCTGTTTTTAGGATACTGATTCAGGGGCCTTCTCTGGACTTAGCTTACTGAGAGGAGACAATTGGATCGAGCTTCAATGTGCTAAACGAATTCAACCTTGAAGTGGGAGAAACTCAGCACCATAGACTTGAGTTTGCACTGTCAAGTTAAGCAATCACAGAATATTGAGGATGGTGAATAAGACTTGCAGTGGTGGATTTTATGTCAGTTTAATGTGAACAAAAGAGAAAATATCTTGAGTTTTTTAGGTCTGTATTGATTCTTTTCACTATTTACCCTAGTTGTAACAAAGTGTAAGCTAAAGGGTGCCATGGGAAACATTTAGGGATAAATCTTGAATGCTTTTGTCAGATGAATTTGATCAGCTTTATTTCATCTGCATTTACATTCATTAAAAGACGACATAAAATTTTGGGGTGTCGTGTAGCTTGCAGCACAATTGTTTCAAAGCCCTTTAACTGAAGATGCCTTGTACTTAAAAAACTGAGACCTTTTTTATTTACTACTTGCTTTGTCAGGTACAATAAAAACACACAGTACAGTATTTAATGTAATTTCTGCCTAACAGAGTCTAAAGCAGACTCTACTGATGTGAAGCCTGGCGCGTTTCCTGTCCCGACTTCCCTGATTTCATGGAGGAGGTTCATGGAGCTTAAAAGACTGACCACATAAGCTCTCTCAATCACTCCCCAAGGGTCTAAACCTCCACTTTAGACCTTCTGATCTAATGAATGATGGCAGCCGCTTTTGTTAAATGATTGATTTCTGCAACATGTCTGTACACTAGAGGCATGTAGATGTTAGATAAGTCAGATAATAGATGGTTGGAGTAAGATTTTTCAGACAATGACTGTCCTTCTTAAGGCTGTCCCTGGCTGTTAAATTGTAGCCTTTGTGAGAAACTACTGCAAGGCTAACGAAAGAACATAGACTTGTTTCACCCTGAATTGTTGGTAAAGTAACAATCCACAATGATTGTTTAATTCTTCTTTTTTCATGTGCTTTCAGGGCCAGCAGAAGCCTCCAAAGAAGTGTAAGTACAATACTACTTTTCTTTTCTTTTCGTTCAATGTGCAAGAACTTCACCCTAAGTGACAATCAGGAGGCAGGTATGACAGGACGAGGGGAGGGCAGAGTGTAAGGCCCAATCCCAATCTGCCCCCCTAAACACTCACCCTTCACCACCCAATGTCACTCGTAATGAAGTGAGGGCGCTTCAATTGAAAGGGGAGGGCATAAATAAGACGGGCAGGTATGGGACATCCACTGGAAAACAGAAAGACTCATCGCCATAGCAACACAAAGACGTATCCTGTGCATAGCAACGTTTCTTTTCTTAGTAAAACGGTCAAAATGTACAGTTCTGAGCCCCACCAGGAGCTAAATTATACTTCTAACTGTAAGAAATTCCACACGCCTTTAAACGCCCTTACTATTTGACATGTACCTGCACAATCAAATCAAACGTCGGCACAGAGTAAGATTTCTGAGTTTCGTTAGCTCTCTCCAAATCACGTCTTTTGTGATTTGTTTGTCGGTGAGACAAAGGTGTGAGCAACATACTGGACATATGCAGAACTTATATTTGTATGTTGTTTCCTCCTCCTCCTCCTTTATTTTTGCCGATGCACTACCTGCAAATCCTGCTTTAAGTGAGTGTAGGTGCAGACTTAACTGAACAGTCCACTCGCACTCCGCACTTAATGCTTTGGGACGACCTTCAATGAGATGGCGCCTCAGCGTGTGGGGCGATTGCGATTGTGTAGGACCCAGCTGAAATAGAGACACAGGTTTGTAATTTCAAAATAAAACAGGAAGGACAAGACATGAAATGTGAATCTGTAAAAAATAAAGAAAACAGGGACTTTAAAATGGCAGAATTGGCGCTTCTTGATTCTTAATTCGACATATACTGCGATTTACTGTCTGATAGGTTTTTTTTAACTTGGCTAAAGAGAATCAGTTTTCAAATTAAAGCTACTGTGAGGAACTTTCCCTTTTGTCAAAACTTATCATATCCTCTACATGTTAAAGTGGTGTTTTTGAAACAAATATTTTTGGCAGGAATTGTAAACACAAGGATATTTCTTCTTCTGCTGCTGCTTGGCTCATACCTACCCCCCACTCCAGTCTCAGGTTACACTAAAATGTTGTCAATCTTGTTGCTGATAGTGTTGTTTACATTTTTATACCAATTTTATGACCTTCAGTCTATTTCAAAAGTGTCAAAGATCTCCTCGTAAACAAATCAATAGATATTTGACCTTTAAATGTGATCCCCGGTGAGCTTCCTTAGAACAATGTTCAGGTAAAAATGTTCATCTATTTAACCCGTGTCAGCAGACAGGTTGCCCTTTGCCATCAAAAGCAAACATCTACCAAAGCTTTGGCAGGATCCGCATTTCCTGGAATCAGTGCGAGCGTATGTGTTTGTGTGTGTTTATTACTGCACACATATGTCTGTTTTCCAGTTGATAACCATCTGAGCAGCCAGCTCAGGACCCATGAGAGCTGACAGCAGCACAGTACTGATTCACGGAGGGTAATCACAGCTTCCTTTGACTGTACTGCACAGCAAAATACAAACAGAGAGAGAGAGAGAGAGAGAGAGAGAGAGAGAGAGAGAGAGAGAGAGAGAGAGAGAGAGAGAGAGAGAGACAGAGACAAAGAGAGAGAAAAAGAGAGAGAGAGATTACTAGTTGTGAAACATAAAATTAAGGGAGTAACTCAATAACACGCGCCAAAAGAGAAACTGTAAATTAGATGAGGCAGCCTTTGGTCAGCGCCCAATAAGCCAACAAACAACAACAGGAGAAAAAGCGGTGAGGTCAATGGAAACGGGTAGTTGAGTCACTTGGTTTCAGACCTGACGCATACACAGGCAGGTCAGATAGATGATTAGCTGTTCATTACTCCGGAAACAGAAACAGCAATGTTCCCTGTGAGGCTATTGCTGCATATCTACCTGATTGCTCTTCCAAAGTCTGAGTTTCCTGTGTCTCATCTCTTTTAGTATGTTTTGTTTGTTTGAGTTTTTGATGTCCTCTGTGCTTCTAACAGCTGACCTGACCTGTGCTTCTTCTCTCAATCAGGACAGACGATCCCTCAGCAGAGGATGAGAAAAGAAGGTAGTTTGATTTTTTTTCTGATGCTGTCCAGATTGAGGGGGTGAATCCACAGTTAATTTCTGTCATTTTCTTAAAATTCATTTGAATGTTTTTATTCATTCATGAGAGAAAGTCTCACATGCCACACCAGGGAAAGCCTTTGCATCACTAATGAAGTTATGTGTCATGCCATGACAAGATGGTGTTACATCTCTGACTCAGAGGGAAGCGTCGTGGAGGAGTCAGACAGCCATCAATCAATCAGCAAAACAGTTTATGACAAAAATGATGTTCACAAAAAAATGACAAGGACAGAGAAGCCATTACTGTCTTTGGTTTTTATATGAAGAGATAATTCACAAAAACCATTACTTCCAATATTTTGAAATATTCATACTTATTATGTTTATGTCATTGCTTGTGGCAGTAATATTTAAACCAGAGTATCTGCATATTAACCTCATTTCAACTTAAAAAAACACTATAAAATTCATAAAGCCTTTAAAGAGATTAATCAGGGGAGAGCTTTCCATCAATCAAATGTGAAACAGCTGAACACACAGCTGACTGGGCCCAGGGATGTTATCTTTTAACCACTTTTAGAGAACTCTAACAGCTAATACATCTGTGAAGGAGAGAAACTTTATTCCATGAGAACCACCACAATATCAACAACTCAACAACAACTTTCTTCTTTTTATCTTTTGTAACCTACTCACTAAATTGTTCTCCTCTCCACTCAGGAATTATGGTGGGGTATATGTAGGTCTACCTACAGACCTGACCACTGTGGCTGCAAGCCAGTCCAAGTCCACACGAAAAGGTAAACACACAAATAACCACAGTACTGCACAGACACCCTACATTCTGGAAGATGATAATATTGTAGAGAAGCAGCTGAGGGCTAAGAGAGGAATAATCCCTTGTGGCTGAGCCACTGCAACATGGAGCCTCACGGCTGCCTGCAGCTCTGTTGGATTATTTTGACCTTTTTTTTGACTGAATCTCAATGAGAATCTTCCACTGCACTGTTACAGTTTGGCTGCTTACAACTCTGATGAGAAATATGGTTCACAGCCTTTAATATATACGTATAAGAAAATAGGTTCAAGAATTTGACTATTAGTCCGTAATGGACTAGCCCGTGGTCTCGCTACAAACAAGCCTAGCAAACAAGTGCTGGACCCTTACCTAATTTTATGCCGGAGTATCCCTTTAAGTAATAAGCTAATGCTCTTCCAGTTGTATTTTGTTTTCCTAGAGGTTGTACCCTGTGCTGCAGGAGATTGAATTAGTGTCTTGTGCTGGGTAGAGTGAGTAGCTCATTTTGGAGACATTAATATAAGAACAGGAAAACCATTAATATAAAAACAGGAGATCCATTAATATACTTTCAATGAGTTTGCTTTTTATTCCCTTTTCAGATTAGCTGCTACTGAACAGAATGAGACACAGGTACTGTAGTTTTCTTCTTCATTAATTAACATCTCATTTTCTGTATTTCCTCTCACATAAAAGCTAATATTCAATTTGCCTTTGTCTTCATAGGATCCTGTAGTTTTACTCACCCAGGGACGTTCAAATGACTGAATACAGTCTCGGGCTGCTACACTCTTTGAGCTGGGATGTGGACAGCTTGCCGGGGCTCTAAGGATGCTCCCTCTTGGAGTCGTGGGTGTCAGAGTGAAGCGTGGATGCAGAGCAGAGATTTTGAGATGTCATCCATCATCACCCTTAACTTTGCAAAAAAAAAAAGAAAAAAGAAAAAAGAAGGTGGCCATCAGAGCGGAAAAGCAGCCATCTTGGGACTGGCAGCAGCGGGCTTTGGTTCAGCCATCTTGACTTCTTTGTCACAAGGCTGGAATGTCACCTTTCTTTCTCAGGAGGAGACAGGAGACAGAGCCAACTCTATAACTAACCGTCTTGGACTTACACGCACTCCCAGCAGCCCCCTGCAATAATAATCACTGCTCAGTTGTGTCTCTGAGACGTCATCAATGATTCACGGTCTGGCTGAGACAGAAAGTTAGAGAGACAGAGAGAAATCTCAGTTTTTCACAGAGCAGCTTTTTTTTTTTTAGTCCCCAAATCTGAATGTGTCACCCAGCTTGTACCTGGTGTCACCCCTTGACTTGTACCCCAGACTTGTTATGTAACATCATCTTATGACTCATGATATCTCTTGATCTCTTTCTCTCCCTCCCTCTCTCTGCAGACTGTTTTTTTACTCTTGGTCCTGAGGCTTCTGGGTAAATCACACAGCTAGTAAATTGTAAAATGTGAGATCATGTGTTGGAGAAAAAAAAGAGGGATTAATACGTTCAGTTGCCAAAAATGTAAAGAAAGGAAACGCACAGGTGACTTCATTTTACCCTCACATTTGTAATCATAGGTTCACTCACTTCCCTTTTTATACGCCATGGATCAAACTTTATCATGAATGTTGCTCTTCTCTATGTGATACACAAGGATAAAGCCATGCAGGGCTATTTTGTGTTTTTGTAGTGTCAAGAAATCTCATGAAAAGACTCTGACCAACTGCATCTTAGTGTGACAGGAGATTTTTAACACAAGGTCTGAAATGGATCGATGCTTTGGTGCAATGATGGCCAAATGTTGTGACACAGGCACATGAAAGTTTTTAGCATTTTGAGACCATTGATACATATTTTAATCAAAATGCTACTTAAATCTTAAAGGCTGTGCCTCAGATCTCAACAATCTATCCTTGTTTTTTTTGCTTCCTTTAACCAAGAAGTCCAAACAAAGGCAACAGGGGAAATTTATTTCTTTATTGCTCTACTTTTGGCCTCTCTCAGGAGTTTGGCCCCGAGCCATTTGCTCCAGCTGAAGATGTGAATCCAGTATATGTCTCTCTTAACAGGAAGATGCATGTATTGATTTTACAGAGGTGGGATCTCTACAGGGGTCAAATATACTCGAAAATACCAAGAGTTGAGTATGACACTCATATTTACAGCAGCATCATTATGTCTGGCCTCAGTCCCACTGGGTGGTGTTTCTTGACTCAGCTTTTCATGCCTTACTATTGATAGCAGGTTTCTGTGTGAGACCTCTCAGTGTAGACCAGGCTCTTCAGCTAGAATATCAATGTGAGGTGAAAGTGCATTGACATCAAAGCGATTGCTATCACATGGCTTTGTGAAGTGCCATTGTTGTAAAATTGGGGTCAAGCCAAGAATCAAAGCACCATCGCTTATAGACTCTCGCTATTTCAGAATGAGATGTTCTTCCTCTAGTGACCATTGTAGGGAGGATTGATCTGTCGTTAGAGTGCTTTAACCACAGTTTTTCATCTCAGCTTACCTCACCTACAGCCTTGGCAGGAACTACCCATAACTGCACCAATGAAAAATGGTTCAAGCTGTACAAGGTTGTGAAAAGGAGGCATTCGTAGAACATATAAAATCTATTGTGTCTTGCAGTGTGACTTATTGCTGGGCTTTTATTTGAAGTCTCTAATCCAGAGGAATAAGCTATATCATATTTTGGCTGTATAACAGCTCTATATCTACTAATAGGATCAATCCATTGTTTGTTTTTATGGGATTTGTTGATGATGAGACACCAATCACCTGATCTTTTCAGTAAAAAAATCCTCATCATTGTACTTCTGAAAGCAAAAAAAAGCAATGACAGTCGAGTAGTCATTAGGATCAAAGGCCATCAAACAGCCAGACTCTTGACTGTTCTCCTCTCTGATGAATGGACAGCTTCTTCTACTCACCGGGACCCTTGAGGAGGATGGAAGTAGGCCAACTCCAGATACTCGAGATTCAAGGGATGTTTTTCTCCGTTCAACACTAAATGCTTTCTATGGATGTGTGAGTGTGAGTAGTATCAGCTGAGCAACTGCTGTAAAATAATGACTTCTTTCATGCCTAAACACAAGCTTATTGTTTCCTGTTTTTAAGTGCTCTCGTTACCTCTTACTAGGGGTGTCCCGATTCGATATTGATATCGGATAACGGTCCAATATCAGAAAAAATAAACAAATATTGGATCATATCGGCCTGCATCTAAAATCTCTGATATAATGCTGCGTTTGAGTTACCTCGGAAGTCAGATGTCAGAGCTGGAAATGACGTCACCCCCGAGTAACCCGTGTCTTGGTTATCAAGTCGGAAGAAAGCAAAATTAGAGGAAGAAACAAGATGGCTACATCTACGAAGGTTATTTTAGTGCTTGCCTTGGACTTGCTTAAAATAACTTTCGTAGATGTAGCCATCTCGTTTCTGCCCCCGATTTTGCTTCCTTCCGACTTGGTAACTGAAACGCTGGTAACTCGGGTGTGACATTATTCCCAGCTCGGACTTCTGACTTCCAAGGTAACTTGAATGCAGCATAAGCACTCTGATACAAGCAGTGCATTCCAAACTCGGCTTGGATCCAGCATGCAGAGCCCACATGATCACAACAACAGTGTGTACTAAGGTACTAACAAAGTAGCAAGGAGTGTGAGTGGGAGTGATGTTGGCAGTGTGGCAGTATCTTTTGTCAAAGTCCAAAAAAGATGTTGCAGCAGAGTGCAAAACTTGTCATGCACAAATTTGTATCAATATCGGATCAATATCTGTATCGGCCAATACTGAAGGCTACAGTATCGGTATCGTATCATTAGTAAAATGGTTGTATCGGGACACCCCTACCTCTTACGACAATACCAGGGGATTTCATAGAGTGCAAGCCATTCGTCGGCTCAGATTGTTGCAGCATTTACACAGATCACTTAACACAGAGGAAAAAATGCAAAAGCTGCTTTATGTACCGTGTAGCAAACAGCATATTAAGAACTGCAGTTTGCCTTCAGCACTGTAGCACCAGTTTGATCAAAAACCCATGTGAGACATTATATTTTGGTCTCCTTACTCCTCGAGGGCGACATCCCCTCCCTGCTGCTGCCTCAGTGTCTCTGCGTGAGTTCCCAGCAAAGGCCTTTGGCTTTGACAGCATGTTGTGCCACCTGTCTTTCCCTCTTTTATCAACCTCTTTTTGCCCTTTCTGGATGTTCCTCCTGTTATATGACGGATGTCATTGCCTTTGCCCGCTCAGTTAGTTCAACAGGGACAATAAGGCTGAATGTGGATGAATAACACAGTTTGAGGTGAAGCCCTCTCTATTAAAATGCCACTGTGATGCATTGTGGGATTGCAGTAAAAATCAAGGCAGTATGTCATTTGAATGTAGTAGGGATATGTTGTTTTTCACAGAAGTACTTCAACCTTTTCGGGATTTTTGTCAACCTTAAGAGGGTAAAAGATTGATACCATGTTAATGTCTGTTCAACTTAAAGCTACAGGTACCGACCAGCTAGCTCAGCTGAGCTCAGCTTACATCAAGGCTAAAATGAGAGGGAAAGACCTAGCTTTGACCCTGATGGAAGCCCAAACGTTATTAAAACGCACCAACCACTACCCCATCTTTTTGTATCAATTTAAAATTACAACTTTTTGTAATTAAGTTGCCCAACCAAACCGCTTCATTATGTTTTAGGACAATGCTTTTTGAATGAAACACTACCTTTAGTGAATTACACTGGAGTTTTTTTGGAGATTAGTTGCTCCTACACCTTGATTTTTTTTAAGAGGTAAGACAAGAGGCTTCCCCTCATTGGCTTAAATTGTTTGGACATATGCAAATGTGGTAATTTCACTTTTAATAATGAAGGTGGTCTTGGCTGGCTTGAAGCTAAGTCCTCAAGCAGTTGGTTTTGCTGTGAGAACCTGCTGGTCTTGTACCTCTACATGCTGTTAACAACATTTTTGCCCTTCTTGTTCATGTGCTGATTTACAAGCTTGAAACTTCTACATTCCTGTTATTGGTGTCCAAAATTTGACAAACATGGCCTCTAAATATGAAAAAGACACTCCTAGCCAATCCACGACTCATCTTTTCAACAGCGTAACTCGCTAATGTTCTTTGGTAGAGCCAGTATGATTGACATCTGTTCACCTTTACAGAGGGTAATGGTGGCTTTGACATAATAGAGTCAACTTTTGCAAAAATAGCATTTTGTCACCATATTCTGACAACTTTATACCAATTTGTTTGATAGTAACTTTAGCCAGGTTCATTCAACATTCATTCTATATGTTTATAGAAAACATTGCCAGCGAAAAGTGGTATCAATCTCTTCATGTAACTCCTAAAGGAAAAGAGTAAATCTCTTTAAAATGTCAAACTTTTCCTCCAATATTTGGATAAACAGGATCCTTCAGGTTATTGTCTGTTTGAATTCAAAGCAGCGATAAATTGTTAAGTTATTTACATGCCTAATCACTTACTGAAAAATACTGGAGTATTATTAAAAACTCCTAACAGTGTCACTTTATGCTGTGTTGACCATGGTGTGATGTTTTCATTAAATGAGTGAGTTGATGGTATAGTCCTCATGGATGTTTCATGTTA